AATTGTATCAAATTGTGATTAATTGTGATTAAGTGATGATAAAACATCGATAATTCTCGGTTTCTGTATATGCATTTCCCCAAAATTTGGCCTCAATAGCTTATGTACGCTGTACTAATTTCATTACAAAGAGAGAACATTTAAATTTTATTAAATTCCTCACATTAAATTGTTATGGGAAAAGAAATGTGAAAAATGTTTAATCCACTTACCTCGCTTTTTTGATTTCCTCTTCCCCTTTGCCTTTGGCATGATTGAAATTGTTTCCAAATTTAGAGTAAGATAATTTAGATGTGGTGTAGATCTACATGTTTTCTTTCGGCGCCGTGTGCTTTTCCTCAAACTCTGATATCTTGCAGCAGTCAGTTACATAAACATGATTAAATTAATATGAGAAGGGTTCAGATGAACATTTTTTCTTTTAAAGTCCAAAGGTAATTTTCTTATTCAGTTTTCTATTCTTTGTTTCTTTGTGTTTCCTTGCCTTTATGTAGAAAAGCCCATTGCTATTTTTTATATTAATTGTTGTATGAGTGGTGCAGTGTTTAATTTTGCCCGGCCCTCTGATTTTATTTATGGTTTGGGTCAGCGCCGGATTGGAGTACAAGAAACAGATCAAATCTTAGCAACGCGCATATCAATTTCAAATGTGACGTCACAATGGGCATGCGCCAACACAAAGCGCGCAGCATGAGAGATGCAAGTGTTAACACTGTTTAGTCCGTATAATATTTCAATGATAATTTTTCGAACAACTTCTGCCGGGAGATAAACTGCGTAATTTCTTCTCAAAATAATGTAAGACTGACCTGAAATGATATTCTGGAGGCTTTGTTAATCCTCCCCGTCATATCCCCCCTCTCTCTCTACTTCCTTCCTTCCTTCTCTCCCTATCCCCATACCCTCTCCCATTAATTACCCCCTTCTATTCCCCCTCTCTCTTGGTTAAAGATTCAAAAAATGTTTACTCAACTATTTGGGGTTCAAATTTTTATATCTTTAAGTTTCAAACTATCATAAAGGATTGTGGTAAATGAGAATGCTTTCAATAGAGAAATATGAAAGAATTAACAATTCAAATATCGAGATACATGATGATATCAGGTTTCCATAGATATATTCGAGAGGCTTTGTGCAATCCGGAGAGTTTTCCTTTAAAAAACACTGAAGGATCATATCACAAATCATTCACTATACCCGCGCCGAAGTAATACTAACCCATATTTTAAAAGACTCGCAATATCCGTTCACGAGTTCCTCCTCACATTAGAACATACGACTCATGACAAAACAATGGCATTTATTTGAATGGATAGGTTTATTTTCATCAACAGTTCAGAAAGGAAAGAAATATTTGTTCGGATCTACATCTTGAAGGCACACGAATAAGGCAAAATAATACTCTCAAAAATGATGCATAGATTTAAATAAAATCAATGTATGACATGAAATTGAATAAATAAATAAAAATAATTGATTTAATGTGAAAAAGCGCGTCCATCTGACATATTTCATTAACATTTATAATTGTTGAATACAAAAGCAAAGTCTGTGTGCAATGAGGAACGCATGACCTTTCAAAATTTGACTCTACAATATGCTAGTGCAACAAATATATTGTAACGAAAAGTGTTAATTGTTTTGTTCAGAGAGTAAATGGACATAACAAAGTTATGATTAAGGATATGTATTACTCCTCGATATTTCTTAGTCATGTACATGACTTGGGGCGTGTTCATGCTTCACTTTTTCTGGCCAGGATCAGGCATCTGTTACGCGCTTAGTTTAAAACATGGTTGCGTCCATGCTTACTTCTGTAGAATCACCGAAAAACGGCGATCATGATCGCCGATCGTAAACTCACAAAAAGATGCGTTTACAATTTGTAAACGCGTTTAAATGGGGTCAACGCACTGACCTCTAGTGGGTCTACGTAGCATGCACAGTGAAGGTTTGCGAATCCAGCTGGAAGACCAATTAAGGCCACACACGGAGAATTGCCTCGATGAGCCAGAGAAGTAAGCATGAACAGTACACCGTGGAACTGCGATCACGATGAGCGTTTACGATGAGCGTTTCAGATCGCTCATTCTACCTCCAAAATCAAGCATGAACGCGCCCTTGTATAGGCATATTTGATGGATCTGTGCATATTGTACAGTGCTTATTATTATTATATGCAAATAAAATTCAAATATAAAAATCTGTCCCTGAAATTTCTTTTAGAAAAGGCACAAAAACAAAATTCTAGCCATTGTATTTGTACTGTTGAGGCAAATCACCAATTAAAACTGGCTAATACTGATAGAATCAATCATTCTTCTAATTCTGAATATCACATATATATCTGTCATCTTTAGATGATTATATCAGACCACTGCAAACTTCTAGAATCCAACAAAACAGCACTGTCTTTTCTCTAAGAAAAAAGGTTAAGGTTCACAAAATTCAAAGATAACGATGAAGAAGCACAGCATATTAACCACACGTACTAGATATTACATTACAACAGTGATTGTAAAACACTTCTATGATTACCCTGCATTGAATAATTGCAGAATTGGTCTAAAAAAAAAACACTCAAATTAAATCCATTAACATCAATGTCATAGATTCAAGGTGAATCAGTGCAGAATTTGGCAAACTAGGGCCAAACTAATCCATTATAAGCAACTAAGCTGTACAGGCATAAATAATACATTTACAGCTATACACAGTACTTTTTTTAAAGGAATACATTTCATGAATTACATTGAAATACAGCAACTGTACACACAGGAATAATTTCTTATTATTCATAAATTACATTGAAATACAGCAACTGTACACACAGGAATAATTTCATATTATTCAAAAATAAAATTCACCGAATTAAATAAATGAAGATGACAGGAGTATTGCTATCTAGGATTATCATGAATACTTGAAAACATCAGGAGAAATACAGCAAATATAACTTTATATGACCACAAGCTATGCACATCAGACTTGCTATGTCAATTAATACTACTATCACGTCAAGCACACATAAAACTCTTGTCCAATTCTTGCTATTAATTTATATAAAATAAATTCTTTACTGTTGAAATATCACTCTGTGCTATTCCGTTTCAAATAAATGTAAAGAAAAAGAATAAATTTTACAACAGAAACATCAACATTGTTCATTTAGAGCCTATTTCTGACTGAATTCATAACATTTTCATTCATAAAGTTTTCTTTACAGTATTGTTTGCAGCATATTTTCATATTTTGTAAGTTTGTTCCAATTCATGTTTGTTTTATCTGTCATTGTATTTTTCATCCTACCTTACAAAAATTTGTTCGAAATTTCTTATGTTTTGCACATTAGTCATCTTTACAGTTCGCCTCATGCTAAACATTGACCATTAAAACTATACATCTACACAGAATAAAACAATTTCTCTTTAATTACTTGATACCTTTTTATCATAAGATTGTCACTGATTTTAATATACCACTCAGGATACATATAATTCTAGATCAAATTAACATTTTACATATGATTTTACCATACATGTATAGACAACTAATTCAAATTAAATTGATTTTCACTCATAAATTACCTATTTCACAATCTTAAAACCCATGGAATGTGTATCTAAAACAATTTTAGTTTCATACTTAATTTTGGCTCATATAATAGTCATAAATAATAACTGCACCAAATGACTTTGCCAACATCTAAAAATCTTCCAAATTTCTGAATACTGTTGTTAATACATCAAAGCTTGTCATCACCATTGTTTTATATTATGTTAGGATCCACATACATCAAATACAGTTTTGGTCCAATGTCTCACAAAATGATTGAAAGAATACATTTAACTGGAATCAACACTAAGCAGTGTGTAAAAAGAAGACGTTGTGAAAATATCTTCATCGGTTTTACATAGACCGTTTGATGTGAATTTGTTAAGATTCATGCCGTTCTTTCTTTCCAATTCACTCTGTCTATCATCTGTATTTAATAATTAATAACTTGTACATTTTCAGAACTCACTGCATAAGCTAATCAAATACCAGTAAAAATGGATAGCTATAAATCTGTAAATCCACTGTAGGTGGCTAACAAACTGACACAAGAATTCCACTGGATGCGGTCACACATTTGTAAATCTGCAATTCAACTGCAGATTGTTAACCAATCATAAGTCTGTAATTTCACTGCAGATTGTTAACCCATCAGTCTGTAATTCCACTGCAGATTGATAACCAACCATAAGTCTGTAATTCCACTGCAGATTGATAACCAACCATAAGTCTGTAATTCCACTGCAGATTGTTAACCAATCATAAGTCTGTAATTCCACTGCAGATTGATAACCAATCATAAGTCTGTAATTCCACTGCAGATTGATAACCAATCATAAGTCTGTAATTCCACTGCAGATTGATAACCAACCATAAGTCTGTAATTCCACTGCAGATTGTTAACCAATCATAAGTCTGTAATTCCACTGCAGATTGTTAACCAATCATAAGTCTGTAATTCCACTGCAGATTGATAACCAATCATAAGTCTGTAATTCCACTGCAGATTGTTAACCAATCATCAGTCTGTAATTCCACTGCAGATTGCCAACCAATCATAAGTCTGTAATTCCACTGCAGATTGTTAACCAATCATAAGTCTGTAATTCCACTGCAGATTGTTAACCAATCATAAGTCTGTAATTCCACTGTAGATTGTTAACCAATCATCAGTCTGTAATTTCACTGCAGATTGTTATCAAATCATCAGTCTGTATTTCCACTGCAGATTGTTAACCAATCATAAGTCTGTAATTCCACTGCAGATTGCCAACCACAACTACTAATCTGTTATTTTTCAGCATACTGAAAACCAATTTGTTAATCTGTAAACTTGTATTCCACTGCATATTATCAACCAATTGCAAATATGTAATTCCACTGCAAATTGTCAACAAATTGCAAATATGTAATTCCACTTTAGATATAATCCACTGTACATTCTAACACAATTGCGATTCAAAATGCACTGCAGATCTTAAATCAAATTACACAGCTGAAGTCAAAAATCTGATCGGAATTAGGAGAGCTATTATAGCAGTCACTCTCTAAAGTTAAGTCACCAAATACAAAGGACGGAATCCATTAAGGAATGTAAGAAAGGGTTTATCAAGGTACAGGGTGTCTCATCAAATATTTGAGAGTGAGAGGGAGAGAAAGAGCTGCTGGGAGCATGTCAAGGTACAGGTTGTGTCATCAAATATTTGAGAGTGAGAGGGAGAGAGAGAGAGAGCTGCTGGGAGCATGTCAAGGTACAGGATGTCTCATCAAAGATTAGAGAACGAGAGAGAGCTGCTGGGAGCATGTCAAGGTACAGGGTGCCTCGTCAAAGATTGGAGAACGAGAGTGAGAGAGAGCTGCTGGGTCGTGGAGAGCTGCTCCTCATGGACAAACTGCTGGATGGACGAGAACCTGTATGAAAACCAGGATGAATGAAGTCAAATGTTAGTAATTCACAGGAAAAAATAAGAACAAATACTTATCAACTTGTAAATCTTAATATGCAACATTTAAATGAAAATCTTCCAATTGTCTCAAACATTATGCTTCAAAAAAGTTCTGAGAAAGATAAGCTGCATATCGCTCAATTGCCTCTGTAATTGTGTAAATATGAATAAACATAAAAACAACTGTCAAATCTAACATTAGATTCTAATACAAAACAGATCAACAACTTTGGTTAATTCCATCGTCAGTTCTTAGCTTGAACATAATGTTTGACCTATTGACCCTACCATTTGTAAAATACATGCTCCAACAAAATTTGCTCCAAAGTGAATTCTCACATTTAACAAAATTCTTAATTCCAACCCAAGACCAAACACTACACCTTAATCTAACTCTAACCCTAATCTTAAACTAAAACCCTATTGCAACCCTAACACCATGTCTTTGACGATGTGAATAGCTATCGATATGTTGAAGCACCGACTCTATCATATATTTTGTTAACTGTTTCTCTGCTTATACACAGATAGTCTTCTAGTCCATTTTGGTTGAATTTTAAATTTTTTAATTAAATTATTATTACTGAAGCATTTATCTTTGAATTAATATACAAATTACTGTAGTGAAACCAATATCAAGATGTAAATCGTAAGAAATCATTAATTAAATAGACTGTCTTCCACTTCAATAAATGTCAGAGTATCAATTAAGAGAGACAGCATTCAAATGACTGACAGTAGTACAAAATTTTGCATTTGATCAAACAAAACAACAAACAATTATCCAAGAAACCCAAATGCGTGAAAACTGCTCCTTTCAATGATAAATTTTATCATTGGTAAAAAAAAATTTGAATTAAATCTAACGAGAAATGTGCGTTTTTGATAGAGCAAATTAATGAAACTGGAGTTTTTATGTAAGCGATGTACTTTCTGAACCAGCACACATACCTTATACATATAATTTCATGCCTGAAAAACAAAATAAATTAAATCATTTTGCAACAAACTATGAAAATTGAGTGCTAGAGAAAGTAGAATCAAATGTTTAAAAAAAAGTTTTGTTTGAAAGTCAACTTTGTGTAAAAGTAAATACCCACTGGCACTGCAAATCAACATATAGAGTAACAGAAATTTCAACATTAAAGATTGTCTAAAGAACATTAAGAAAATCATTCTGAACCTTTGGGAAAACCGTCATCTTACCTCCATTTTCAACATGATTAGGCTAAATTAAAAAGAATAAGTTATTCTTCATTATGAAAAATAAAGCAAAGTCAAGTGATTTTTTAACCAACACTACATCTTCTAAAAGGTATTTTCTGTATTTATATATTAATCATATACATTTGACAGAAACTATAGGATATAAGTATATTTACAAACATATAAACTGAATAAAATTTGGGGAGATAAATTTTCAATCATGGTACCTATTCAAAGAACCATTTTTTGTATGGATAAAGACATTCTTCCATAATATTCCACTTCATTATAATATTTATGAAATCCATCTGCAAATGCTAAAAGACAAGCTTTTCTTTGTCCAGAAAATCGTGTTTAACATCAAATTGGAGCAAAGTTAACCAGGTACGCATTAAAAGAGTTTAAAGTCATGGATAAACGATCAATTTAATTTTGCACATATTAATGCTAAAATTTGCAGTGAACAGATAATGCTCTAATAAGATGCCTTTGGGTGGAAAAGTTTGATCATTCAAAATGATAATTGTAGTGAGGTGATTTGTAATGTCATATCTACAATCAACTGAGAAAAGTTATTTTTGAAATCGTTTTAATGGTCAAATGACTTCAAAAATTCAATTTATTACCACTAGCAAATATGGGTGAATACATACATTGTTCTGATATGAGATTTTTTTTTTGAGGATGTAAAGTGAAATACGTGTCACATTTTTGTATCGTACAAACACAGAGCTCAGTGGAAATGTGCAGGACTTTTGTAGCACGCAGTTGTATTTCAATTACAAATTTAAAATCGCAGCAAATTTTTTGTTGGCGGCGGTTTTCTGCATAATATCTGAACAAGCCTTGAGAGAGGTATGAGAAATGTTGGCATGCTTTGGTCTTACCTGAAGTGTAGGAACCGTTTAGGGTACGTCTTGGACTAGGAGACCTGGCTCTGGATGGGCTACTAGGCCTGGATGGACTACGACTGCGCCTTGGGGACGCCTGGAGGAGGAACAACAAAAAAAGATATTTCACATTAGTCAAGTCTCAAAGCGCAGTTACTCGTATACTTTTACACAGGAATAATGTTCTTCCAAGTCTCAGCTGTATTCATGATAACTGTCAATAAAAATGTAATTGAGTTTTACAGACGCGTATCAATCAGATATGATTATTTTTGTCTGGGGACTGACCTTTAATTTCACCATTCAAAAGACATGACTCAGTTTCGAACTGGGGTCACCTAAGTCAGTTTGTAGGCGAAGACAGAGAGCTGACCAAGTGAACGTGTCGCTAGACCAATTTACTTAATTCATGTGTGTACTTCCATGAACAATAACTTGATAAAACACATGGTATCTCACTAAAGAGAACAATTTGTGCTGAGGTGCATATGATGAGAAATTATCTCATCAAACTATCTCATATATGCTAAATGTTTAGAATGTCTAGAATCACCAATTTAGATTTCTGTGCAACAGCTGGGGCCCTCCTAAAAAATAATGCATTCAGGCATTATATTTCAAGAGTTTCAGTGGTATATTGCAAAACTGGAAACTTTCTCATGCTTGAAATGTTTGCATATTCCAAGAGTTGCTCAGATTCATGAAGTTACTGCCATCAAAGCATTCCAACAAATGACATAACACTAAATTTCTATACTTCACAAATGTGTCTTGCCGTGAAATTGGGCTGTCGTTTAAAGTCGCGAAAGATTCATATCATCAAAGTTTTCACGATTTAGAGTAGACATCACGCCAAGAAAATCCACTTCTCTAGAAAGAGACCTTGAAACATATGTTGACTTACCAGCGAGCCTCCTCTACGAGTGACCGCTTCACCTTTCAGTATGACTCGTCCAGCTACGTCCACTAAGGATGGCCAGATATAGTGACTGACCAATGGAGCTGAGTATTCAGAGTCATAGCTTCTACGATATCTGCAGAATCAAAGTCAAATGAGACAGTGAGGTGATTTAAACATGTAAATAAAAAAAAAGCATTTGTGATATAATAAAAAAAAAAAAAACTTTCATGTTTTAGCTACGCTTCTAAAGGAAAGTTTGATTTTAAATTTTGGTAGTTACAATTTGGATACACCGTCACCCGACCTAGATAAAACCTGCTTCAAATATAAAATTAATATACCTGTATTTTCTAGCAAATATAGGGAAGTTAAAACATAATATAATGTGAAGACTTGACTGCCAAGTTAAACTTGTAATACAAACTATAAAGTGTCTGCAGCAAAAGAAACTTTGAAATCCTGTGGTCTCCAACCACTTTGTCTGTTCTTATAATGACATATAAATTTGTCTGGTAGTTATATCATTCAACAATTTAAAAAAAATCAAAATACTGCATAAATGTCATAATCATTGTTCTGATGTAAACAAAGAAAGCAAAAGCAGTCATGGCCAAGCAATATTGCTCTTTTGGCACAATATGAATGACTTAAATGTAAAGACCAGTTCTGGTCATGCAGTTGCATTGTGAAAGAAACATTGTGGAATCGATCAGAAAAGGTTGATCATCTAGCATATAAGTATTGGTGTGTACTGCAAGGTTCTGGAATCATCAAAATGATAAGAAATTTGGCCCAGTCTTGGTAAAGTTACAAGCACTGTACACAGAAAGATGTATATGGGACTACGCGATAAATAATTATATCTTTCCGGACCAGATAGATATAATGTACCAAATATATCAATTAGTGGGCGGTTTCCCGGGAAAATTTGTATCATCGCGTATTAGTCAAATCATATTCTTTCACATGATTGGTAATAAGAGCTTCCATTTCATTTTTTGAGAGGGGGGTGTTTCCAAAACTGGTCTTTACCTTTAACTGCAGAAGAGTGTTTACTTACTTGAGGTCATCAAAGAGTTCTCCATCCCTGGCCCCACTGATGTCCAGAGGAGAAGGAAGAGCACTCATTGACCAGGCAACCTTGACCAGCTCACGGATGAAGAGAGTTAGAACTCGGAAATCAACCTCAGCAGGGAAGGAGATCGCTGGGTGACGGTTCATTGCCAACAATACATCCTATGTCAAAGACAGAGAGGTGATTTAGACAATACATTACCATCTATTTATTTTAATGAGAGAGAGAGAGAGAGAGCGAGAATATAAGTTGTATACATGGCCAACAACCTCCTCCCCCCCCACCCTGTATCAATTTCATATTCTTTGTGGTAAAAATAATGTACTATAAGAAATTTGCCATAAAAATGGTGAAGACTGATACTGCACGGTTTAATATCAATGAAATGACTATCTAAACCAATACAAAATGAAAGTACGTTTTGGGGTCTTTTATCCATATGCAATGCACAAAGAAAACTCTGGTCTTAAAGTAGATATTCATTGATTTTAAAAAATAACTTTATTTTCATTATTGCAAAGTTGAAACTTTGATTCGACAAGGTTATCAAAATTCAATGCTTGGAAACATGCGAAGTAATGATTATTATAAATTACAAAACGCTTAAATACAGCCCCGGCATAGCACCTGAAGAGCTCTCCGAACGCTGCTGAGATGTGTGAGATCACAGTATGGACATGATTTGCACAAGCAGACAATGTTCCATGACATCTCACAAATTTTCAGTGCCTGTGTGTTCATCTTCTCTTGAATTCTTTTTCTTACTTCACTACTGTCAGGCTAAATGTATAATTTATTGCCTCACTCTTAACCCCGTGCATGGTTTTATTTTGATGACAAATGCAGCGATACAAAAATAAAGGAATCTGTCGCTTATGTCACCGCGGTATGTTCGGCGTTTCAAGAGGGAACAAATGCTGTCCTTAATATCATTCCAGGGTTTTTCAATTTGAAAGTCTTGTTTCTTTGATTGTTAATTAATCCCTATCCTTTGTATTTACGAGCAAAAGACTTTAGTTATCAGAATCGGGTCATATCCCCTTTTGAATGGTTTAACATGCCATTACATTTATATACACTAAACTCATTATAATTTGACAAATAAAAGCTGTGCAATTATGTTCATTCTTTATGGGATGTCGTCTGCTTGGGCAGTATTGGTCCATAAAGTGACGTCATTAAAACATCATTATTTTTCCGGTGAATCTCTTGTATATCCCAGCTGCTATGGAGGTGGTTGTATTTGTATTTTTATAAATCACCCGATATGTAGTTGACCTAAAACTTGTACGATGGCCATATGTTAGCTTACCAGTTTCTAGTGATACATTAGTTAACATATTTGTGATTTTCTTTGAATTTCACCTTTAAGTATGCTAATCTTCATTTTTAAAACAAATCATTTTGTGGCGGCTTTAGGCACTACAGCCCCCCAATATTTTACATCATAAAACTTATAATAAAAATGTGATTCTCAACAAATGTTCTTGTCAGGGAATAGAAATTACATAACAAAACTATGTTTATGTTTCTGAAATATCTCTTGTAAATGACATGTAGACGTACCTCTACTATAGTGTGTACATCCAACAGGGTGCCGTTCTTATTGATGTAGCCTTGGACGGCTTCTGACAGTGGTTCAAGTCCAGTGTGTGTATCAGCCAGTAGGGTCTGGACCTTGCTACGGTAACGACGGAACGCCATCTTAGCAGCATGGAAACACTCCTGAATGTTATAGAAAACAAGTACCGTAATTAACGTTGTATAAATCGCCCTCGTGTATTAATCACACCCCTTTTTTTTTCTTTTTTTTTTGCCGACTTAAAAAACAGTAGAGGACCTAGGACAGAACCTTGTGGTACGCCGTGTAATAGAAGAAAAATTGGAGGAATCATTTTTATCAACTACATATTGAAATCTATCAGAAAGATTACTTTCAAACCAAAATGACAGACAAATTTGAGTGTTGTTCTAGTTTCCGAGTGGTGAGTCAACACACCAATTACCGAGGTGGGAGACATTGCCAGGCATAGCGCCAGTTGGAGGGGCTATGTATAAACCGCACCCCCGACGTTGAATTTTTTCAGCGGCAAAAAGGTGCGGTTAATACACTGTTAATTACAGTATACATATCTTCATATTAGAAGAAAGAATAAGTATCACCTAACCAAACCTACATAAATGTGGGTTTAAGAAGACTTTTAAGATATTGCCATAAGACTAATCTCAGCCAGTTGTGGACAGATACACGTTTAACATCTAATAAAAACTTGAGTTTGTAGGTCACGTCATGAGATGAGAGGAAACAGAATATAGGTTACTAGCAAGAAAGATTAAGAGATAGAGAAGCAGAAGAATCAGAAGTTTAATCCATGAACTTGTAATATACTATTAGAGAGTTGTCTAATACAACAGAGGTGCCATCACAACACAAATTGGAAGATATAGAAGAAAACAGCCCTAACTGTCCATTATTGTACCAGATAAACACTTACAGAAGGGAGAAATAAAGGGATCCCTTGAACAAGACTGCCTACCTAAAGAGATTTAGAAGGATTTTGAGTTTGATTGGCTACATTAAAACCCAGACCTACCTGTAAGCAAGTGAAAACAATCTTTTGATTGAGCTCATGATCATCGCAATGATTGCGTAAGATATCCATGGCATCCATGCGACTCTGAGCAAACAGGTCGTTGAATCTGGTCACAAGGTTAGCCTGACGGATACGCTGGACCACATCGCCACTCACTGAGATACGTGGAGACTTGAGGCTGGTAGAGAGACTAGGTGTGGGGGCCAAGTACTCACTCCTGTGCAAGATAGAATGAGCGTTTGATAATTCAAATTAGAACCCAACTCAGGAAATTATAGGACAAAAATAGCAATTTCCTTGGTAGACGATGAAGGAATTGACCCATTTTAACACAGGGGGTGTGAAAAGACATGTGTAAAATGATATAACTAGGGCACAGGTATGAGAGAGTATTTTCATCAGAGGATAATGGAAATGGAAAATAGGCAATAATAAGCATCCAAAATTAAACGACAAGAAACCTTGGCACCCCTCCCCCCTCCCCCTCCCAGGAAATTCAAATCCTATACACTTCTTTGTTTATGTCTAGTTTGTCAGAGGGGTACTAAATCAAGGGTGACTAACCTGCCTGTAGTTCTTTGTTTATGTCTAGTTTGTCACAGGGGTACTAAAATCAAGGGTGACTAACCTGCCTGTAGTTCTTTGTTTATGTCTAGTTTGTCACAGGGGTACTAAATCAAGGGTGACTAACCTGCCTGTAGTTCTTTGTTTATGTCTAGTTTGTCACAGGGGTACTAAAATCAAGGGTGACTAACCTGCCTGTAGTTCTTTGTTTATGTCTAGTTTGTCACAGGGGTACTAAAATCAAGGGTGACTAACCTGCCTGTAGTTCTTTGTTTATGTCTAGTTTGTCACAGGGGTACTAAAATCAAGGGTGACTAACCTGCCTGTAGTTCTTTGTTTATGTCTAGTTTGTCACAGGGGTACTAAAATCAAGGGTGACTAACCTGCCTGTAGTTCTTTGTTTATGTCTAGTTTGTCACAGGGGTACTAAAATCAAGGGTAACTAACCTGCCTGTGAGGATGAATTTTTCTTCTTTGAGAACGGCGAGGTCATCCTTGAGACGTCTTACTTCAATCTCATGATCGTCTACAGTGCCTACCCGAGCACGGTAGAGACGCAGTTCATCCTCAAGGACTGCAACCCTGTGCAAACATGAAATGAAAAACAAAATGACTGTTATTATGGGCAAGCCATCAAAACTTACAACAATGAGTACAAATAATTCCCAGTGTACATTTACAGGGCCTATTCCCTCCTAAGACCACATTTCAATGCATATTCTCATGATGATTTTGGTTTGCTTCTATGTGAATGGTATTTGATTCCAGGCATCTAAGGCTACCTGTGTTACCTAAATTTAAAAGGGGAACATTTTCTCAAGGAGGTACAGTTGTAGCAGTCTATGGGAGGTGGTGGGGGGGGGGGGGGGGGGGGGGGGGGGGGGGGGGGGGGAGGGGGGAGGTGTAAGTCTTCCAGAGACACATTTCAAGCATCTCAGGGCAGTAGTCTAGTATCTTCAAAATGCTAAACTTATATAATCACCTCTAAATTCCAATTCCTTTTTATAATGTAACCTTTGAAATATGTGATCACAAACCTGTTTTTTAGTCCAACCGAGACCTCATCACTGACCAAAGCCTCTCCTTCTGACATGCGACGCTCTGAGTCCAGTCTTACCCTTGTACTCTCTAACCTGCGATGGGGACAGCAGAAGACATGGTGATCATACAGAGCTAGGAATCTATAGGAGGTCTACATAGAGAACCTTTCTCTTTTGGAATTAAGCTTTTCATATAGTGATATCTAGTGAAATCCAGGAGAGGATCTGCCTGAATGGATGACACTGGTATCCCTAGGGCCTGTCTTTTAACAGTTGCAATCAATCGCAGCTATGTTCCTAAGACATAGGAGACTGTAAACTTGCAATTTATGAGAGGACTTGTGATTCATCCGCATCAATCTCAACTCTTTATAAGATGGGGCCCTGATTGACTTGACTGATGATTAAATAGCTACTTTGACTTATTGTTTGATTCATGGTCAATTAAGCATAGCTATCATTACCGAAAGCAAATAATCCTTTGTAATAATTTGTGAAAGCACAGAGAGACATTGTTTCAATTTAAGCTCCTCGTCCTCCTCCTCCCCCCTCCTTCCCCCCCCCCCCCCCCTCCTCCCCCTCCCCTTTCTCCTCCTCCTCCTCCTCATTGTGTGATGCTTGACTTACTCAGCTTGTAGATCCGAGGCCACACCTCTGGATGTATTAAGGTCCTGTTCCACCTCATCTAACTGCTTCTCATAGCTGTCCTGCATCTCCACCATCTGTCTCTCTTTCTCTGCAGCGTCGGCCATGATAGACAGACTGGTATCCACGGTAACGGCACTGTTTGAAGCTACAAACCCTCGGGCCAACCATGGCAAAAAGCGGTTCTTTAGAGAGCTGCATCCTCCATACATGCCCCCTAAATATCAGCAAATGAAACAAAGTATCAAATACTGTCTGTTATAGCAATATACTGGTATGTGATCTGAAGGCTCACAAATTTTTAATAAAATTATCAGTCAGATCACTAATTATCTTTTTTCTTCAAATTTCCCAGTGCAGTATTTTTGTTTTTCTTTTTTTATGCTAACCATATGTGTGAGTCTACTCTTTTGTTCCTCATATACAATTTGTAATCAACAAAGTTACAAATATTACAAGGGAGCAGAGAAGTCTGACCAGTCCTCTATCTCTTAGAGAGCTAATCAATAGATGTTAAATTTGAGATTGGTTAAAGATAAACTGAAATAAGACAAGTTCTTGATATAGCATTTTATAGCCCATCTCAAGGAACATTTTGAAAGACACATGTCCAGCAGAAAAATATTACAGTTTGCGTACGGTAACCCTCCAAGCATAAATCCTCATCTTCACAAGACTTATTTGGAAGAATAGATGAACATGAAGATGTGTTTGTACTTGACCACGCTTACCTTCTGCACAACACAGGTTGAGGATAGTGAAGAGCTCCCCCTGCAGTCTAGATGTGATCTCAATCAGTTCTGAACATCGATTGACATTCTGATCACAAGTGTTTACCTGTAAATAAAATTACAATAAAAATACCTTTCAATATTTTTTTGGCAGCTAAACTAATGGTTGATTAACGATTCATGTTCTCTTCAATATATTCTAAAGATCGTGCTCCATAGTACAATGTACATTAAACCAACTTTACGTAAATCTAATCAACTTTCATTTTGATGCTCACTCTCTCTCTCTCATTTTCTTATTTTAATTTTTTTTTTCTGTCTTAAATTATAAAAGGGCCTTCTATTTAAAAACACGTTTGCCTATTAAATGTTTAAATAATTAAACAGGCTTTAAACAAGCAAGGCATTGAAAAAATTTACCTGTGTTATTTTCTAGCCTGTAAAGAAAGTTTTGTAATTTTTGTCATGCTTTGAATATGGAGGGACATCCACACATGTACATATATGCAAATGTTCACAAGTTTAGTCAATGTAGCTAAAAATAGACACATCTATCAGATGGTATTATCAGATATGTGTGAATAAAATAGTGTGACTCTTTAAAATGATTCATGTGCAAACACTATGATGCTCTCTGAAGACTAGATTGTGAATCAAAATGTGAAGATTTAAAAGAGAGAATCAGACTCTGTTCCATATCCTTGTTTGCTGTTCAACAACACTTAAGCCTCTGTATAAATAAAAGATTACAGAAAAACCAAGAAGTGTACACAAGGCTTGACAAATAGTTTGCTTGCTACCATACACATGTATAGCCTCTGATGCTTTCACAGATCTCAAGTCAGTTCCCTAAAAGAGATTTCATTGTTTGCTGTGAAGGTTTTTCATTGAGTCAGTATAATAAGCAGAGTTCTTTTGTTGACTCCAAGATCAAACAAACTGGCATCATCATCCCTCATCCATCAAGGGTGCAATGGAAGTTCAACAGTTCTTACACTATAATAGGGCAGTGCACCTATGAAGCCTATACCTATCATGAATCTCTTCTCTGGAATTTTCATATTCCAGGAGTAAGGACACTAGTTTCCCAAAATACAATTTTTTTCAGGGGTCCAAAAATTTGGAATGACATACCCATAGATATTCGACCGAGTCCATCACTAAATAGTTTTAAAAGAAAATTTAAACTGTACCTGTTAAGACAATACTCAATAGTGCAATAACCTATATTCTTAATGTTCATCAGACAGAAAAGTGTGTGTTGGTGTATATGGGAGAGAGTGTATGTGTGAATGCAATTCCCCCCCCCCCCTTTTTTTTTCTTCCTTTTTATAACAAATACAAAATTTAAATAATGTACTTAGTTTTTTATACAATTACTGGAGACAGACTTTTACATAAGGCCCGGCCTTCCTGTCTAGTCTCCAAATACTTTCATTAATGTACATGTTTAAAATGTTTTTTCCCTTGTCCATCATGTCTTCACCACTTGTGTTATCCTCATGTTATATATTGATACATGTATTATATTCTAACTTTTATGTTTGCTTTCCTTGTATATTTTTTAATGAAAGTATTGAATAAAGTGAACTTGAACTCATCATTACATAAATATCAAATCCTTTTAATGAAACATTACTCAAAACATAACACATCAAGAGATACAGCTACAATAACCTACAGGATTACCCATTAGCCCTATCGGGTTATAGAATTTGTACAACTTGGATACTGCTCCACTAAGTGCCAGTAAATCATAACTGTTGAACTTGATCTAGGTATACAGTGTGTCCCAGAAAAAAACAAAACTGAGAATTATTGATGTTTTTTCATAACTTAATCACAATTATAGTTAATAATTATAAATGACACATATTTGTAAAGCTTAGATCCACCTCTTTTATTTGATGCAACTCATATGATGCATATTTCATGCATGAGTGATTAAAAACAATTTGAAGAGAGGGTACCAAAAAGTCATTTGACGGGCGTTATTTGAATTTCAAAGAGAAAATCAAATTTAGTTAATCAAATTTAGTAAAAGTTTATTTTCTGACCTTTCATATGACACCTCAATCAGGAAAAATGAGCCAGGAATAACACAGTTCTGTTTGTTTAAAGTATGCTTGCATTTCCATAATTTTATTTAACAAATTCGTGTTCACTGGCTACCTGCCGTAGCAACACACTGAGTTGACAAAAGAGAAAATCACATTTCTGAAAATTTTATTTTCTGCCCTTTTATATAACACCACAATCAGGAGAAATGAGTCAGGAATAACAAAGTTCTGTTGGTTTAAAGTAATGCTTGCATTTCCTTAATTTGATTAAACGAATTCGTTTTCACTTGCTGCATGCAGTAGCAACAGAGTTGACAAAAGACTTATCATAATCATATGGAATTTCTTACGGGATTCATAACAAATTGCAGCACAATACAATTGCATACCGTACCGACGGTCGGGTGCGTGCACATGTGTTTTAAATATAAGTTAGCGACTGTAGGGTCTAAACTTAGTTTACGGTCGCTAACTGAACACTCGCGCGCCCGCACCCCACCGTCAGTACGGTATGCAATTGTATTAATTGTGCTGCAGTTTATAACGTGATTCCTGTGAGAAAGTGATTATTAGGCCTAGATCTATAAGTCTTCGTTTTTAGGAAAAATAGTCTACTCCTAAAAAGATAAGAAAATTGACACAAATAAAAAAACAGGTGGTAGATCTAGACTTCTAGATCTAGACTAGTCTAGAATCTAGTCTGTCTAGTCTAACAAACAATTAGAAATCTATCGACTTTTATTTAAATCATGACCTTTATTTGGACAATTGATGAATATTTACTTCATTTTGGGTATGTTTTAGTAGGGTATCTCCACGCCGGAATCACGGGTCAAAGTTTGGATAGACTTCTGAACTAGCGCCGACTTGGGCGGCTGAAAAGGGCTCTCGGCCTCGCCAGGCTAGCTAGTCTCCCCCGTCAAATTATAAGGAATGGGACCAAGGAAATATTGTTTGCGCATGCACAGTGATGCACAAGAAGCACGTCTACAATTTTAGGATTTAAAAATCGTTACTTACCAAGTAATTGTCATTCCATCTTTCAAGTTTATCTTGCAACAGTGAGTAAGACTCAGCCTTGACAAGTCTACGAAGTGACTCAGCCATTTTATTATTTACAAAAAGGCAAAATGATATAATAAAAAGGATATTTCCTTGTCGCATAAGTTAGCATACGACGTTGCGTGCAAACTCGAGTGTTTTGATGACGAGATTATTTTCCAAACCACAGATTGGCACTCAAGGCCGCAGGTTAACGCCCACCTCTATTTCAATGCAATTCCTTTCAACTCGTTCAATGCCTTTACTAGATACATGACAATAGCAATCAATGAATTTTTTGTCTTGTTTACATGCGTAATACATAGTCATAGATAATTAACGAAAAGTGTATACTTAATCAAGCAATTAAAAAACAATCAATATGTTTGAAAAAGCACACACACAAAATAAATTAAGTATAAAGCTAGGGAAAATAATGCCTAAACTGAACTAAGAGTATATTATACTTTATAATTTTTGTTTATACGTAATCATCAGAGATGGTATTACTTAGTATATATAAGCTAACATAAGAATTATATCAAGAACGTCAAGACAAACTATTTAATAAATCAAAGTTCAAACATACGGATTATATCGGATCTGATTATGCAAAACAATGATGAGTAGACATAGGCCTATACAATCAAATTATATACCCAATACCCATACTATATAGTAGGGGATCATTTCCGAGAAAATCAAGTCCATTTTAGCTTTTTACTTAAGTGGATACTACGTAAGATATGTTGTGTATGAAGTTTGGGAAATGATGGTTAAGAAATACAGCATGCCTTATTAACTGTATTTCTTCAGAAATGCCCCCCGTGTAGCAATATTAGTATACCTTGTTCACTTTTTGAAATGCATTGACAAGTGGCAAAGACAACTTATGTGCATTCATGTTACAAGATTTTGTTTGACTTTCCATCTATTCTCAAATAATTAAAGCATTATCCAAATAACAACTCTATAATCAATATCGTTGTTAAAACTGTTAAAGCATATAATTATATTTTTACGTCTATGGAACTATTTTTACCTTGTAAATTCACTTGCATCAGCCTCCAGCTGCCTATTGCTGAATATTCGAATATAACCTTATCAAATCAAATATTTTTTTTTCTCCTTTTTTTTGTTCTCTAAAGGAAGTTTAAGAGGAAAACAAAATATTGTGGAAAAGAAAAGAAATAATTTGAGATTTATAAGCAAACTGGTCGAGAAAATAGTACAAACTTTATTTCCAATTTTTAATTTTTTTTTTTTTAAATGTGAAAATAAATAATTTTGTTTATGTGAATATTTTTCATCTGTAAATGTGTAACTTTAGTTGCAACCTTGTATGTAAATGTAAAAGTTCACTTGCAAATTGATTTAGACCTACTGTGAAAATTATTTTGTTAGTTTGTATAGTTATAAATTATGTACAATTTTCTTTCGGAGAGAAATAAATAAAAACCTATGAAAAAAGATGATAATGGTTGACATAAGTCACATAAGGCCTAACAATAACGTTGATGGTTTTGAGAACAGAGTCAGAGAGTGAGGTGGGTGTCTGTTCTATGCGATAGTGAATGAGGCCACGAAGGTATATAGTTAGTGCTTCTTCTTCATTTTGTTTCTTCTTCTTCTTCTTTTCTTTAATTTCAGGCTTGGCTTCTTAATCTTCTTCTTTCTTCCTTCTCCTTCTTTTTCTTTATTTCTTTCTTCGTCTTATTTTTCTTCTTCTCCAGTGAATTAAAGTTCATCAAAAGCATCTTATAGTCGGACTAATATCAGATCACTGAAAATTGTAGAAAGGAGAAGTATATCCGATCGTGTAGTTTTTCTTCACAAAGTTGGGCCCACCCATATAGAGATTATGTCATGTATATAGCTCTATGGGTCCACCAAAGAAAGCGATTGCGATGTTATGTGGGAAAAGTAATTTCGACATCGTCACCGCTGGTTGCAATGACGCTACGCATGCGCATTGAAGTTTAATGATAAACAGCTGCGTGCACCGGAAGTAATATCTTAAGCTTCCGGAAATTGCCCTGGGAATAAAATGGAGGAAAACAACACTGCTTTCAGAGTGAGTATTTTTATTTAATTTAGCTTTATTTCTTTTAGCTATGTAGATATGGTTAAATGCAAAAATTATAACATATTGCATGGTTAATATTTGATGTTATAGGCCTTCGGTCTGTTGGTGTAACTGTAGATTTCTAACTAAGTTCCGACAGCTACAGTTCAGTTTTAAAATTTAAGGTCGCTGCAGCTTGCAGTTGCAGCTGCCACGGGCGAGGCACCACTGCCTCGGATCGGATCTAGCCACCCCGCTCCCGCGGCATGCAGGCGGCTAGGCCCAAGTTCGGCACGACTTCGATCCATGAAAATCACTCGGAGGTGGGCGTAGCCTAGAGGCTTGAGCAGCAGTGTAGGGCTAGACTACTAGATATAGGTGTCTCTTAGGTGATAATGTAAAATATGAAATTGATATTACCTAGCCTTGATTGGCACCCATACCCTGGCCTGGGCGGGGTGAACATGGTGAAAAATAAAATTAGTAAAAATAAATGCAAAATCTCCCGTACGTCCTCGCACCCGCAGAAGGGGTCCAGACAACTCGCCACAAAGACAACCCGCCCCAAGACAACCCGCCACAATACCCTGGACATCCCGCCACAATACCCTGGACAACCCGCCACAATACCCTGGACAACTCGCCACAGCCTTTTCGGACAACTCGCCACACTTTTTCCCATCATGATTTCTAGATCTAAAATGAAATGAAATTGTCATTTTTCATGATTTTCGTGCTTTTATAAACACAGTCATTACAAAGAATAAAGAATAAAGTTGATTTCCCTAATTGTAACAATAATATATATTGAAATGAAATTGTCATTTTTCATGATTTTCATGCTTTAATAAACACAGTCATTACAAAGAATAAAGTTGATTTCCCTTGTAACAATATGATTGCAAGAATGGCTGGATTTCTGAAAAAGGGGCACCTACAAAGGGACACATCAACAATAATAAAAACCATTTTTAGATATTTGTATACAGGCCTACGCCTTCGTCAAGATTGTGAATACATTACCACGAATGACATCCATATTTGTTTATTTCTTTATGTGGAACAACATATTGTTTAAGCAACGTACTTCGCAATTTGGTGTGATGGACTGAATATCGATTTTCGAGCAAGCGAGCTAAAAGTATAAGGTCCCATTTGAAAAATTACATGATGAATATTAAAGACAATCTAATGAAGAAAGACTGAAAAGTTCTTTTCTGTAATTATGAGTAACATTATAATTAAAACATCGGAGAAAGAAAAGTAGGCACTTATCAGAAGGGAAAAGGACATGTACAAAATGATAAGGGGCACTTTAGGGGAACCTGAAAAAGTGGAGGCACAGTGCCCCCCCCCCTCCCAACCAAGAATGCCGCCTCTAGCTGACTGTGGGCAAAAGTGCGAAACTAACCCAGAAAATCTAGAAATAAACCAAATTTCAATTTTATTTCGCTGGTCAACTGCCCCCTCCCCCATCAGTACGCCAGTGCTTCCAGTAGGCCTATCCTTCTATTAATTCCTACCATTAAAAATTATCAGAAGGGAAAAGGACATGTACAAAGGATAAGGGGGCACTCTAGGGGAACCTGGAAAAGTGGGGGCACAGTGTCCCCCCCCCCCCCCCCCAACCAAGAATGCCGCCTCTGACTGTGGGCAAAAGTGCAAAACTAACCCAGAAAATCTAGAAATAAACCAAATTTCAATTTTATTTCGCTGGTCAACTGCCCCCTCCCCCATCAGTACGCCAGTGCTTCCAGTAGGCCTATCCTTCTATTAATTCCTACCATTAAAAATTATCAGAAGGGAAAAGGACATGTACAAAGGATAAGGCGCACTTTAGGGGAACCTGGAAAAGTGGGGGCACAGTGTCCCCCCCCCCCCAACCAAGAATGCCGCCTCTGACTGTGGGCAAAAGTGCGAAACTAACCCAGAAAATCTAGAAATAAACCAAATTTCAATTTTATTTCGCTGGTCAACTGCCCCCTCCCCCATCAGTACGCCAGTGCTTCCAGTAGGCCTATCCTTCTATTAATTCCTACCATTAAAAATTATCAGAAGGGAAAAGGACATGTACAAAGGATAAGGGGGCACTCTAGGGGAACCTGGAAAAGTGGGGGCACAGTGTCCCCCCCCCCCCCCAACCAAGAATGCCGCCTCTGACTGTGGGCAAAAGTGCAAAACTAACCCAGAAAATCTAGAAATAAACCAAATTTCAATTTTATTTCGCTGGTCAACTGCCCCCTCCCCCATCAGTACGCCAGTGCTTCCAGTAGGCCTATCCTTCTATTAATTCCTACCATTAAAAATTATCAGAAGGGAAAAGGACATGTACAAAGGATAAGGCGCACTTTAGGGGAACCTGGAAAAGTGGGGGCACAGTGTCCCCCCCCCCCCAACCAAGAATGCCGCCACTGACTGTGGGCAAAAGTGCGAAACTAACCCAGAAAATCTAGAAATAAACCAAATTTCAATTTTATTTCGCTGGTCAACTGCCCCCTCCCCCATCAGTACGCCAGTGCTTCTAGTAGGCCTATCCTTCTATTAATTCCTACCATTAAAAATTATCAGAAGGGAAAAGGACATGTACAAAGGATAAGGGGGCACTCTAGGGGAACCTGGAAAAGTGGGGGCACAGTGTCCCCCCCCCCCAACCAAGAATGCCGCCTCTGACTGTGGGCAAAAGTGCAAAACTAACCCAGAAAATCTAGAAATAAACCAAATTTCAATTTTATTTCGCTGGTCAACTGCCCCCTCCCCCATCAGTACGCCAGTGCTTCCAGTAGGCCTATCCTTCTATTAATTCCTACCATTAAAAATTATCAGAAGGGAAAAGGACATGTACAAAGGATAAGGCGCACTTTAGGGGAACCTGGAAAAGTGGGGGCACAGTGTCCCCCCCCCCCCCCAACCAAGAATGCCGCCACTGACTGTGGGCAAAAGTGCGAAACTAACCCAGAAAATCTAGAAATAAACCAAATTTCAATTTTATTTCGCTGGTCAACTGCCCCCTCCCCCATCAGTACGCCAGTGCTTCCAGTAGGCCTATCCTTCTATTAATTCCTACCATTAAAAATTATCAGAAGGGAAAAGGACATGTAGCCTACAAAGGATAAGGGCGCACTTTAGGGGAACCTGGAAAAGTGGGGGCACAGTGCCCCCCCCCCCCAACCAAGAATGCCACCTCTGACGAAACTAACCCAGAAAATCTAGAAATAAACCACATTCCAATTTTATTTCGCGGGTCAACTGCCCCCCCCCCCCCTATCAGTACGCCAGTGCTTCCAGTATCCTACCATTAAAAAAATTCTGGGACAGAAAAATGCAGCTGTTATAGACCTCTAGATCAAAAGTATATTATTGTTACAAGGGAAATCAACTTTATTCTTTGTAATGACTGTGTTTATAACAGCACCAAAATCATGAAAAATGACAATTTCATTTCATTTTAGATCTAGAAATCATGATGGGAAAAAGTGTGGCGAGTTGTCCGAAAAGGCTGTGGCGAGTTGTCCATGGTATTGTGGCGGGTTGTCCAGGGTATTGTGGCGGGTTGTCTTGGGGCGGGTTGTCTTTGTGGCGAGTTGTCTGGGATTCCCGCAGAATATTGGGCCCTTGTTCAGAAACCTATCCAAAATTTGACCCGTAACTCTGGCGTGGAGATACCAGACTAAAACATACTCAATGAAAATGAAGTAAATATTCATTATAAAAATGTCCAAATCATGAAATAAGTTAAAGATCATGAGTTAAAATTTGTTATTTTTGGAGTATTTTTTGGAAAAACAATGATATTAGTATACACTTTTTCTTAGGTTTCATGGCAAACTGCTGCACAATACAAGTGCATATGGCGATGGTGGATTGCGGGTGGGCGCGCGCCTGTGTGAAGTTATCTACCGTAATGAGGATCTTCTTCTTCATGTAACGATGGAATGATGGAGGGATCATTAGACCCTAGGCCTATTTTATTTTATTTTTTTGGTATGGGGTCATGAAATTGGAAGCATATGCGATTTTACAATATTCAATGATCGTTATCGCGGTTAAAATTGAGTCTAATGTCATGAAATTGTAAATAATAAACTTTTAATGTTGTACAGCTCCCTCTCAAGGTCAAGATATTAAGTTAGCTATAAAACACCGTTTCTTGACTAAAATCGATTGATTGGCTATTCCCCGTTTGGTAATTATATATCACAACAACATATATTCTGAGGTTTTCATGGTCGCAGCTACCATTGTTTGGCCGGATGCGCTATTTGAAATTTTTCAAAATTTACCGGGAGCACCGGTAAATTTGTATTATTCAAATTTCTCGAAAGCACAAATGTTTTAGGGGCTAACTTTTCTAGTGCTTAAAATACATCGACAGGGGCATCCAAATATATCAACATGTTAAAGAATTACTATCCATTCAATTTTCAAAATTTCCCAAAACTTACATTACCTTTAAGGGATTCTTGTTGATTGTTAAAGTAGGATTGAATCCCCTCTATTGCTTGAGTTGAAGCTCCTGCGACAGCCTGAAAAATAACGTTAGATATTAAATGCATCCAAAGATACAGGCTCCCATCGTAATTCCCTGCTGCAGCTTAAAAATTGGGTGGTCTGCACTGCCTTGTTGGATAGCAGTCAATGACCAAAACCCTTACTCTATTCAGCTTTCGTGGCACGCGACCTTTGCATACATTATGCAAAGTGTGGTCAATGCCCCGATGGAAAATGTCATTTTTTGAGAAGAAAAAAAGAGTCCACTAGCGAACTCCGAAGCCCCTGTGTAATTTTCGTCAAGTGCGGGAAGGGGTGATTTCGGACACATTTGGGGTCTTGTTTACCTGCCTCTTCATGCAGGGGTATGGGTGCCAATCAAGGCTAGGTGGGCGGGGGCTATTGCCAGAAGGCACGGGACTGTCAGAGAAGATCAAGCAACACAATTCAGCTGTATGTTTAAGAATTAGTTATAAAACATCCAAATGATCCAATGGTATTTACCTGAGACTCTTGGGATGTGACAGAACTAATACCTGATTTAAACCCAATGAACTTGTTCATCAAAATTATACTGTCTTTTAACATACACTGTCTTTTCTGCTTCTTCCCTATTAAACCCACTCAGAGGTCCAACAGTCGGCTGTCTATGCTGGACAAGTCTCTTGAGAGACGGAGAGTCAACAAAGAACACAACAGTAACTTTAGAGCAGGCTATGTGGCTGTCCATGAAGACCACCTTCATAAGACTGGCCTACGAGGGCGCAAACGCTTTCTTGCCTACTTCCTGCTGTTCCTGATTTATGCTGTTGCAATAGCAAATCTAGTGGTAAGTATACGTACCACTGCCCCAAACATGATGATGTATGTTTCTCTTCTTATTATGTAAGAACACTCATCAAGAACAGTGATTTTGTGAGACATTGTATAGCAAGTACGTGCCACGAGTGCTTTGAAGATGCGATCATCATCATCATCATCGTGTATTAATTAGGTTTATGACTGCACATGTATATGTGTTTATAAGAATTATCATAATGTATCTACAGTGAAATTAGTATAAAATGCAATTAAAAAAGTATTTATTGCACATAAACTTTAAAAGCATCCATGAATTCGCTATGTTATACCTCTCTCTTCTAAATTGTCCAGTTGACAGTCTTGATAGTGTTGGCTCTGCGTATTGACCAGAATGGTTCTGATGTGATGGAGTTCCGAGGAGAAGGCGGAGTGAAGTACAAGACTGACGTGATGGCCGAGAGGGTTCTATCAGATATAGGAGAGTTTGGTGGATATAAGGGACAGGATCTTGAGGTTCATGGTGACGGCCAACCGGTATGTAGATCAAACTCCTGCCTTGCATGTCCAATCCAGACTGCTACATCTACATTCATTTTAACACTTAGCAGTTCAGAGTTTTATTAGTTCCCCCTCCTCAAATTGGCAATAATTATCTAACTTTCCATTCCTTCAGAGTTTGAAAAAATATAAGTTTTTATTAAGTGAACCAATGTTAAAGAAACATAATAAAATTTAAACTTACAAATTATTAATTTGTAACCTAAAATAGTGATTTTTTATTTCACACTGCAAGCAATAACTTTAATAGTCTGTAAGATTCTGATTTAAAAAACAAACAATTACTAAGATATTGAGACATTTGATTGAAAATCCAAATAGATATCTTGTGGCTCGGTAGGTTCTTAGTTTCTGGAGCACACATATTGTATCTTTCACAATTTAGTGGGGTATTTTTTTTCATTACTCACTGTTCAAGTCACCTTTGTATCCCATTTGACAGCTGTGCTTGCACTTCAATCAAACAATCTTTCACTAAAAAGTTTATGTTTTTTGTATGTCTTTTACAGGTGATATTGCAACATATGATTGGACATGGTTCTTCTGGTAAGTATGATGGAATGATTTTTTTTGGAGGGGGGGGGGGGGAGGGGGGGCTTTTTCATGTTTGCCTCATCATTATCACACTGTTGACAATCAATTTGTTTACATTTGGTTTTACCTCAAGCTAAACTTTTGTGATGTTTGAACGATTCAAGTGTCTCATTGAGAAAAAAAAAACACCCCTCAAAGATACAAACAAATTAGAGAAGCTCATACTATCATAATATTACAATATGGGTTGACTATGTCTTTGTAGTAAAGCTAAACAGTATCACTGCTTGATGGAAAGGATGCACATTTTAAGTGCAATGTGAAAAATAAATGTCAATGCAACCAAAATGCATGTCCATCAAGATTTGTCATTGTTTTCTCACTTTCTCTTCCATGTAGTGGAATTCAGTGGCGCCAACACAACATTGAGATCACAGGAAGGACTTCACATCATAGACCCCCTCACTGGCAACACAATTCTACACACAGCCAATGATAGTGGTATACCATCACTGACTGGGATGAAACAACTCAAAACAACACAGGTTATTACAACTAAGGTAAGTAAAGAGGAACTTGATTCCTACACGAAGGTCCTAAATTGTCTTAGCAAGTTAACTTGTGGAACGATTCACTATATGCTCAATTTAGATGCCGAATAAATAAGTTAAATTTGTATGAACCCATCTCTGGTTTATGTCATATCCCTTGGATTCAATTCAGTTCTATTCAGTAATGGATTTTATTTGACAATGCTTTACAGCTAAAGGCTGAATTGTGCATGTTCACAACAATATCTCAAAATGCTTCACATTACTTTTTCACATCACATTGAAAAATGCTTCAAAATTGAATCACTCACTTACAGATCAAGGGAGTGGTGGTTAATGCCTTAGATTTAGATTATTAATGTGTTACTTGAATATATGAAACAAATCTATCTTGCATATATGTGCTTGGAATTTCACAAGCTTTCAACTATTCCACTATGCCAAATACCTAAACACTAATATAATGTTTTTCTTTCTATGAAGGTGACCCCTAGCATTGTTGATGACCTGAGGGTGATGAGTGACCAGGTGTTGACCATACAGGGTAATGAAGGACTGACCATCGGTGCAAAAGATATTGACATGTCTGGATCTAATATCATCTTAAATGCTGTAAGTCCTCCAAATGTAAATTTTTAGTTGAAACATGCTTGTCTTAAAGGGAAAGTCCACCCCAAAAATAAGTTTGTTTCGATAGAGGCAGAATAATAAGAAAATCAGGTGAGTGAAAGTTTGAGCAAATTCTGAATGAAAATAAGAAAGTTATGAATTATTGAAGTTGTGATCAATCAAATACAAATTGGCAACTCTGTGACTTATTATACGAGCTCTCCTTCATTTGCTTTGTGCATAATATTCCATAAAATCATGTTTTCTTCGTTATTGATGACGGAATATAAATTTGTTCCTTGCAGGGGGAGTATAGAAACATATTTGCAATTATTATATTTAGGGTGCATGTATGGTTGAAATTTTTCTTGAGGGAAAATGAAAATTTTAGATTTTTTTAGTACTGAGCAAATGGAAGTTGAGCTCGCATGATACGTCATAGAGTTGCCAATTTGTATTTGATTGATCACAACTTCAATAATTCATAACTTTCTTATTTTCATTCAGAATTTGCTCAAACTTTCACTCACCTGATTTTCTTATTATTCTGCCTCTATCGAAACAAACTTATTTTTGGGGTGGACTTTCCCTTTAACATTTTAGGATAATTTTGTATTTGTCTTACTTTTTAATTTGTAATTACAGTTTTTAATTTCAAAAAGTGTTCAACAGGATCTGAAAACAATGACTTGATCCATCGATAGTTTACTGCTTTGAGATGGAGGCTGTTTGAAATGATTTGAATTTATTTTATGTCCATAGTTTTGGCGCACATGTATTATATCATACAAACAGTGTGAAAGTATGATCATTTGTCCTTGAAAAAAAAAAAAGCAGGTAAAGATATTATACTGATTCTTGTGTTTTATTAAATTTGAAATTAAAAGATACCAAGTTTGATATGAGACAAGAGCTCTTCCTGTTCCTCTTACAATGGCACTGGTATGCACAACCCTTTTTTTTAATTCTTGTACCTGAACAACCTATTAAGACCTCAAATCACTCTGTCAATCATTATCTTTACTCCCTCATTATTTCCCCCCCCAGCTTGATACGCTATCCCTTGAGGGAGGTCCAGACGGAGGGATCTACATCAACACCACCCTCTTACCAAGGAAGAGCACCGCTAGTACGGGTGGTGTAGGCATGGGACTTACCCTCTGTGTGTGTGGTGGTACCGGTAGAATCTTCCAGGTGACAGCTCCACCAGGCGTGTCTCATCCATGTGAAAAACTCATAACTAATCCATGTTTGTAGTATTTAGTTGCTAATCTATAGCTATTGTTTAGATGGCTACTTGTTAAAGAGATATGGTAGCCCTTTTCTTGCCATGCTTTATAGCATTGACTTATTTGATTGTTTTAGTTAATGACACACAGTTGAACTTCCTAGCAGTATTAAGTCTAAACATAGAAAGGTTATTTGAATTATTCTATAATTAGAGTTGCTTTAAATTGAATGACCTAACCTAGTACCACAATAAGAGAAACACCATTATACTTTCTGATGATATGGCATTTAAGATATATTCTTCCATAAAAAGGTAAATCATATCATGTCATTTTTGAAATCCTTAGTGTGGTTGGTGTAAAAGATATCCAAGTTACCTTAGATATATAAGTGAACATGAGGAAGATTCATTTGTAGGGTTAGATTAATTGATAATCTTTACAATATCTCTTATTCTCAAATGAAAAACAGCATATATCTAATTTCATGAGAGCAGGAGCAGCAGATAGTGACAAGATGTGATATACATCTACATAAAAGCTTTGCTCTAATTCTTTTCAAATGTCAAAATCCAGAATGAAATATGTTGTTGTTGTTGGTAGTAGTAAAATGGCATTTATTCAGTACTGAATATATACGCCATATCTTCAGTTTTATAAGAAAAATCAGTTATTAGTAAAGAAAACTGAAAATAAACGAAATAGGGAATTTGATGCTCTTTTATCCTTGATGTCATGTAAAATGCATTATAACCTCATTATAACAATCACTTTAGGATCAGTGAGGTTCCTCTGTTATATCTCAAACCTTGTTAATATATCACGGCTAAAAAAAAAAAATATAGTAAAATACGACATGGGACCAGCAAAATTAATTTGTGATAACGAGAGTTTAAATATAAGTGTTCTGTATACGTTTGACTGTATAGGGATTAAGCTCTTGCTTGTTGATGTAGCCAACAAATCAATCTCTATTCAGACTGAACTTGCTATCTACTAGCCCAAGTAGGGCCAGTGATTGATCATGTTTTATATGTTGATTTTATACTTATATGGCTGAAAAATTTTGCCCATTTTAGTGATGATTCTATTTATTGTATTTTAGTTTGTGTTTTTCCACATTTTATGGAGGCTTCAGGAGTATAATATGCAAATTTCTTTTCTGATTTTTAGGATGAAAATATAGAATGATCTTCTACTCAAATTATGTGGACATTTTGCTAAAGTAGCTAGCAGCTCTGTTAGTAATTTTTGTGTAGATGAGGAAGGTAATCCATTATTGGAACATTATATTCCATGCATTTTGCAGTTCCTAGTATGTTTCAGTTTACTGCTGAAGATCACATTGTACAAGTTGTATACATGTATTCATATAAAAACAATAGGAGTCATATCTGAGATGCATAAATATTTATGCAGCATTTTGATTGAACCTTGGACATATAACTGTGTATACATGTGTTTACATGTGTTTATACACAGTTTTATTAATTTATGGGCATTAATGCTAGACATTAGCTTTTCACCTTGTATGTTTAGTATTAAAAGAAGACAAAATGATGCTATACAAAACAGCTTCATGTATTAATACTAGCTTCTTGCTTCTTCAAGCTTATTGCTGAAGATCACCTTTTATGTATTTATTCTTAAAAATAGGAAGCGTATTTGAGATGCATACATGTATTTGAATATATCGAGGGTTCAGTGACACAAAGACGTAACTCCATATTTTGCCAAAATGAGTATTTGATATCATGTTCAGAAAAATGTGGGCTCTCCAGGAAACACAAAGACTTAACTCCACCCAACACCCCATTGAAGTCGATGGCTAGTGAAACATAAACTTAACTCCTTAAGGCCCAAGTGGACCTCTCATCTTTAAACCACTTTTTCTCAAAATGGAGTTACGTCTTTGAGTCACTGAACCCTCGATATGCATTTGTGTTTATAATGTATTTATTAATTTATGGGCTTTTATGCTAGACATTAGCTTTTCACCTTGTATGTTTAGTACTAAAAGAAGACACAAGAGTATGCTGTACGAAGCAGCTTAATTTGGTATATATTTATTGCTTTAGCTTGTAATTGATGACATGTGCAATATGTTCTTAGAAATATTCTGTATTGCTTTGTATAGCTTTCAGCATAATAAAAGTTGAAAATGCAATTCTTTGAATGTATGTTTCGTTATTGATTGATGTTAATTCACAATGTCGGTCATGGTCATTGATAAGGTTTAAATTTCAATCTGCCCTCTCTCTTTTTTACGTTTATTAACATAATTAGTGGCTTATCCATAATAGAAAGTTTTAAAAATATCAGCCATATGGTATTAAATCTGAGTGAATCCATCATAACATGGGAAACCCAGTCATCAATAAATCATATTCCACAATAGATACCGATATGTGATTTTTCAGGTTGCCTTCTACCCCATACATGTATCCAAAAATCAGAAATTAAATGAAATTTATTTTGATCTTTTTAAAAACTTTAACCAACAGTATGCATTACCTTAGATAAAATTAAATCAGGAAATGATACATAAACCAATCAGACTATGAAATAAAACAAATTCAGACATCATAACTTATACATATAGAGATGATTAACAGTAGAAAACTTCATTTTCCACCTTCAGAAAAAGTTGACTTTTCATGAGTGAATGCAACTGGTGTGACTGAATACATTATAGTAAATCATTAATGGACTGAAATCTAATAATGTAGTTAACAACTGAGGTTTATACATCAGTACAAGCTCATTATCTTGCAGCATACATGAATCTCTTTCTCAAATGTATACAAGGTATTATATAATTTAAATAGGATTTCATTCAATCAAATGAATATTTTTAAAAAAAACAGACTAAATTTAATTTTGAGTGACTTTGAAATACATTTTGTTTAGTACACCTTGGTATGAATTTATGCTCAGATTTCAAATGTACTTCAATCTAAACTGGTAAAGAAATTCATTGGTGATTCATACACATCATTAATCAGCAGCAGCATCAGCAATGCATGTGAAGGCATGTAAGGTGTGTTCGGTATCCTCGCCTCTCTCATCAGTCACTATAAGCTAAACGATTATAAATGACAGAGGAATTAAAAAAACTACACTGTATAAAACCAAGTATCATGTCTGATAAATCTGAATACGGATGGTTTTCTTTCAGATAGAATGATGACACATACAAAGATAAATAAACTTTGTAAATACAATGTACATCTCTGAAAATTGAAGAGCATTTTCTTCCACTTCCTCATACACATCATCATCAATTAAACACAATTTTATCGCATTATCCTGAATGTGTTTGAATACAAAATAAAAATACAACACAAATGCAGTGTGTGTGGTGATTATACATAAAATGAAAGAAAGCTTTTGAGGGGCTATAGTTCATAGTTCAAATACGCTCACATGTGGAGTAATATTACAGCAATCTGAAAACAATTCTAATATAGTCAATATTACTTTCACTGCACAAGAATTGGTATAAATCAACAATATTCAGATAACTTGTGGCCATTTAAAAATGAGAAAAACAATGTACATATATTTCCAAGGTGTGAGATTCCTATCAAGACAACATCAGGGACCTGTTTCACAAAGCCTTCTTCCTATGACAAATGACAAAAATCAGAGACAAATCTGCTGATAACCAATCAGAAACAAGGATTTCAGTAGCTTATAACAAAAACTGTCATTTGTCACTGATGACAAGTTTTGTGAAACGCCCCCCAGGAGAGCAGAAAGCAAGAAAAGCCCCTTTAAATATAATGTGACTACAGAAATGTGAAGCACACTACACTCTTGTCATTTTATTTGGTCATGACCATTTTTTCCTTACTATTTGCTGCATCATTTTAAATGATCATTAACAAGATGGAAGCACCGACTGTCAGTTCCTGACCATTCCTTCCGAACAATGTCTCCTTTGAAAGTATGCAGACAAGTTTCACCTTTAGACAGCTGCGGCAAGGCAATCACAGTGTCATCTTATTGAAATGTATTAAGCACCTTGCGCAGTGGATGAGAACACTATACTTGAAACCAATATATCATGTTAAATTCTTGAAACTATATGAAAGCACCCGATGACAAGTTTGACGAAATTAGGTTCTTGCTTTTCCACTGCCAGAATAGATCCAAACCTTGTCTATAGATCATCTTTAATAGATCATGTTCAGCATCTGAATGTCATAATCCTTCTTGGATATTCATTATCATAGGTCCATCTCCCATGGTCTATTTCATCAGAAATTGACAAAGTCATATTCTCTGGTCATCTTGAGAGTAACGGTCAAGATCTCTTTGTCTCCATCCCACTTAGCTCGGCCGTTCTTACTATCCACAGGATGAGGGAGATGTAGTCCAAGTTTGCTGAGAAAGGAATAAGGGAGGGCGAAGAGGTGTCATTTGGGATATGTACATAAGAATTACTTGACAACCAACTATAACATCACTGAAATGTGACTGAGAGCACTGTGAGCTGTTGCATGTGGTTTGTGAATCGGTTGTGCTACAATTTTATAGCTCACTAACAGGTCTGCTTGTATATTTTCTCTTCTTAATGTAAAAAAAAGTTTAAAGAAAGTCATGAATACAGGTATGCATAGGCTCGTGCCCCTCTGAATATCTCTCTTGACATATTCTACACAATCTAGCCTGGAATAAATCTGCTTTACTCAGAAAAATTAATTGGAAGCCACAGTATTTAATTATCATCAAGTATATTTGGATTCATAACATAATACTCACTGGTTTGGTGTCCTGCAATCTAGAAATTTGTCCTTCACGTCTAATTCAACATCTGCATACTTGACTCCTGGCAGCTTAATTTTGACCTTCAATAACAAAAATAAAACATGGTTTCAATACTGCATACATTAAAAAACTGCATATTGATTTGACTGTACCCATACTGTACACTGTACTTAGAGATAGAGAAGTGACAACAGATATATAACATTGTTATTGCAAAACGGTAATTGGTCAATAACTCCATAAGGATTTTTTCTGACTTTTCTCAAGTCAAGTGTCATCCTAAAAGATTTCTTAACCAATAATGTCAATATATTCCAACAACAGTATATCATTAATATGAGATTTAGCAAGATAGCTTTGAATTACTACACAATAGATTATCTGGTGAGTGATTCCATATGCAATGAATCTCATGGTCCATGAAAAATACCAAAGAAAATATTTCACAAACTGCATTAAAGCCTGTCTGTACTAATTTGGCCATGAGGGATTAGACCACCCAGCGTGGTCACTAACAGGTGGTTAACTCATTATCTCAGCTCTCAATTAACAAGAAAAAGAGGATCATGGGGGACCAACATGCACCGATTATGCATTGTTTTCTATATAGAGGGAGCAAGTTGCTACAAGTAGTGCAGTGGGGCTTTAATAGTGCCTCCACCTCCAATCAAAATATAAAAGCAAAGGAAGACAAATTAAAACAAAATGAAATAGTCGTCTAACTATTTCTTACCACAAGGTCTTCACATGATGAAGTCGCTGGCGTTTTTCTACCCATCTGGAGGAACATATCTTCGGAGGAAACTGCCTGCTTGAAAATGATGTCATACCTGATGTGAATGGAAAATTAGTATATATTAAAAAGCAGCTTAAAGTGACTTGGTAACATTGTTGAAGGTTGATGAAAAAATGCTTAATTTTTGTATAAAATGGTACTTACTATATTACTTCTAGTAGAAGGAATATAGTAAGTACCATTTTGTACAAAAATAACCCTCTGACATGCAAAAAATCCTGAACAAATTCTCAAACCATGAAGATATCTATGGTTTTCTTTGAAGTGGTCGATGTATGACACCCTCTAACAGTGATTAACAGTAAATTCTCCCAACCATCCGTTTTTCCATGAAAAAAAGACATAAAACAAGCTATAAAAAATCTGTCAGCACTAAAATGTCTGGAATGGAATGTAGAGCCATTTTATTGCTTTGTGACAATTTCCATTCACCTCAAATGTAATTAAATTGTAATAATATAGTTGGGAAAATTAAGGAATCGATCAGATCAGTTTTTCTCAATTTGTACCATGAATAATGGTCTGTTTTCACTCAAATTTTCAGATTATCTTTAATTGTACATCTAGCATTGAAGTCACTACCTTAGCTCCACTATCTCTCATCTGAACAATATTACAAAGTCCCTTTAAGAGCTGGATAACATAAAAATATATGTATATCATGCAAAAACAGATACAAGGTAAAATTTTGAATAATAATGCAAAGTCAATAACTGATATGGGAAAAGGTATTGAGTGTGCAGCACTTGCGCTAAAGTACATGAATTAAGAATGAAGAAAGATAGGGAAAAGGAAAACAACTAACAAAGAAACAGAGAGAGAGAGAGAGGAAGAGAGACAGACAGACATATAAACAGAGAGAACCAGACAAACAGAAAGAGAGAGAGCTAGAAAGACAGTGATAGACAGAGAGAGAGAGAGAGAGAGAGAGAGAGACAGACAGACAGACAGAGATAGACACATAGACAGAGAAAGATATATATATATATAAGCAAGTTTAGTGAAACTGCAATTTATATATATACATATATATATATAGAGAGAGAGAGAGAGAGATGCAGATAGGCAGAGAGAGACAGACAGACAGAGATAGACACATAGACAGAGAGAGAGAGAGAGAGAGAGAGAGAAAGAGAGAGAGAGAGAGAGACACACACACACAGGCAGGCAGGCAGACAGAGAGAGAGAGAGAGAGAGAGAGAGAGAGATACAGATTAGTGAGGGTCATGCTTACTCTGGTTCTGGTCTAGGATCATAGATATCTTCAAACTCTGAGCCTTCAGTGACAGCCTCAGCATCCCAGATATCCTTTGTATCACCTGACCTTTTACCTACATCAGCTGAGCCATGGAAAACAAAGAAGGAGTAGATTTTTCTGGATGAACAATTCAACTTGGACAAACAAATAATTCTAAGCTGTTTAACTCCTTCTATGCCAATAGAACTGATACCCTAAATGAACTACCAAGAGTCAAGTTTGGGGTCTTAATTTCGTGTTCCATAGTTCAATCAAAAGAATTACCATATACAGTATATATATATCTGTATCTACTTCAGACTAAAATAAATTATTAATTTTTCACTGAAAAAAAGTCATATAACGATGAAAGTTGTGAGTAGGATTTAAGCCCATGGCACAGAAGAGATTACATTGCATTGTAATGTTTCAACTAAATTATTATCAATTTTTTTGTTGTCGTGTGTGTGGAGTATATGAATATGATTTGGTATCTTCTAAATACTAGAAAGGGGAAATAACTATCAAGTCATATTTTCATCACTTTATTGAAGTATAATCATCAACATTATCCAGTCTATATCAAAGACTTGGAAGATTCAATGCAGTCCCTCCCCATATAAATGACCAAGATGAGTTATTCTATGTCAATAATACAGTACGAAAGCACGACTATAACATGAATGAGAATACTTGTACATTTGAAGAATTAACACTAACTATGTAATTTCTCACCTTTATTTGGTTCATGTTTCTTTGGAGGTCCTATTGAACCAGGTCCAATGGAAGCATTCTGTGTTGAAAGCTGGAAGCAAAAAATAACAAAACCAAAATAAATAAATAAAAGAAAGAAAGAAAGGGAAAAAATAACTATTTAAAGCCATTCCTTTTTAATCTACCTTGTTATAGTAAACAATTTTCTTTGAATATAGGTATTATATAATTAATATAATATCTAAATATTTGAATATACAAATGTAGCTATCTAACAGTAATTAATCATAACCTTAACTTCTAACATCACAAATACCTTCTCCTTACCCGTTCATCATCACTCTCATCCTCCTTCTCATCTTTTAGCAAGCTGGCAAGAGCCGTGATGTTTGCACCCATGAACTCCATCTTCTCGATCAATCTTGTACTGTCTCTGTCCAAAACTCCTGGCTATCAAGAAAATTTCATCAACAAATATTTTGTTAAGAAAGAGGAATTCATCTTACTGTAGGTCCTACCTATTAATGTTACAATAATCATGCATACTTAATACAAAATCAAGAAAAGTTCAGGCCAGCTTAATTAGTACTTAGAATCTCACTAGTTATGATCACTTAACCAACGACAAAGTTTGAATGTCATGAGACACGAGTGTCACTTATGATTAGACTGAAAGCTTCAGTCTCTGATATCGACAGTTGTTCCACTGGACCACGTCTGGCTCCACTGACCGCCTCTCAGTATACAGAAACTGAAATACATTGTACAGGTTAGTGAGGGGATGGGCAGACTACCTGAAATGGAGTTCATATATTTTGATGTTGTATTTGTTGATGATGAATTTCTATGTTACTTTTTAGTATTAAAAAAAATATCAAACAGTCAAGTCTAGATAATGAAAAACTGAGGGCGAATATTGGCTAGTTAATCCAAATCCCCACCCTTTGTGTTTGCGGCAAGGGCGTCTGTGTATTGGGAAGTGTAGATCTATGTAATTAAGTTTTTACAGACATGCATCAATCAGATAGATCTATGATTATTTACGTCTGGGTCCCTACGTCGTTGACGAAGCTGTTCATGACTCGACTAGATTTCTTGTTGTCGCGGGCAGCGTTGCCTGTGAGTTCCAAGATTTCAGCAGCATGGTTGAGTTCTTGTTGAGTTCTTCATCACTACGCACAGCGAGTTGAAGGTGGCAAAGTTGACAGAAATTTATTTATACCAGACGGTTATTTCTGTCTATTTTACTTAGTTTTGTACTGTCTTTGTGAAGTCACACATGCTGGCACATATCAAGACAAGTGATTAAACTGGTTGAACAATACGCTCGAACTCGAGTATCGAGCTGGAGCGAGCAGTGCGTTCACTAGTCTATGCAGTAACTTGAGTAAGCTCTCGCCTCGGCGCCCCGGGTCAAGCCGCGGCTAGCCAGTCTGTTTGTGTCTGCTAGCTAGTGCTAGTCAAATAGTCAAAGATCAATGTCACTGTCATTTCAGTGGATCATTGGTGATATAAGGCGTCATGATATACTTATTAAGATTTTTCATGATGTTAATGTTTCCTGAGTGAATATCATGACCCAAATATAACATGTACGGAGATAATATTCATGAAAATTGTAGAAATGTTGTATTTCACTCACCCGATTTTGCCTCTCTTGAACTGCACTACCTACTCACTCTTGTAAACATGTATGGTAAGCTAGAAGTAACGTAAAATACGAGAATGTAAAATATTATTGTATTCGCGTTAAAGCATGATTTTTGTCAAATCCTTCCAAGCATGTCTTTCTTATTCCCTAATTCATAGTTTTACATTGGATTAGTTTTTTTGTTTTTCTTTTCAACAAGTACAATGCCCTAAAATTGAATAGTTTCTAAACACAGAATACACTACTATGGGTGTACCATACTTGCTGCTATAACAACGCCACGCTGATTGATTGATTGAAAGCGCTTTCGTAGAGCAAGCTATCCATTAGACAGCAATAACCATCTGATTTGGGTCATTTCTTTAATAAAACTGACATTTGTTGTCATTCCCCAATACATAATCGGAGGTCTAGTGGAGCCAGACGTAGTCTCAGTGGAACAACCGACGATTAGAGAGACTGAAGTTTTCGGTCTAGCTATCCATTTGCCTATCGATGGCTAAGCTAGTAGAACCCAGCATACGCAAATCTAAATGGTACGAGGCATCAGAACTACGGGGAAAATGTGTGGGTATTAATAAAATATGAAGGAAGAGGAATGGACAACTATATTAGAAGAAAAAAAGAAGGAAAAAAGGGTAATGGCAGTTGGAAATGACATTAGAGAGAAGGTGAGATGGTGAGATGGTGATGAGGATAATGAGTGTTCATGGTCAGGTGGTAGGAGAGAAGGAGACAAGGTAGCCCTTATGAGGGCCCTTACTTGTGTTTTAGAAACGTGGTTGAAGAAGTGAGAGAGAGGGAGAGAAGGAGAAAGAGGGGGAACAGAGTCAGAAAGAGAGAGAGAGAGAGAGAGAGGGAGATGGGTGAAATTGTGGGTTAGAGAAAACTGGAATACACTGAGGAAGAAGAAAGGAGAGAGCATCCCATCATCTCTCTCTCTCCCTCCCTCTCTCTCTCTCTCAAATTAAATAATACAAACTCATCAGATTGTTATGTCTGTAAAAATGTATTATTTACAATAAATAAACATACCACTACGAACAATTTAAATGAATTTCTACTAGTGAAGTTCAATAACATAAAGAGTTACTATAACAAATCCGTAGGCTTATATTGAAAGGAGTCACATCGTTTGACTACGCCTATATAAAATGATATTTGTATTACATGTCATAACTTTCTTGACATTCTTTCAATGATTTCTCACAAAACAAAATAGTAAAATCACATTGCGTAATTGATAATGTTGGGAAGGCAAATGTCTTTTTTGTGATTCCTGGAAGAGAGAACAACAAAAACTCATGCCATACGACTTTTAGTACCGATTGCAATTTGTTAACATGAAAAACAAATTGTTTCTTTCTTCTTAGTGGGAAACAAGCTTCAGTTTCAGTTTCAGTTTATTGTTTCCATATTTCACATGCTAGAAATATTACAATATAAAAGTCGGATACTTTGTAAATTATGATCGCACAAAAGTAAATTACATACAAATTTAGTTATTGATCGAGTTGTTTAAAATAACAGCTTTTACAAAAAGACGGATATATTTGATAATGAAATATGACGACACCTACTAAAAATCAATGCTTGTAAAGAATTATCCGTACAATTATAATGATGAAGAAGATAAGTTTGACTACTAGGTGCGATGAGAAGGATATTAAAAAACGACCCTCCCTTCTTCGGAGAGGCAGGAATATTATTATAGCCGTCTTTTATTTAAATGCACGTTCAATACACAAATTGGCCAAGCTGCAAAATGAATGAGAGAAGAAATTAACTGCATGCGAGATTAGTAATGCTTTCAAAAAAAAGACAGTGATGAATATGACGGACAAAGAAAACGGAAAAGTATACAGTTCCTCATTCTACCCTCAACAATTGCTGTGGTAGACAAAGGAACATCCTTTCACTGCTATTATATAAAAATGTGTAGAACAGGTGTCACATGCATATTCACCTGTATTTGTACATAATAGCAGTGAAGGGATGTTCCTTTGTCTATCACAGCAATTATATGAGGAACTGTATATTTTGTCCTCTTTCTTTATGCGTCATGTTCATAGTGTATGGAACGTGTTTCCCGACAAAGCACCAAGGATTTAAAAAAAACAATTTAATGAAGTGAAAAATAGCGGAGCTGGTTCAGCACTCAATTCAGTTGGGAATAATGAGCAGTATAGTAGTAGTCGCTCTATGCAGAGCGAATGTATTTCATTTCCCACGTAATATAAACAATGACAAGATATCACAATAATAAGCACAATGATTATAACAAAAAATTAGCATAGAAATATCTTTGACATTGTTTGTACTTATTCTTGTAATGCGAACTTATTTACTTGGAAGCAATGCTTGTTATGGTGTATAGGTTCACAAAATAATAATTTAAACTTTATCCATTCATAACTCAATTTTGAAAGATTACGGAGTCAAAGAAACATGATGGACACAAAAAACGAAACAAAAACAAATAAGAACAGTGACAGGATGACAAGATGATGATGGTAGATGAAGAAAATAAGGGTGAGGGAGTGACAAACAGGGAAAGGGGGAAAACGGCATAATAGAAGAAGCAGAGAGAGAGAGAGAGAGAGAGAGGTTGTTGTTGTTGTTGTTGTTGTTGGTAAACGTTTTATGGCGTTCATTTAGAATTGAATATATACGCCATAAATCTTCAATTTTATAAGAAAATCAGTTATAGTCTTCATAAGAAAACTGAGAATAAAGATTTGTAATAAAATAATTAATTAATAAGTAACGCAATTTATTAGGAGTCTCTGGATGGTTTGCAACTTCGTGTTTCTGCTTTTTTAAAAAGTTTAATCTGGTCAGCCCGGTTTCGATTGCATGGAAACTAGCTTTGCCCGAGAGAGAGAGAGAGAGAGAGAGAGGGGGGGGGGGGAGGGGCTGGCCATGGAGTAATCATTTTTTAGTATATATGATATGGAAATAAATCATACACAAGTCTCGATTTTTTTTTTTTTCAAATTTAAATTTTAAAAAAATGGCCAGTCCGGCCCAATATGAGAAAAAGGGGAACTATATTTTGAAACGTCTACAACAAAAAAACGCAGAAGGCATTTTTAAATCCAAATAAGGGCATTACACAATTTTGGGCCAGTAAAAGTAAAGATTATATTGGAAAATATACCGTTTTTTGTTGTTTTTGGTTCAGGTGATAAGAGCTTGCTAATTAAATTTCCACCACTTAATTAAAATATCAAAAATTCGTTGACAAAGCAACTCTCTTTTTTTCCTTCTTTCTAACATCAACTAAGTCATTTTTCAGACACTGATAATGTGTGCTAAATCAACAACTTATTCATGTCATGTTAGCATGTCATTGCATGAAAAGATCTGTACAGATTGGTTCTAGAGAATAATATGCTACTATGTTGTACTCAAATTTTTATTCAGAAACGGTTTTGTATCCCCCCCCCCCCCCCCATTTTGTTTGTTCCTAATACATGTTTTTTTTTTCCTACTGGGGTGATTTCTAGAATGATATCTGGTGCCCTAGCCCTCTTCTACCTTCTCCTATTCTGACACCCAGCTTCCGTTCCAGTATGTCTTCAAGCACACTGCCCCCCTTAGATGTGCCCTATATCCATACCCCCTTCCGTTTTCTGATTCTCTTCCTCATCAGGTTCCCTTCTCCATCCACTCTCTTCAGTACTTCCTCATTATTTTGTAACTCAGCTTCCCAACATTCCTTCCATCCTCTTGTTTAGTGATTCCAGAAAATAAGGACGCAGGCTCAAGTATTTTCAGTTCAAAGTCATTCTGCTTTATTTAAGTCCAGGCAATCGATATCAAACATTATGATAGAACAGGCAGTCTAATAGACTTTATCTATTTCTTGCCACTCTCCCTACAGGTAAATCAAATCTCTACAGTCCCTAGTCTATATAATTATCTTCCTCGTGCCATACATGAGGCCCACTTTCATCCTTTCCTCTGGCATGTTAATCGAGACATATTATTTAAAGCACGAGTAAACATTTGCATCACATTATCAATAGGAGATAAAGCAATCTACTACCCGATCGCATGCCTGGGTGCTTTATCTGGCAAGCAGCCATACAGTCTAGCATACACCAAACTCATTATAATACCAGAGACATTACAGAGCTTAGAATCAATCTACTTCCTGACTGCATGCCTGGTTGCTAAGTCAGGTAACCAGGCATGCAAGGCATGCAAGTCAGGTTGACATCAAGCGAAAGTTACAAAGTCATTTCATTAAACTCTTATAGACTATTTTATTTCTCCTTAGAACTTCTTGGAACGAGCCATTGAATGCATACAACATGCTATCTTGTGAGCCATCATAAATCAAGTAATCCTCTGGCAAGTTGTAGGGTCATCAAGGGAAATCTTTCAAGTTTGCATGTACCGGTGAATGAGATTGCAATCCATTGGCAAACAGACCTATTACTTTTGATGACACCCAGACCACGGCAGGGTCATACATGGCTCCCTTATTAGTTTAAATGTAACATAATTTTGAGTGTTGTACAAGAATATACTACATTATCATTATTAACAAATTCAGTCAAGAGACCTTTCGTATCAACTTTTTTGTCCATTATTTATCCAATTATATTGAATAAATCCATAAATTAAAACATTTTATACCGACTCCTTATTGGAAATCATATCCAAATTCGCAGAAAACACACAATGATTTTCTTTTTAGAATGTTAGAATATACTTCAACAAGCAACTTCATTAATCATTATTGTTGAAAACCGTATGTACATGTAAAACATTTAGAACATCTTCAAAATCGCGGCACAGAGAACAAATATGAGAAGACCAACATTAGAGGTCAACAGCACGGCTGAACCATAGCCTTTCACTTCTCCTTCTTCTTCGTGACACGACGTGACCCCGGACGTAACATTGACATTGACTTTGACATCAGAATCACGATAGGGGATGTTATCTGGTCCGTATTTAGCGACCACTGATGAGCAGCGATTGATCATGAACATTCCATCTTGAACTAGAAAAAACAAACATATAAAAAATACACGAATATTTATAAAAGGAACAATAAGGAACAATAGGAATTAATGGTCATTAAAAGTCTTTACATAATTTTGAAGGGAATGAGGTTCAGTTGAAGAAAAAAAAAGAACCCGTCAATGTAAACTTCAGAATGACATCTCGCACAGATAAACAAAACAAAACTGATAGAATTCATCCAATTGTAAATGATAACTGTTTCAATGTGTGTTACCAGTATTAAGTTATTTGCGTTTTGAGTGGTTACTGGTGAAATAGTGTTTTGATTATGCCCCAATGTGTAACACATGAGGACATCTATTTATAAATCATTGATGAAATGTAATCATACTTTCAAAATATCTAAATAGAAAATTCAGCTTGGTCTGGAAGGACTTGTATATATTTGATTGGACTGTTCAATCTCATTAGTCATAGTCATATCAGTATCATATTTATTTTGTTTGTACTAACAACTTGAACACTCGTGATTATACAATTTAAGTTTTGGCAATTCATCTTTAAGAGTAACAGTCTCCGTCCTCAACAGCTGATGAAATTTATATTTTGTTTTATTTTGTATACGACGCCCTTATCAACAGGACGTCTATAGTTTAAGAAAATTTGCACTGGTGTCTAAATCGACTCACTTTGTCCAGCAATAAAGTAAGTTGCATTGACCTGTAGGTCAGTGAACCCACATGTGTGCCCTTCCGTCCTGATCGCCAACGTAGTCGGAAGCTTTCGAAAACTCCGATAAACCTTGCCCACTGATACACGGTAGTCGATCACGCTGTCAAGTGAGTTCTGTTCAGCTGGTGAGTTCGTCTCTAACAAGGTGCCAGAAATAACTGCATGGAAGAATGAGAGTCATCCAACAAAGATTGGAAATATTCAAAAATATTACTCTTAGTTGCGTAATATTAGGAGCGCATGTGGGGAGGGGAAGAGAAAAGTGACAATATTTCTCACCATTACGCCTACATTCCTCTTCTCAGCATGACTGTTTTTTTTTTTTTTTTTTTGGGGGGGGGGGTAATATTGTGCTTTCTAGTTACTTGGAATATTGAAATCTTTGTTTTAGATATGAAACTTAAAACATACGAAATTGGACACTTATTCACTTTAAAAAAAAAATTCACTTTCAGAAAGAGAAAAACGTCACTCCCAAGAAAGTGAAAATAGAGTGAACATTCACTCTTTTTTTTTTAAAGAGAGTAAGTGGCATCTATCTGTAGGGAGATATGACCAGGCGCGGATCCAGGATTTCTTAGGGGAGGGGGCCCAACTTTTTCTTTTTTTTTGCTCCCAAAAATTTGAAAATCGCGCCGGCCGAAAAGTCGCTCAGTGGGGGTGGGGGTGGGGGTGGGGATGTGTAATGATCACTTTTTTTTTGGGGGGGGGGGGGAGTCCTCGAAAATTTAAAAATTTGCACCCCCTCCCTTGAGCGCCAGGGGGGGGGCAACCCCCCAAAAAGGTACAAATCACGTGTTTTTACATTATTTTTTTTTCTCAAGGGGAGGGGGGGGTGCCGGGCCCCCCGCCCCCCCCCCTGTATACGCCACTGGATATGACATCCATTATAATGGTAAAGGGACATTTATCCAAAGTAAAAGGGGCACTTATCAGACGCAAAAGGGGCATTTTTAGGGAAGAGGAAATGGCACTTTCTGATGTAAAAACGGGCACCTTTAGGTACTTTCAAAAGAGGGGAGGAGCATTGTGCCCCCTCCCCGGACTGGCGGCACCGCCTCTGATTTGTAATATTAAAAAATCATGAAAAAAAATACAATGTTTCATGCAATGTTGCAATTTATAATTGAAATCGATTAAATTTATTAAAATTTAGGTATATACTTACCATAGTCAGCGAGGCATATCTTGGACTCATCAGCCAGTTGAATGCACTTACATGCGGTGCTTCCCTTGAATGATATGGCCACCAGTGTGAGAACAACTACTAGAGATAAAGATGACATTGCTGCTGGAAAAATAAAAGTAAAACATCAATTAGGTTATGAAATTATAAGAGACAGTTAACTCTAACGTAAATGGTGACGAGTTTGCTAAATATATAGTGACAATCCGCAAACCTTTAAATGGACTTGATTAAACATATAGTTGGAACAATATCAACCAGGCTCGCCTATGATGAAAATTATATTTAAAACAAATATGTAATAATTCATTACGTATTCATCCAATACCTAGTAATTCAAAGAATTAAAGAAATGTTAGTGGTGGATTAAAAGTATTCATGCGATGAAACCTCATTGTAGATTTTGATCTCATAGACTATGATTAAAACACAGTGATGCTCCGCTCGCTTTGATGTAGATGAATTTTATTATGATAATCATCGGAACATAAATTATCGAAACACAGAGATGCCGAAACATTGGGTTGTCTGACCCTATATGGACATTTTTAAGACAAGGGACGTTATATAGGAACACCGTGTCGTTTTATCCCAGAGCTTTTAAAAACACAGGGGTGGCGGAATTATAGGGTGTCGATGTGCATAGAAGCGTCGGAAAGCAATAGAGGGACGAAACATTTTGGGGTGGTGGAACCTATAGGGATTCAAAACACGGGGGGGGGGGGGTCGAAATGTTAAGGAGTCGGAACACGGGGGCATAGCAAGGTAGGGATATTTTGTCACAATAAAGGGGCGACAGAACATTATATTGGTGTCGGAACATTAAGTGTCGAAGTAATGGTAACAACAGAGCGATGAAACATAGCGGTGCCGAGACATAAGGTGCGTCAAATCACAGGGATGCGGTAAAACTGGAATGAAGGAACACTGATCCGTTGGAACTAGGGATTTTCGGAACATAATTATATATTGGTGTCAAAACATATAGGGGCGTTGGATTAAATCGGACGTTGGAACACAGGGATGACGGAATTATAGGGATGTGGGAATAAGGAAGCTTCGAAATAAAGATGTGTCGGAACCTGTCGGAAGCAAGCGGTACGTACGCACCACTATTTGTTTTATTTTTTATAATTTTTTTGGGGGAGGGGGCGGTCTTTGTCATCTTCCGATTATAGGATATCCTTTTATTTTCTACGTCACAGTTCAACTAACTAAAAAAATAGGCTTAATAAGACATAGCCAATCACGTGGCCTAAAATGCATAATTTTCGTATATTTAAAGATAAAGGAATACACAAGAAAGCTTGGAGACTATAAACAGGAAACTCAACAGATAAACACGGTAATACTTTTCCTAATTACTTCATTGCACAGTAATTGCTCCAAAAAGATATTGGATGGGTTTTAGAATAGTAACTGGAAAAAGGATGGGATAATGTATATACTCACTGACTGGTGCGGGAATGATTATATTGAGACCTCCTTAGGATTGATACGTTAATTGATCTGGAGACTTGCGCTTTCCTAATTGTCTGCTCGTGTTTCTACGGAAAGGCAGAACACTCTAGAACGTAGGGAGCTCAAGTACAAAGGTGACAAACAGTCTTAGCTGTGTGTAATATATTGATACTGCATTATCATAAAAGGACAACATTGACAGGTTAAAGTCTATCAAATGATGATTATGTCTCTTTTATTACGGAAAAAGTTAATCAGCACTGATCTACACACTACAAGAGAAAGCCCCCCCCCCCCCCCCACTCATGGTGGTAATATACCCAAATACCTTGGCGCCATGTACAATCGGCGATACTGTCCATCGAAAATGGACTGCCGTATAAACATCTTTCTTAAATTATGTCTATATAATAAACTAAGCTTATAATAAACGACAAACGGGGAAGTATATACAGATTAACTTATAAGCAGTGACGAAACCATGCACTGCCAAAGAAACGTGCTTTCTGCAAAATCTAGCTGAAATTAATATAAGCGTGTGCCCTATGCTAAATTTGAGAACGTTATTATCATCAGTATTATCATCATCATTATCTCATCAGAGTCACCATCGTATAGGTCCTATTTTGAACAAATTAGCTTCATCATGTCTGTGGGCCTGTCATTTCACAATATGTCTATTCCATTACGGTAATTCCAAGTCCAGTAATTATTATTAAAACACTTGTATTTTGTCATTTTGTGTCAACTAAGTGTTTTAGACCTATATACCGCCATTGCATTGCGGCTTGCAGAATCGTGTTTTGACTAGCCCCCCCCCCCCCCCCTCCATAGTCGGTGTACGTGTTATTGCATCGAGATGTTTGATCAGCACATCGCCCTATAATACTCGACCCAATATTTTTCGCCTTCGAGTATTACAGTCTTGATAACGAAACATCTCCATCTCTCTCTCTCTCTCTCTCTCTCTCTCTCTCTCCCTTTCTCTGTCTTTCTCTGTCTCCCTCTCTGTCTATTTCTCTCTTCAGTATCTCTCTCCCTTTTCTCTCTCTCTCTCTCTCTCTCTCCCTCTCGTTTTTCGTTTTTATTTCTCTCTCTTTCTTTTCTCTCTCCCTCTCTCTCTCTGTCCCATAGTGTCTTTCTCTCTCTGCACGTATTTTTCTCTCTTTGTCTCTCTCCCTTTTCACTCTCTCTCTCTCCCTCTCTCTCGTTTTATTTCTCTCTATTTCTTCTCCGCTCTCTCTCTCTTACCCTCTCTCTCTCTCTCTCTCTCTCTCATTCCTTTCTGGAAATATACTATAACTCAAATGAGTACTTGAGGGCTACAGAATGTGAGCAATTCGCAGGATAAATCATGTATTAGAGATCGGGTTCTTTGCGCGCCTATAAAATGACTGGGATTTTAAGGGTTTTTTTTATTCCAAGATTGGCAGGATGCTTAGATTATGTTTGACAGGTTAGGCACTCGACAGAAAATGGTGGATGAATCAAGTCCACGAATGTTACTGTAGTAGCCAGTCTCATTTTGCATTCCGATTGACTTGGTTTTCATATAATATTACTTGTCCCCGAAAGTCTGTTGCTTTCTATTTGAATGTCTGTTTATTTATGAAGCAGCTCCATCAGTTTGGCATTGATCACCGACCCATTCTAGAATGCAAAAAAGGGTTTCTCCATGATAGATCTGTGGATGTTAGGGCTTATTCGAACTATTCAATATTCATTCATTCATTTGTTACCAAAAATTCAAGTTACATTGTTTTTCAGCATGGCTGTAACATTATTTTGGTAAATTTTTATGCCATGTTTCGATGTTAATGTAAAGCAAACCTGATAAATTAAGACATTTTGTGAGGTACAGGTATTTTCAAAACAACTGGCATATATTCTCTCAGCAAGCAACAATGACAAAAAACCTGTATATATATCTTTTATGGGTGATATACAGTGTTATTATGAAATATATCTGATCCATACCAAACAGCCACTAATGCTATGTACTGCATGTAAATGGGTCGAAAATTAATGAGCTGAATTGTATGCGAGAAGAGTTGAAGCAGTATGTATAGGAAATTTGTTTCTGTACTGTATTATTGTGTGGAAGGTCAACGTCAGGAAACGGTCCGGCGCCTATTTACACCTTGTTCGACGATTAATTAAAGATTTCTATCGTTTTAGTTAACTATTTATACTCATTAACCGACATTTATCTCATAAATAACTACATAATTTGATGTATGCGTATGAATCCATCAAGGGAGATTGATAACGCTTCGCGAGAAGAAGCAGTGGAAACAGAAGTGGAAGGAAGGTCAGTGTGCCATGTACTATCTACGCGCTATATTATACGCGACATTGTTGTCAATAATGAGACATGCAAAAATTACTCTTCTTCTAACTCTTACTTTAGTCTTAGTCAACGCTTTGAAGTCCTTATTAAAATAAAAGTAGCATTATCGCTAGTATGGCTAATAAAATTTCAAAAATACAAAATGAAAGGACAATAACTAATAATTAAAATGATGTCGGATTAGACCTTTCGACTTTCGTTGCTTGCAATAAACATGTCATTGTCAGCTACTAGGCTAGGGGGTCTATACATGTAGTACATCACTATATCTTCTTCTTCTTCTTGATTTTCTCCAGGTCTGGAGAACTGCGGAGTTGTATCCTTCGCAGATTGAGTCAATAGAGAATAGGCAGACATGTACAGATCTACATGCATGATTGAGACAAATTTAGTTTGGGGAAAATGTCATGACTCGTGATAGACCGAAAGCTTCAGTCTCTATAATCGTCGGTTGTTCCACTGAGACTACGTCTGGCTCCACTAGACCTCCGGTTATAGAGACAGAACGATCGCCTATGCCAGCCTATGTTGAACTTATTCCGCTAGATTTTAGCCGCTAGGCCCCTCCCACAAACTTGCCACGGCCGTATTGTTATGCCCCCAAAATCCCCCAAAATGTCATTTTACCTCGTTCATTTACAATTTTAAATTAGGCCTAGGCTATAATACATCGGTTCCACTTACTAACTTCATTGATATAATCCGTTTAATGGTCCCTTTTAAGGAAATTATCGGTCAAAATCGACATCCATGTTGAAAATCTTGCAAGCCGTGTTAAACTCTCGCTGCCGTCAATCTCATCCTTTCTAGTCTACGCCGAAGGCAAAATGATTATGAAGGAAAAACTGTGATAACGCCATTACGAACGTGTAGATGGCGCACAGTTTTTCCTTCATAATCATTTTGCCTTCGGCGTAGACTAGAAGGGATGAGATTGACGGCAGCGAGAGTTAAACACGGCTTGCAAGATTTTCAACATGGATGTCGATTTTGACCGATAATTTCCTTAAAAGGGACCATTAAACGGATTATATCAATGAAGTTAGTAAGTGGAACCGATGTATTATAGCCTAGGCCTAATTTAAAATTGTAAATGAACGAGGTAAAATGACATTTTGGGGGATTTTGGGGGCATAACAATACGGCCGTGGCAAGTTTGTGGGAGGGGCCTAGCGGCTAAAATCTAGCGGAATAAGTTCAACACAGGCTGGCATAGGCAGTCGTTCAGTCTCTATAACCGGAGGTCTAGTGGAGCCAGACGTAGTCTCAGTGGAACAACCGACGATTATAGAGACTGAAGCTTTCGGTCTAGACTCGTGACTGATGCATCATGATGTGAATCATGTGATGATGATTGTCATTGTGAGATTTTGTTCAAATGGGGCATCCCAAATCCACAGAGGCATAGATTCTTAGCATGTTATGAATTTGTTAAGAATATTTTTAATATATTTTATTCATGATTTAATAATCATTAATCCAATAATCATATTCTGTAAAAGTTTGTGAATAATTTTAATACCAAATGAGAAGCATATCATGGAATGAAAATAGAATAGACTCCTTCTAGGCACAACTTATAATTTGCCACGAAAGTAAGATTTTGTTGATAAGGCTATCAACATCTTAGTTGTTGTAATAATCTCATCAGAGCACAATGCATGCAAAACGGTTGCTAAAATGTAGTGTAATGAAAACAATGGGTCAGTCAAGACTTCACAGACATGCATGAGTTTCATTTAGTGTATGGCCATTTAGTTTGACAGGAATAAAGCCAGATTGCACAGTCACACCTACAGGTCTACATACTAGCCATTGCATGCTTGATAAAATTAACCCTGGAACTATAATTGCTGGTCAGGGATTTAATATGTCTAGTTTCCAGTGGGATTTCACAATGATGATTGCACATTATTGTAAGTACAAGTTAGTTTTTGTAATTGTTTTTTTAAATTGATTTTACATTACCTGGGCAATAAATGGAACATGAATTAAAATATTTCTTTTATTTTTGTCATAGCATTACAGACGGAGGCAGTGCATCTTCCGATGAAATGTGAGTAGTGTGTTATAAGTATTACTGTATTTTTTAAAAGTCTGAAATTGAATTAAATTTGATTAGCCAACTCCTACTTCTTCAAAAATGCAAAATTTACAAAATTTGAAATGAACTATAAACATGCATTTCTTCCAGTGAATATTTATATTATTTTTTATATTGGAGAGAATAGAAATGAATGTGCTCAAGTATTTCTTTTCTTTTTATAGCTAGATTTCATTATTTACATATGAAAGAGATAGTATTGTGGGAATCACTGCTACAGTGATGATGATGAATTCTCTTTTGTTTTGTATATGCAGCTGCTTTCCAGTTACAAGTAACTGATCAAGGCACTTTCAGGTTATTTAAACTTTTCATTTGAGTCAAATGAACAAGAATAAAAGTCATGTGTTATTTAATTTGCAGGAAGAGATCACAGGCTCGTGGTCTTATAGAGCGGTATTTCTACCAGCTCACCAATGGCTGTGGAAATGCAGGCTGTTGCAATGAGTTCTGTGCCTCTAGTGGTCGACAAACCCATCTCAGCAGCAATGAGGCAGCAGCTATGGCTCTGGATCTGTTCAAACGTAAAGCTACCCTGTGTGAGTCGGCTCCTAACAAACAGCTCAAAACGGGCGATGTAGAAGACCAATCTGATGGTACAACACCCATGGATGTATCTCCTGCTGCACAGCCATCTACGAGCTTTGCTAGGAATACACCTTCAACTAGTTCATCTGACGGTGACAAACAAACCCTCTTGCCAAAGCCCCTAGACACACAGAGAAGCTCTTCAGAATCAGATAGTAAGTGATTATCATTATAGACTAGTTCAGAATTAGCAAATTATACAAACGACCCCAAATATTCACAGATCTTTTGAACATGGTGAAGTACCACTTTGTATATTTTTTAGAATACCCTGTTGAATTTGCCTTTTTTGCTTATACATGTATATTTCCCAATTTATGTCATTAACAAATTAAGCTCAGTTTCACTGATCATATTTTGATTTTTTTTTGCTCTCTTTTTGTAGGTATAAAAGACATCTATTTCTTGACGGAAGCAAAGATATTGGAGATCCTCAAGCAATGCATGGAGTCAAAGAACTTTTCTCCTCTTGTCCGTGTGATTGGTCGAGTCTTTTCATGTTGGCAATCATTAAACAAAAGCTTTTTAAGGACTGTCAAACAAGGTCTTTCAGATAAGGAGAGAAAGCAGAGAGATGATAAGGAGACTGATGAGATGGATGAAGGTCTGCAGAGCATAAGCACACGTCTGGCAGACCATGATCTAGGAGAATGCTCATCAAAGGCCACGGATACTCTGGAGGTAGACATGGAGTCTGTGCAGCGGGTGTATGAAGCAATCACAAAGCTAGATGAAGAGAGGGTTAATAATGCTATGCTCAATGCAGTCACTAGTCTGGCTCAAATGGCTGATGTGGAGGTAATAGTCAACCCTCTCTTTCAAGATGGTAGCAACCAACTGAACTTTATCATCATCACCATGGAGAATCCCATGATGTCCAGCCCTGAGTACTTAGAAGTTGCCTTTCCCACCTTCTGCCGGGCCTTGAGCCATCTCCCTCTCGCAGCCTCCTGCAATCTTGCAAAGGTGTGGTCCAAGTTCTCACCGGTTAGTCTCACGCGCAAGGTGCAGGCATTGCAGCAGCTAATCACATTCAAAGTGCTAAGTGGACACTTCAACTCCGGACCACGGAGAATCACTGTTAATGAGGATGATGCAATAACTTCAGCAACAGACTGCATGAAGATCCTTTATTATGCATGCATACTAGGGGGAGTGGTGGAGCACCAGAGCAGGCTGTCCAAAGAGGAGGAAGAGCTCAATCTCCAGGACTTTCTTGGAGCTCTCGGACATGAAAACAAAGAAAGGAAACCGCCCAAAGAAGACTCCTTTGCCAAGAAGCTTGGTTTGACCGTTCTTGATTGTCGTAAGCCCCTGATCCCTTTCAGTGAGTTCTATAATGAGCCTTTGAATGATCAATTGGAAGTTGACCATGACTTCACCTGCTACAAGAAGGAGAGCGATGGACGATTTGCATTTCTGAATTACCCGTTTATTCTAACACCAGCCACTAAGAGCACAGGCTTATATTATGACAGTCGTGTGAGAATGTTTCATGAGAGGAGACTGACTCTGCTGAATAGCTTGGTCCAAGGGGAAGAAATCAATCCCTATCTAAAGCTTAAAGTCCGTCGAGACCACGTAGTAGATGATTCACTAGTTCGGGTAAGTTGATTTTTCTTTTTTTCTTCTTTTTGATAATCATCTTCAAATTCTTTCTTTGAATTTATTCCCTTGTGATGTTCAGTCCATTACACAGGATTATTTGTCATAGTTCATAAAATTCCTTGTAATGTTAAACATGTTACAGTTGAAATATTGAAAGAAAATTTGTAACATACAATGTACCACCTTAAAATCAAGTAATAATTGATAACTAATTAAAAAAAAAAACATGAATTATATTTATATGTTCATTGATATAGCGCAGCTACTATATGAATATACACTACTGCGCTTAATACAAATATTATATTATTACCCCTGCTGTACCTGAGCCACCCTGATAAGGCGCTAAAGCATTTCAAGGAGTTTCTTTTCACTGGGTACCCATTTACTTCACCTGGTGGAGAGTGGCAAAAGTAAATCAATGTCTTTCCAAAGGACATTAGTGCCGCGGTGGGACTCGAACCACGAACCATGATATCCACAGTCCAGTGACGTATCCACTACACCACAACACTGCTGCAGAGGCTTGATAATTTAGAACTTTTGTTCAATCGCATTTGGTTTATTTTTATCCAAATGTCCTTACATTTTATAAATCAATTTTGTATGGTTTAGTTCAGTGACAAAAAATGACTAAATATATGAAGTCCTGAAGATCCTGATCAATGATAATGATAATTGTCTACTATTATAGTTGGAGATGATTGCTGTTGACAATCCTATGGATCTGAAGAAGCAGCTGTATGTGGAGTTTGAAGGAGAACAAGGTGTAGATGAGGGTGGGGTCTCAAAAGAATTCTTCCAGCTTGTCATCCAAGAGATCTTTAATCCTGACATTGGTAATTACAACCTTATAGAATATTAGAAGATATTTATCTTCACTTCTTAAGTCACATCAGCAGTGGCAATTCTTGGGAGTGATGAGCATGAAAAGTATTTAAAAGAATTGCTTTAGACTTTAGACTGATCTCTAATAAGATGATACAGATGTGAAGAAAAAATTAGTTCAAGTTTCCTTAAAAAATTGTTGGTTACAATCTCCATTTAATGTGTTATATATATTTTTCAATTTATTGAATGTTTAATATTGCTTACTCAATACCACAGAATCTTCCTGTTCACTCATACTCTTTATTTATCTCATCCATTCTGTAGTCACTGTACATCACATACTATTGCAATGTACCTCTCCCATCCTTTCAACCACACACAATCATTTTGGAGCATTCCCTTACACAAATGAATACAGATAAAGAAAACATTGTTATATTCTACCAGCAAACCATCTGATGTAAATAGGAATTAAATACAATGTTGAGACTTGATATTTGCCTTATTATTAGTAAATGTCAAATCTGATATTGGCACGGTGTACTTGTTTATATTGATGTTTAATCAACGATGTAATCTATTCATCATGAATCGGTCAAATCAATCCTGTCTCTCCATCTCCACCCTTAGGCATGTTCACCCATAATTCAGACTTGCAGACTTACTGGTTCAATCCCACATCGTTTGAGACAAACCGTCAGTATACCCTTATCGGCATTCTACTTGGCCTGGCCATCTATAACAATGTCATCCTGGACGTCACCTTCCCAATGGTTGTCTATCGTAAGCTGATGGGACGACGAGGAGTCTTTGCTGATCTCCATGATGCTCAACCTGTAAGGAATTTTTCATTTTTCCATTTGGAATGAGTTTTGTCCTCTTGTATCGCAATTCCATCCATACTCTGTCCACATTTTGTAGACATGTTGATGTCTGATTTTATGCCGAGTAAATTCACTACTAACAAAACAACTTAATCAATGTATGTTTAGTTAAGTAACCAGGGGACTTACATCTTCTGTCATATCCAAGGGACTTGCTGATTGATACTGACAAGAAGATACTTGCCTACAGACTTTCTGAGACTCTGTATCCACTAAAGATACCACACCATACCTTACAGCAGCCTCTGTGCTGATTTTGCAACTTTTTGTCAGAGAGGAGCTTGTTTCAATGAGTTATGTTTGATTCACTAATAACAATTATTAAACTATTTTCCTCAGAATATGAACAAGGCATCTCAAGGCTGTAGGTTAAAAGCAATTTCCTCTGTTGTATCTTGATCAGGTTCTGTACAACAGCTTGAAGGCACTCCTTGAGCATGAAGATACTGTAGAGGAGACATTCATGATGAACTTCATGATCAGTTACATTGATGTCTTTGGTAATACCATCACGCACGACTTGAAGGAGAATGGAGCTCAGATCCCTGTCACTGTTGAAAATAGAAAGGTAATTATAAGTGTTCTTAGTAACCCCGAAAAAGGGCTTATAGTTTAATTTTGCAGCCTAAAAAGTATTTTTGCTGTTAAGAATGCCACCAGAATTTATGTAAGGATACAGTCGATGAGGAGCAGTGCAATTAACTCATGATTTCGTTTTGATTTGGCATATGACAATGAATCTTAATGATCTTTGCATTTTTGAAAAATGGAATTATAATCAGATTAACTACATGTATACATTACATATTTTTGGTCAATAACAAAGGAAAAATGGGGTCAAAGAGACAAGAAACTTTGTTGCAAAAATAGCTTGTGATGACGTGATCACGTTATCTCAAGAACCGATTAATGGATTCCTGCCAAATTTGGGTCGTGTATGTATCTTGCAGAGCCAATGAACTGATTAGATTTTGGGGTCACAAGGTCAAAGGTCAAAGGTCACAGGGCTCATTATGTATTCAAAAAACAGCTTGTGATCGCATTATCATGAGAGCCAATAGACAGATTACTATCAAACTCAACACATGTATATGTATCTTGCAGAGCCAATGAACTGATTAGATTTTAGAGTCATCAGGTAAAAGGTCATGGGGCTCATTATGTATGCCTATAAATAGCTTGTGAATGCATTATTAAAACCGACAGATAGATTACAATCAAACTTAAATTTCAAAAATTGCTTCTGTCTTGGTTTGTAAAATCGCTCTATGGCGGAGGCATCGAAGTTCCATCTAGTTTATTCTACAAATTGTTACATGACTTACAAGATCAAGTTAAGAATAGAAAGATAGAGATCTTTTTGTAATTTTGCTATGTCCTGTCTCTTGACAGTGGTACTATTTCTTGGCTTGAAACTTGTGTATTTCCTGGCAAGTCACTGTATAAAATGAATCAATTGACTACAATATCTCTAATATACTTTCTGGTATTTTTTTTCAATTGATCTTCTAGGAGTTTGTTGACCTGTATGCAGACTTCATTCTTAACAGGTCAATAGAGAAACAGTTTCGAGAATTCAGGAGAGGTTTTGACATGGTAACGGATGAATCTCCGCTGAGGAACTGGTTTAGACCAGATGAGGTGGAACTCCTTGTGTGTGGGAGCAAGGTAAGATAAGATCTAGCTGACCCTTGAGAAATTCATCCGGAAATTCTGCTATTGATGTGCACAGATTTTGTTTCAGTTAAATGCACATATCATAGAGTATTTAAAGTTTAGAATTATCAGCTTTCCCTGATATATCACAAAACGGTTTAATATATTTATGTTCCATTTGCATGTAGCATAATTGTACCCTGTGATGAGTTTAGGCCACCAGAGGTTTCTGCCTGTTTCGCTTTCATAAACAGAATAATTTGAGCATACCATCAGCTGTTGTACCTTGCACACATTGTAAATATATGGTGATGAATGTGTTCTTTTCATTGTCTTAAGCCTCGGTCACAAATGCCATTACGAACTGCTACGAATGCCGTTCAAACAATTTTCAGACAATGGAAATTCGGGAAGACAATTGAAAAACAGAGTTTTGTACGAAATCATCGTTCGTACGAACCTTTGTGACCGTAGCATTAATTTTGATAGAATAATCATTTAAATTTTACTTTTTTCCTTCAGAACTTTGACTTCAATGAGCTTGAGAAGGCCACGGAGTATGATGGAGGCTATACAAGTACATCGCCTACTATCAGGTGAGCAACCATTACAAGGATGGATTTGAATATCAGTATACCTAAGTACCCTTATACTGTTTTCACACTGGCAAAATTTTGCCTAACCCCGGCCTATATGTGGGGTTAAAGGGGGGGTCTTAGCCCCACCTTTAGTCTGGGGTTAAGCTTATTCCACTTTCTGTTCAGACACGTATTTACGAAAGTGGGCTAGCCCCACCCATAGTACGGGGTTAGCTGGCCCTGCAAAATCGCAAGTCCAAACCCTGCAATTGTTTTGCTAACTCTGCAATTGTGGTGCCGAGCGAATGAATGAGAACAGAAACAAAAAATAGGCAGGTACTATGCAATAGAGCGAATTAATGAATATTCCAACTATACAGCTGGTACGGGGCTTACGAATTGCAGTGAGAACAGCATGAAATTCTTATTCCGGGATGAGCGCTTAGTACAGGACTAAAAAAGCGTGTGTGAAAAGCCAAAAAGTTAGTCTGGGATTAAGGATAGTACGGGCTAAGCAAAGTACGGGGTTAAGCAAAACAAGTGTGAAAAGAGTATTAGATGATCTTTTATTGATAGGTAACATCCATATATGCCCAATGTTAGTTATGGTCTCGGCCATCCAAAGATCCTTGGTGTTGTGACTACCTTTCAAAGGATATAGAGTAACGGAGCATTTTTTTTCCTACTAAGCATGATTTTGTCAGAGTAAATTAGTGAATGTCCGACTCTTGTTTCCATTTGGTACAGGTACTTCTGGGAGATAGTGCATAGTATGGATGAAGACCAGAAGAGGAAGCTGTTGATGTTCACTACAGGCAGTGATCGGGTTCCAGTAGGAGGTCTGGCAAAGCTAAGACTAATCCTAGCCAAAAATGGACCGGACTCAGACAGGTACAGTATTCTCTAATCCCACCTCCCTCTTTCTTCTACAATGTATCACTATTAATCGATCTCGGTCAAGGCCATATAACAAGAACAACAAAAAATGCAGGGGAAAGGGTAAAGATCCATTTTGATGAGCAGGCCCATGTCTTAATTAGCTCGAACCATTAGGCCTAAAATAAAAACTTGTTGTATTGCCCTTTGGGTGCCAAAACATGGGTCGGTCGGTCGGAAAGTATTTTTTTTTTTAAACTTTTTTTTTGTCGCTCTCTTTGGGCCGATATTTTCAGATTTGAATGTTTTTTTCTTTTTCCCACCCTCTTTTAGCTGATATTTCTCAGTTTTTAATGCTTTAATACATGTGCTTCAGCGTCATCATTCCATTGATATCTTTTTCACCTCATAATTATCCATGGTTTGCACGAGTGAGAATTTTGGAATAATTTGATTTTATGCATTTATATCCCATTTAAACAAACAAAATAGATTTATTTTTATTCATTAATATAAAAAAAATATAAAAAACAGTTAAAAAAACAACCTTTTTTAAAATGCCGACCGTAGATTTTCAGATTTTTGGGTCGGTCGCAAAGGGCAATACAACCAGTTTTTATTTTAGGCTTTAGGTAATACATATTCTTCAAAAGAGAGACAACTTCAAAAGGTATAAATTTGGGGAATGTTCTTACATGTGAAAAAAAGAAAGAAGCACAGTGTTCGGTACTCACTTCTTAATCTCTAATTAACCATGGCTAGCATAATGAAATCACTTTTTCATGAATTCAATGGTTCCTTCCCAAAGCCACTGCTTCCTTTATCAGAAGCAAGTTATGAATTAGACGTCTTTATTAGTTAGTTGTACTGTTGTTTCTGTTATTCATTATTTTATTTGTTTTCTTTCCACCTGGCTTTGTTCTTCATGTGTACATGTAGGTTGCCAACCTCCCACACCTGTTTCAATGTTCTTCTGCTTCCTGAGTACTCCAGCAAAGCCAAACTGGAGGAGAGGTTACTCAAAGCCATCACCCATGCTAAGGGCTTCGGCATGCTCTAAACCACCAGTACTCCATCACCCAAGGCTGCCTGCCATAGCAACAAAGCAAGAGATGATTATTACTTTGAATTCCTCTGAAGTAGAATGCATCATTGATTATACCAGGTGTCAAGCATATTGCATTCTTATTCCTACTTCTGTTGCTTGATTTCTTTTTCTTCCCTGTCTCTGTTTTGATCATATTTTAGTCTTTCGGATCCTCCTTTTCTATCCTTAATTCTCTCTTTTTGTTGACTTATCTCTCTATGTATTTCATTCTGTGTATGTAGTATTTCTGATTTAAACTTTCTTTCTCTTGCCCCGGTTAGTCAAGCATTGTGATAACATATAATAGTAATTAACCAACTGGTAAAGATCTGTTATGCATTGAAATGAACATTTACTATTATGCATGAAAATGTCTTACTGCATCATACTATTGAATTGTTATGTGTGTGTGTGTAAAGGATACCGATACGCAAACGACACCAGAATGCAACGAAATGTAGAGTAAATCACTTGAGATATCAACTTTGCTTCACATTCGATTTATTTAGGTTACTGTCTGAAAGGTTTCACATTGGGCAACCTTGTGGCAGAATGTTTATATACAACCTGGTTAGCTGTGAGAATACTCCTTGGCTTTGGGTTGCTACATAATGGTTGTGTACAATGGTTGTGTATAACACACTTGTACACTAGTGTAGATTTCTGGGATAGATATGAGGAAATAGAAATGTACATGTTAATTCACACATTGATACAAATATTCTCTACAGATAGTCCATTTTCCTAGAGATGGCTGGTATAGACTTGAGTTTCAGTCACAGTTATTTAATGCAGTGTACCTAGTAGTGTTAGAACTATTTACCCAAAACAACATACAAGGAATGAATTTTTTAGATTGGGTTGTTTTAATTTTCAAGTGCGATTTTCACCAAATACTACTACATGTATCTACCTTGTAAGACATTCTCTCCTTGTTTTAATTTTGTTATTGAAATGAATTTGATTATAGAAACAATTTTGAGATCATATGTTAGACTCTCTTTTCCGTTCTGCACTTGAAGTATAAGACATCACCATGGATCATACCAGTTTTTAATTTAGCTGAATTTAGTAAATTGAGGATTTAATTTGAATATTGAGCTATGAACTGAACAAAGACTGGACTTTAGTTATATACACAGGTTTTTTTTTCCATGAGTGCATGTACAAGGTATGAAGAAAGAATGAATTGATTAGTGATTAGTGATTCTCTTGGTATCACTTCCATTGGCCTACAGGATTTCTCACATTATAGTAGGCAATGCAGAATGCATGCACCTTCAGATGAAGAAGAAAACAAAATGGGGAAAAGGAAAAATCATTGCTTGTCGATCGGTGCTCTACAAAAATGGATTTGATGGAATTGCATGCCCAAAAATGAGAATGGTTTATTTGGTTGAATTGCAAAGGACATTTCCTGACAAGGATGTAAATGCTTAATAGTGATCTGAAAAGCATAAGAGAGTGAGATGTGAAATAATTTGGTTTTCCTTGAATCACCTAATTTTAGATTACTATTATAGAATGTATTACATCTTAGCTTTCTAATAGGTAAGAAGTTAAAAATTTGCAACATTTACAATTGCATGGATACTATGCATTATTTTCTCCTTTTACGAGGCTGTTATGCAATAAATGCATGAGTTGATAGCAAAAATCAGTACATACAGGTAACTATTAAATGGCTCTCAGCAATATAATTTGATTAGGACATACAAGTAAGGATTTAGTATATTGTTGAACAAGGTCATCAAAATTGTCTATATCACATGGAATTTTTTCTGTGACACATCAAAACATCTATCAAAGACATGTCCTGAAACCTGCACCTAACCTCAATTTGCCAATACACATTTGAGAAAGGTGTGTGAACCATCAGACTAGTCACAGGTAAATACCTATTGGATGTGTCATGGTCATCTGACAAGGATTAATAAAAGCATCACTATTACACATCCAATACTTTGAGGTTAATCATACTTTGGGACCAGGGAAGCATGCTTTATTTTCAGGTTGTCTCTGTGGAATACCAAATACTGCTAGCATTTAAAGGTAAAGAGTGTATTTAGAGCTTTATCATCACGGTAAATAATTAAATATTCAAACCTGTTTTAGAGACAACCTGTGCAGAAAGACCACTTGTCTGTATACATATAGACCACATTTAAAAACAATCCCCTGAACAGTATTTGAAAATATTGAAGTATGTTTTAATGGAACCTGTCTATAGAGACCATCAGCATGTTGAGACTGCATTCTTGTCTCCCTTTAGCAGTCTTTATAGACAGGTTTCACTGAATGAACACAGTGGAGCCTGACTTTAGCAGGGAGATCCTGATACTCATGAATCTAGCTTCTTTTTCTTCACATTTGCTTTATATTCAAAGGATTTCCATGAAAAATAGGAACCACAATTATTTGTTGATACGCTATGCTCGATGTCAAATGAGAATTGGTATAGATTTTGCTAGTCTATTAGCAACGAGTTACTGTCATAGCGAGATGTGATGTGAGTACAATAAAATGGGGTGAGTTGGAACATCAGAATAAAGTTTGAGGCATTTCCCTTACTAGGAGTGATGCAGATAATATATTTTTCATTTTAAATTCATGATGAATAATGAAATACATGAAAAGGGTATGCATCCATCCTGGGTGAACAGAAGTAGGACAAAAACATTATATTTCTCAAGTTTCGTCTTTCATTCACCCCATTTCATATGTACGTTACTAATTTATTCATTGCATTAGTTATCTATTGAAATGATATTACGCTTACCAAACACCTACTATATGCAATTGTACAATTAGAATTAAGGAATGTTGAAAAGTACGATCTCTATATGCACATACTTTGAAGATTTGTTTTCATTTAAAATATCACCGGGCAGAGAGTTGCTCAGCATGTAAATGAAAAAGCTAAACAAAGGAATTATTTTATATGTACCTTAACATTAGGAGTAAGCAGGACAATAATTGCGTGTGAATAATGAGATGCAGCTTGTAGAACACAAGTACAAGCTTTGCCGTTCGAGGCCGTTTCTCACACTTGGAATGGGTTTGAAGAAGTTATACTTGCCCTTTCTGTAAATGAAATTTAATGATGTAAAATGCTGAAAAAGATTAAATAAGTGTCCTGGGTTGGGTTTAGTGCGACATTGTTTCATTTTTTTTGTACAGGTACAAGAATATGATTGTTACAGTGACTGATATGCAAGTCAAATAAAATTGATGTTCTGTAAAATGAATTACACATGGAACAAAGAACTTTCAACCAACCCAACCCTAGTATCGTAGTAGAATTATGTATAGGATCCGATTTCTGGTAACGAGAAGCTGAAATTTGTCACAAAACTGTTATGAGCTGGTGATGGGTTGTCTTCGCAGAGAAGTAGGATTCAAAACCAAGCAAGAATATTCTAATGCTTGCCTGTACGACGTCCTTTCTGATGTGAAGAAAACGCTAACATTATGCATCGTAGGAATGCTTTATAGGAATTAGATTGTAGATTTGCTGCACATGACTTAATTTCATATCTTAATATTATTTGTGAAGTATGTACCAATATGTGGTATAGAACTTCTCCTGTATGTGCAGTGTGTAATACTACTGTTGTCATACCAAGACTTTGTTTAAATTCAATTCTTTGTGTACATGTATATCTGTAGAGTAGGTCAAGAAAGTTCATCTCTCATTTCATATTAACGTATAATAAATTAAATTGTTTGATTTTGCTTAAAGCAACAAAATGTTCTTGTCCATATCAGTGTCTTTATTCTGTTTTTATCAGTTGGTTTTAAAGGGGATGTCCACAGTGATATCAAGTAAGTTTTAACACATATAGAAGCAGATTAATTAAAGTAATACCGGTAGATCAGGAAAAGTTTGATCAAAATCCAATAGAAAATATGGAAGACAAACTGGCGACTGTGTGACATCATATTTTCTCTGATAAAATGATAAAATACAATATTTAATCATATACATGTCCCCTAGATATTAGAACACATATGTTTCTGAACATCTCCTGTAAGGAAAAAATCTATTCTTTTAGTAACTACCAAGAAAATGGAAATTTATGAAATTTTCTGTACAGACCAAATGGGGGAGGGCCTCAAAATGTACATAATAGTTGCCAATTTGCATTTGATGGATTCCAACTTCCTTTTTTAAAATCAGATTTTTCTTCAAATTTCACTAATTTAATTCATTTTTTTCCTGCTTTTATTCAAACTTAATAAATATCAGAGTAGACTTTCCCATCAATCTAGGAGTTGCAATTGTCATGTCCTTTTGTACTGACATGCTTTTCAAAGTATCATCAGTGTATTTGCTATATTATTTTGTTTTGCCTTGTACAATGTATCAATAAGTCTTGTCGACTTCAAATAAAATACTCAACAAACATTTAATGTCGTGGATAAGGCAGCATTTTATTCAGGTTGAATATTACTAAATATATCGTAATTTAAAACAACAAAAAAGAATAATTTGTGCCATATATATAAATAACAATGATACTGGGAAATCACCAGTTTAATTTAAATGTAAACAAACTTATAAATTCACACTTAAATAAAACAAGAACCCAAAAGCTAAAGCCAAACTTGACAACCCAATGATGAGAATGTTAAAATAAAGCAAATATAATATCGAGAGTCCTGTCAATAGTCCTGGTACTTGTGACATATGAAACTTGTATCAAAGTTAAACTGACAATTTGGAATCCCTAAACTGTGGCCTCTAAAACACATAGGAACTAACTTAATTGAGAGGGCAATACAGGAATGAAAATGTCCTAATATTAAACTAGATGGAATTTTGACTGCGCGCAGTCGAAAATGATGCCTCCGCCATAGAGCAATTTAAACAAGTTTGGAGTTTAAATCTCCAGTGGTTCTTGAGATATCATGATAACAATCTCAATGTATTGAATTTCATAAGTTGACCTCTGTGACCCTTGACCTTTGACCTACGTGCTCCAAAATCTAATCAGATTGTCTTCCTATGGTGATACACACTATCATTAAGTTTGAAGTTTAAATCTCCAGTGGTTCTTGAGATATTATGATATGGTGATACATACTATCATTAAGTTTGAAGTGAAAATTCTCCAGTGGTTCTTGAGATATCGCGATAACGATCTCAATGTATGGAATTTCATAAGTTGACCTCTGTGACCCTTGACCTTTGACCTACGTGCTCCAAAATCTAATCAGATTGTCTTCCTATGGTGATACACACTATCATTAAGTTTGAAGTTTAAATCTCCAGTGGTTCTTGAGATATTATGATAACAATCTCAATGTATGGAATTTCATAAGTTGACCTCTGTGACCCTTGACCTTTGACCTACGTGCTCCAAAATCTAATCAGATCGTCTTCCTATGGTGATACATACTATCCTTAAGTTTGAAGTTTTTACATCTCCAGTGGTTCTTGAGATATCATAACAATCTCAATGTATGGAATTTCATAAGTTGACCTCTATGACCCTTGACCTTTGACCTACATGCTCCAAAATGTAATCAGATTGTTTTCCTATAGTGATACACACTATCACTAAGTTTGAAGTTTAAATCTCCAGTGGTTCTTGAGATATCATGATAACAATCTCAATGTATGGAATTTCATAAGTTGACCTCTGTGACCCTTGACCTTTGACATACGTGCTCCAAAATCTAATCAGATCGTCTTCCTATGGTGATACATACTATCCTTAAGTTTGAAGTTTAAATCTCAAATGGTTCTTGAGATATCGCGCTAACAAACTCAATACAAGGAATTTCATAAGTTGACCTCTGTGACCTGTGACCTTTGACCTACGTACTCCAAAATCTAATCAGATCGTCTTCCTATGGTAATAAATACTATTCCCGAGTCTTAAGTTTAAATCTTAAATGGTTCTTGAGATATTGTGATAACGGTCAAACGGGACGGACGTACGGACGGATGTACGGACGGACGTACGGACGGACAACCCGAAAACATGATGCCTCCGGCACCACCTTCGGTGGCGGAGGCATAACAAAGCATGCTTTATCATGTGAGCTGACCTCCGAGGAGTTCAGGTACAAGAAGCAAAATGTCTTCATAGTTGACCAAAACTATGACCCCCAAAATGAAACATTTTAATACATAAAAGTTCTGAATAATCAAGTTCTTTCAAGGTTGATGAATAGAACTACAAAGAAAACCCATTTTCTGGTGAATTTCATAGCTTGAAGACCAAACCACATCAATGATTACTCCACTAACTATGTATTGAAAACAAAATAATCTAATAAGAATCAGGGATGAAAAATCAGATGAGCTGTTTTAGTTTCAGACAAACAATCAAATTGCACATATTTCTTCATATTTCTAAACCACTTGGCTAAAAAAATAACCTTTGACACAGATATGTATTACGAATGAAAACATTCATTTCTCATAGGAATAGTGAAATTTGAATCTAATATTCACAAATCAGTTGTGAATACCAAAGGAATGTATTTTTAAAGGAAATGAAAGAACTAAAAAGTAATATAAATCAAGAAGTGTCTATAATAATAACAAGAAAAACTAATGGGGAATTGGCAATAATATCAAACATAAGTCTTCAAAATGTGTGCAAATGCTATTTTTTAAATATTATAAGAGTCTAAATGGAGTACAAATCGTTTAATTAAAATTTCTTTTTCAAATGTAATCAAATTTGAAGTTGACCAACAAGAACGTTTTAGAATTACAAATGTAAAGTATGGAATGTCTCTTTCAAAACTCTACAACCAACAAGCTTACAAAGACCAAGATAGAATATCTTTAATATTTGACATTTTAACATTTTACGGTAACATAGTATAACAAGCAAAATGAGAGATTTATCTATAATTATACAAAATGTATTGTATTACATGTCAACGTTTAACAACCATTCAACCAAGTGCTCAACTTCAGATTATTTCTTTAGAATGTCCTCATCAAATTTGGAGATGACAAAATTATGATTCATATTTTACAAACTTCAATTTTTGTAATCCCTGTATCCAAAATATATAATGCCACATTATAAAAATTTGTTCTATATTTTCACAATACTCAGAAATGTCCAATGAGATTCACTGAAGGAGAATGAGATAAACCATGAATGCAATCACGACTGTAAGACCGCTTCCGATTAGAAGGAGTTTGCCATGTTTCTCCATGAAAGTCTCCTCTTCTACAATCTCTCTCCTCTTGCGTTGTTTCTTCTTCTTGTTCGTCAAGCGATCGTATTCCTCTAGATCCCTCTGAAAGATGAGAAAATGATGGATAAATTAGTTATCTATAAATTAGATAACATTTCATTAAAGGGATTGGGTAGCTTTGTCTCCGATTCTGAAACAAATCCTGGATTTAGCTCATGCTGTAATGATAATTATAAACCTTTAGGTCAGTCAGGAACCCCATGAATTTTAGAGGTAGATTGCCTGTCTGATTATCAAGATATTTATGATTGAAAATCGGTTTTCATAATACTACAGTCTATTGGGGAAAACGAGTACGTTAAAACCATATATACATATTGACACGAGGATGTAAACATAAAGGGAATCATAGAATCTAAAAAAATTATTAATTATTTTTAATTGAGCTGCTTTGGATGTGTTAGAGGAAGTGAGTTGTCTGAATATACAGTTCTGTAAGGTTATCACTTAGATTTCATGGGTCTGAAAATCCTTTAAAATTAACTACGATGTACATAAAATGAAGCTAAAATGTGGTCAAAACGGATTGCTAGGGCCTTCAATAATTCAGGCTTTTGACTTAAAGGATCATGGAACAATGAACAAATATTTCACTTTTTTTTTCTTCTTCAAATTGATTAAGGAATGCACATTAATATGCTAAAATCTTAGCAGTATAAGCTACCTTTTCCTTCTCAAGTTGTTCCTCCTCTGCTTTCCTGGCTTTCTCCTCTTCTTGTTGAAGTTTCTTATTTTTCTGTTGTTTGCAGACATCATCACAATCTACTTTAGCCTTTCCTGCTTGAGCCTCGTGACAGAAGAACTCCTGGAATAAGATATGAGAACCAAATTATCAGTATTAACAGGTTATAGGAGCCACATCCCAAGAGCAGAATCCTGCTTAAAAATCAGCCTCTGCAGATAAACAAGAAACTAAAAAGAGGGATTCTAACAAAATTTAGTAAAATATGACAAAGCAATTGTTGACTACCAAACTGAATATCATGTTTGATTTAATATAGGATGACTTGTCATGTTACAGGGTAGTAAAACACAAATATTGTAATGAAACCGAGACTGGTCCTATAGGTAGGACAAAAATACAATTGTATATTTTTCATCATAGGTTTTAATGGTAGCACTTCGACATGTCACTGAGGCTTTTTGAACATAATAAAAACTGAACATACCATGCTACCTCCTAACAAAATGATATTCATGAACTTCACTCAAACAGAATTCTTCGCCACTCATGAAGTGAAATAAAGTACCTCAACAAAAATAACAACAGAAAACAACAACAAAAGAAGAATAGATAACAATACATTGCCATAGAATACAACTATATAAACAAATAAAACACATTTAAATGAGTACCGGTATAACTGCGCTTTCTTACCCTTTTCCTTCGTTTGCAAGGACACCTCCTTGCTACTTTATAGGTGCATTCCTTTGGATCAGAACAGGTTCCTGAATGACATGACCTTGAGCAGAGGTGACTACATGCAAGAAGGCGAGGGCATGGTCCCTTACATGACGCTAGCTCCTCTCTCCCTGCATCGTCGGATGTTATCCAGGCACTGTGGATGAGAAAGACAAAAGCACCGTGAATACAGTCAAACCTGCTTTAGAGACCACCTGTCTACAAAGACCACCCTTTTTTTGTTTTCCTTTGAAAATTGTTTCACATTGAAAAATGTACTAAAGGAACCTGTCTACAAAGACCACCTGTCTTCAAAGACCACTTTTGTATTTCCCTTGGGTGGTTGCTATAGACAGGTTTGACTGTATTAACATGCTTTGGGACCATGGATAATGACACGAGAGGGGGCTAGGACACGGCCCTTTCTATGAAGATAAGTCCTCCCTCTCTGTATCATATGTTAACCAGGGGGGCATTTCACAATGTCATTTTTCAATGAAAAATTACAAAAATCAGTGACAAATCTGCTGATAACCAAACAGAAGCAAGGATTTCAGTAGCTTATAACAAAAACTGTCATTTGTCACTGATGACAAGTTTTGTGAAATGCCATCCAGGCACTGGAGAAGGGAGGTAGAAAACCATATTGTAAGGAATAGCTACCAAGTCATTTCATTTCCTTCAATTGTCAATTTTCTTACTCTTTTCCTATTAACACATTTCCTTCTATACTGTATTAATAGTGCTTTACATTTTTCTTCCAATGACTTTCTTTCTTTTCTCCTGTGATTCCTTCCCTTTCTCTTTCTTCCACCTTTTTTGCATTTTTTACATTGAATAATAAAGCAAACAAATTATAAATCATGATATGTAGACCTAAATGTGATTCCCCCCTCCCTCTGTTTCTGTTCCAACAACACACAAGATAACATTTTAATTTATTATTATTAGACATTTTTTTTATTGCCTCAGAAAAAGGGGGGGGGGGGGGGGGGGGAACGGAAAAGACATAGAGTTGCATGACAGCACAAAATCAGTACAATATGTACCCATGGTGTTATACATGTAGGTGATTCATACTGTAAAATAAAGAAATCCATCGATAACACATCTATCTTACAAACATAAAGCAATTAAACTTTGCTCAATCTGCTTACTTGCATTCCACATATAGAGCCATACTCTTGCAGTGGCATCTCATCTTATTGGTCTTCTTGCAAGGGGGGCAAGGACCGGAGTGACATGGTAATCTGCATTGGTGTTTACACCCCTCTGGTCTCTCTTTACTGCACCCCTCTTCACACTCCTCACAGTTGGTCCCTGCCTGAAATGACAATGACAGAAGAACATAGATTAGTGTATGCATCATTCTGCAATCAAACTTGGTAGAATGGTCAGTTTAGATAGGATTGATACATGCAGATCGTCTGGTGAGAGCCAAGAGGGATGTAACTCTTTGTTACAGTATATGAGTGAACGCCCTTCTGCCTTTTAACAGATGATATCTTTCCCACAGAATACAACTCGATACACACTTGGCATTACAGTACCTGACTCTGACAGAATGGCTAGCTAAAGTAGTTAGGGCTGGATTTTCATCTAAATAACCAAAACATTCTAAATACTTGACAAAATTATCATACATTACACATGCTGATGCAGTAGGCAATCATCAGATTGAGAAATCAAGCAATTTATTTCTTTTGTTTTAAACCTTGTGACTTTAACTTGTTTAAGTTCATGAAAATTCACAAAACCCTCCTATCAATCATGGTATACCCAGTAGCACATTTTCACTATTTGTTTTTTCAGAGATACATTTTAAAGACCGTCAATACTACTGGGCCAGAAGGGATTAGACCACACAGCGAGATCACTGACAGGTGGCTATCTCATTAACTCAGCTCTCAACTAACATAAGAAAAAGAGGATCATGGGATACCAACAGGCACCGATTGGGGAAGTTTTCTATATAGAGGGAGCAAGTACATGTAGCTACAAGTAGGACAGTGGGGCCTTTAAGACAGATTTCATTGCCCTAACTATCATAATATTCTTTGCTGCGGTTTGTTCTAAATTACCTTTGATTTATCTTCACCATCACCCTTGACTTCATGACATTCAAATTGGCAACGATGGTTGGTGCAAGCTAAGACTCGACCACAGGATCGTTTACAGGAGAAGGGTGCAGCCCTGCTACATGGCAAGTCACTGATCTATGAAGTAAAACAGAAATGGATGACACAGCTTTAGGGATATTTGTCACTTTGAGTAAAGTTCATAAACAGAGTAAAAGCTCATGTTTCTTTTAATCTTGCACTTTGCTTCAAAAAAACAAAATACTTAACAGTTGACATGATAGAAACACAAGGGCTGGGGCTATCGAGAGCATTCTTAACAAACAATGAGAGTGCAGAAAGAAAAACATTGAGTTTAAAATGTCCAGTTCATAACAAAACTGTAGCGTAAAAAGAACTTATTTTATGGCTTTCCAACTCCAATACACATCATGTCGGTGAAAAAAACAATTGCAAAATAAAGTCAAAACATATAACACATACTTTCAAAAAGCAAAAAAAAATAAAAACAGAAAATTATTTTCTGCAATTGTTCCGAGATATTTAGGGTTGAGTCTAATTCTCTAACATACCTCATGTTTACCAAGGCATCGTGTAGGAATAGGATACTGACAAGGTGGACAGGGTTCATTCACAATATTAACATACCTCATGTTTACCAAGGCACAGCGTAGGAATAGGATACTGACATGGTGGACAGGATTCATTCACAATATTAACATACCTCATGTTTACCGAGGCACCGTGTAGGAATAGGATACTGACATGGTGGACAGGGTTCATTCACAATATTAACATACCTCATGTTTACTGAGGCACCGTGTAGGAATAGGATACTGACATCGAGGACAGGGTTCATTCACAATATAAACATACCTCATGTTTACCGAGGCACCGTGTAGGAATAGGATACTGACATCGAGGACAGGGTTCATTCACAATATAAACATACCTCATGTTTACCAAGGCACCGTGTAGGGATAGGATACTGACATGGTGGACAGGGATCATTCACAATATTAACATACCTCATGATTACCAAGGCACCGTGTAGGAATAGGATACTGACATGGTGGACAGGGTTCATTCACAATATTGATCACCGTCTTAGGAGCAGGCTGCCATGGAGCTCTTGGTCCCTATAAAAGAAATAAAGACACATAAAGGATCTTCAGTTGCTAATTTATTTTCTGGGAGGATATCGTATCAATTATTGATTCATTATATGTGACATATATGTGACACAGAAACTGTCATCCCATAAGAAAATATCTTAAAGAAATAAATATTGCATAAATGAAACATGTGCATAATAATAATCTGTGAGGCACCTCATCCCCCCCCCCCCCCAAAAAAAAAAAATTAAACTGGATTTACATCGATCTCAGGGACTATCCATTTTTGGAAGAAAAAAATAATGATTAAAAAAGAATATACAACAAAATCTAAAAATAAATAAAATCAACAAAAACATCCCCCCCCCCGAATTGGGGAATAAAATATAAAAGAATCAGGGATTTTTTTTTTTTAATGGGAAATTATCAGGCTTGGCATAGACTCACCTTGTTTTCTACATTCTTACGTGCTACAGCATCATGGCATTTCTTAGGGCATGTATGGCCACAGGAGAGTGTGTTGTTACACTGCTTCTTACAAGGTGGACACTTGTTGAAATGACAGGTGTGTTTCTCTCTGACAGGATGATGGCAGTCAGGAGGTATCCTGGAATAAAAGAAAACAAACAGGGGATGGGAGGATCAGATTCATACAAACAGGTACATCACTGGTGTGCCAGAAAAAGAGGGCTTTGATCAATTCCACTAGCAAGAAGGAGCCTATGGGTACTGCATTACACAGTGGATGGATAACGACTTCACAAACCAGGATAACAGGACTTCATAAACTGGGTAGATTAGAGAGGATAGCTTGTAAGCAGCGCTCAAAATTCACGGGGGCGGTGGGCGATTCGCCCCCGTGAGCTCCATAATCGCCCCCGTCAGGTTGCTCACGGGGGCGATTGCAAAATTAAAAATCGCCCCCGTGGAATTATAAAATTAAGATTATCTTTTCTGATATAACTTTAACACAATATTGAGTATTAATTTTCAAACCTTAAACCAATGAAATGGAACTTAGATGGCGCTTTCTCTACCATCTCTACGAGTATTCCCGATACAAACAACGGAAGTTCGCGGTGCGGCCGTCAGCACAGTGGCTATACTGCGCTGGTAGTACCGGTGTGCACGCTGACGCCCAATATCTGCTGGAGCTGGAGATCGACAATCGTGCAAGGACTGAAACATGGAGAAGTTTTTCGTTGTGAAAGTTTGAATCCTCTGAAATCTGGTGATTCTTTAAGACCAGCAAATAATGTAACCCGACCAGTAAATCAATATTGAGAAGAAGAAGAAGTCATAGGATGTTGCAGGGGCGGATCTAGGCGGTTTAGGGTGTTTAACCCCCCCCCCTTCCCACTTGGGCTGCCAAGGAAAAATGTGATGTGCACAGAAAAATGCTATCATGTGTCCAGACCTACACAGTATTAGTAGATGTCAGTAGATGCCAGTAAAACATCACTAACGGGGGTTTAAAAAAACACCACAAAAAAAATCGCCTCGCCGCTTCGCGGCTCGTGGACGATGATCCACATTGTACTTGGGGTACCCCCCCCCCACCCTTAGCAAAAAGCTTGATCCGCCCCTGTGTTTTGGAAGGATATGGTAAAGACTAAAAGTAAAGAAAGAATGTAAATAAGGTTGCTCTGAATAATGAGGAGGAAATTATGTGCAAAACGGGAAGAAATGGAAAAAATGTCCTCACGGGGATATAACTCAATAAACAGCTATGTAACAAGTAAATTTTTAAGAGGAAAAATACCGACTTAGATAAATGATAATGATAAAATACCAAGGAGTTTCACGGGTACCAATTCAATGGACATTTGTATTAAAATAAGAGCCCCCGTCAGCACTAAAAGCGCCCCCGTGAGAAGGCTCACGGGGGCTCTTTTCTGGGGGGGAAGAGCCCCCGTGGGCAAAAAATTAATTTGAGCCCTGCTTGTAAGTAGTTATTCAATTCAATTCAATTCATTTATTTGTTCAACCATCAAAATAGATATACAATTAAAATAAGTTACATAATTTTTTTAGAAGAACACAATGATGGTTTGGTGACCCCGGAGAAAGCGGGGCTTATAAAAAGGGGCCACTAAATTGACATACATAAAAAGTTCAACAATACTCTTACTTATGACTTCTATAGCATCAAAAAACAGAGAAAGTCTACGGTGATCATGTTCTCCATAACTAAACGAGAAGCAGGAATGTCAGACTTACTTGCAAGGTTGTTTGCACTTTGGTGGTTTGATTGTTTTCTCCCTGCCACATCTCACAGACATCTTGGTGTGTCCACAGAAGCACTTGAGATCTTTCATGAGAGGACAAGGAAAGCACCTCCCTGCAATAACAACATCAATTGATTAACTCATTATGTTCTAAAAAAAATGAAGTGGGACAAACTACTATTTATATCTGAACGGTTCGTTCATAAGGATTATTTTCACTGCATGGCTCAGTCAACATCAATGTGTGTGGTATGTTATCCTTTCTCACTCTATTTTCATATCTTTCTCCAGTAATGGTATGTTATCCCCTACTTAATGAAAATACAAATATATTGGGTTTGAATGGGCCTAGAATTTGACGGGTTTGCCTTTTGCTACATTTTCCTGGAAAACACAGGAATTTAACAGTATAATCAACACTACAGACCTAGTAAAAATCATTATTAGTAGGTGAAAAAAAAACTTTCCATTTCCATCCTATTATTAGTCAAGACAATATAACCATCAGCAGTATAGCATTATTTCAAGCAATTCAAATGATAGGTATGTAGTATTACCTGGATGACAAAGAGAAGGGCACTTGTGGTTACCACAGGGAAGATACTTGTTGCATTGTTGCTCACAAGGAGGACATTCACCGCTACAACACTGCAGGCAACAAGAACAAATGATAAAACATTAATACTAAATAGGACAGACACATTGAAATACCACAGATAGAATAGGTATATTCAAAGAATAGTTTTAGTAATATTCATCACCTACATAAGTTGCTATTACTATTTGAACTGCTGGGACTGCTATAATTCAAAAATATATTCCTATTTAAAAAGCACTTATGCGAAGAAATAAGCATTTTTCAAATTGTAAAAGCCTCACGGTCAGCTCATGGACCACTTTCTTGTCTATATTTTTGGCAATTAATTAAATTCCAAATGGCATGGTTCATTTTGGTGTGAGGACATATGAATTACATCATTCAAATAAGATTATTACCCTTCTTTTACACTGATGTTTCTTGCAGTTCTTGATGTTGGTACATCTATGATCACATTTATACTCCTCCTGACAAGGTAATGTCTTCTCTCTAGCTCCACACCGACACTTCTTCTTAGACATCTGGAGACACTGGAAACATAAAAACATATTGTAGGAAATGATAAGCTATTGATACATGGTATCTTTACAGTCAGAAGGTATTAACTGCGTGCAAATTTATGATCTCTTAATGGCTTCCTGGCTCTCAGATTCAGCAGACAATAATTTTATTTATAATCCTTGTGACATGGCAGTGTCTTTTCCCTTGCTCCACAATGACACTTAGTCTTCTTCTCAGACATCTGAAGATACTGTAAACATCAAAAGCACCCTTGAGCCCCGACACCCATACGGACCTGACACCCGCTCTGCGTAAAGTGTGAAATATCTACTGATATGCTTTTCTACTATCTTCTGGTCTGTCCCTGTAGCAATATATATTCTGTGATGCTTGAACACATGGTGAACATGTGGCTAAAATCACGACTTCAATTTCGACCAATCAGATGGCTAGATTTTTAAAGAGAGGTATATGATGTACTATATTTGTTATGTTAATAAAAACCAAATGAATGAATGAATGAAAATGAGATATACTTACACTTTCACATGAGCCTGTATGGCATCGTCTTGTACATCGATGGATTCCACAAGGCAGCTGCTTATCACATGTGTCTCCACAGGGAGGAATGTCTTCTGTACACTTCAGTTGTAATGCTATACAGTAGGAAAACAAAATATATAACACAATTTGATAACAATGTACTTGTATGTATAACAAAACAAGCAAAATACACAATACTAAACTAAATGAAGCAAACGTACCTGGGCAATGGCTACAAAATTATGGACTTTCCCAAAAGATTCAGTGTATTAATGAATGTGTAGGAGATGTATCATATTAAGACTTTGGCAAAGAAATCTCACTAACAGAAAATGTAAAATTATTCTTCAACCTAAAGTAATGAAAAATCCCTTAAAATATATGGATAATAGACAGAAAAGAGAGAATTTAGGTAGGAATAATGACCCAAGGCTAGACAGATAGAGAGGAAAGGAGTCAGGGAAAGAGCAGAAATAAATAAGAGAAAGCAGAATTGTGCAACAAACCTGTTTTTCCACAGGGGCACTTCCTGAGCCCCATTCGAGGGCACTCCCCGCACCCTCCTTTATGACATGTCCTCTCACATACATGATTGCCACAGGGAAGTGGTCTTCCACATGCCTCTCCGCACTCCCACGTTGGTGAGGCACACTCTCTTAGAGTAGTCTTCTTCTTACAGAGGCACTGCTGTTGACTGGTATGGGGGCAAGTTGGACAATCACCTACAAAGGGGGGCAAACAAAATGTGATAGTTGAGGCACATTAGTTGAGGCTTATTCTCTTATTGGTGATGGTGGTTATTTTACCTGACTGCTAAGAAAGCATAAATGCTTGTAAGTAAGCAACCAGACGGCCGACGGCATTAGGTCCTCCCCGAGGGACCTGGTAATGAGCATTAATGCCTTACCAAAGGACACTTTCGAACCCGGGTCACCGGATTACGAGACCACTGCTCTACCGACTGAGCTATCGCGCCTCCTCTTCATGTAGTGTTCTTCTTACAGAGCAATGTTGTAGACTGGTATTGAAAAGTCAACAAATAGGGCAAACTTTGATAAAAGAAAAGCTCATCACTCCTACAGTAGTCTCATTTATACACATATATTGCTATATGTGCACAGCCACTTAGACAGGGTTACAAGCAATATCAACTGAAGCAGATTGTCTGTACAGTAGTCTTCTCCTTAAAGGTAATACAAAGTTTTAGTATGGGGTCATGAATTTGGTCCAAATGAACATATTTGAAGCATATACCATCCTACAATATTCAGTGATCGTTGTCGCGGTTGAAATCAAATCTAAAGTTATGAAATTGTAAATAATAAACTCTTTATGTTGTATAGCTCCCTTTCAAGGTCAAGATATCAATTAAGCTATGAAATAATGCTTCTTGACTAAAATCAACCGATTAGCTATTCCCGTTTGGAAATTATATATCACAACTACATATTCTGAGATTTTCATGGTCGCAGCTACCATTGTACGGCCGTAGGCGCTATTAGAAATTAATCAAAATTTACCGGGAGCACCGGTAAATTTTTATATTCAATTTTCCTCGAAAGCAGAAGTGTTTCAGGGACTAACTTTTCTAGTGCTTATAATACATCCACAGGGGCATTCAAATATACAAAAATTGTAAAAAATCACTATCCACCCAACTTTCAAAGTTTCCCAAAACTTTGTATTACCTTTAAAAAGACACTGCTTTGACTGGTTTGAGAAAAAATGCGACCTCTTGACACACACACACACACTTTAAAAAGATTTTTGATGAAAAGAATGTGACTTGCATTATTATATTACAGCATATCATCAAAATAAGGGCCTCATTACCAAATAGATGCTACAAGACCAATTTGCTCAATCTAAACCAAGAAAGAAAAAAAATCTCTGGTGAGAAATACCTCGATGACATGGTTGAGTACAGGTATGTTGACCACAGAGTAGCACCTTGGGACAGGTCTTCCCACATGACCAGGTCCTGGAGCTGCATCGTCTCAGCTGAGCAGCCTGGCTGCCACAGTGACACTTGGCTTTTACTGTTTGAGGACATGGTGGACAGGCACCTATAACAAAGAAAACAATGAAAGGGATCTTGGTTTAGAAAGTCACAGATTAAAAAACCACATTTTATAATCTTGCATGAAACAGACATCATGATCACTACTAGATCAGATTAGAAGATTGGTTATAAACAGTGCAAATACCATGACAGCAAGGTTTGCATATTCAGGTTTAAATTAAGAAAAGGGAAAAACTATCACATGTATATAAGTTGCAGTTTTTTATTTATTTATTGATTTTCACGAGGCAGTTTTCCTACATATGACAAGAGCACTATGCAAAAACCCACTATTTTTATCATTATATTTAAGGTAAAGGCCCTATTAAGTTAATTTGTCTTTCCTGGATTGACCACAGACATCCAAGAATCAATAAACAGAATCGAAATCTCAATTGAACCATGCACTGTTCTGTAAGAACCTTGTTACAAACCTGGATGACAGAGTAGTAGGCATTTGTGTCCACACTCGGGGCGTAGAGACCGGTTGCATGTATCCCCACAGCTATGGGGTGCAAGCCAGGGGTGTGGTGGAGGGTCAACAACCTTCTTACAGAAACAGGTGTATTGTCTCGGGCACTTGGAGAGGGGGTACTCTGTTCGACAGTTAGGGCTGTGGGAAAAAGATAACAGAGATTGGAAATAAAGGAAAATAACAAGAGTGACAACTAATGCTTTATAATAAACCAAGACAAATATATGCTTTGTTACTGGTTCCTACATAAATTATGTTTGATAGCCAGTATCCTATATCATTTGAATTAAATTAAGTCGCAGTAAAATCTTAAATACTAGGAACAATGCATGTGTCGATCATGTATTTTTTCATCTTATTTGACACGCATGCATGGAAGAGATAATAATATCTACAATGTGTTCATGTAGGCCATTTCACACACTGTCAAACCCTCATTTACCTAAGATTTGTAACTGTTTCATATTCCAAAGAGAGATGGATTCTCCATATGCAAGTAACATAAAAGCCAATATTAGAGAAAAAGAATTAAAGGGGAATCCAACGTTTGAAATAATTTGATTTGAATGAAAGCAGAAAAATAAGAGAAACAGAATGGCAAAAGTTTGTAATGAATCGGACCAATAGTAAGGAAGTTATGAATGTTTGAAATAAGAGATCAGTAAGTCTATGTGAATCTCAAATTTGTAGTTTGGTCAGTGGATTGTGACGTAGGATGTGGATAACTCTCCCATTTGCAGTGTACAAAAATATCACTAATTTCTGTTTTTCTCCAAGTTCCTTCTCCCTTGGGTCACTACTCAATATATATTATAGATAGCATATTATTAAAAGTCTTCTAAAAAGAATAGACCTTCCTGAGCCATGAATTTTAGAAAAATATAAATTTTAGTCATTTAATATCTTGGAACAGATGGGTAAGTAGTCCGGCACTAAATCACATTGACATTACCGCTTCAGCCAATTGGAATTGCCCGTACGTAAAGTGATTACAACTTTTTAAAAATCATAACTCTCTTATATTTAGTCAGATATATAATTGAAACTTTCATCAGTTTGCTTCTCTTATTGTTCTGCTTTCTTTTAGAGTAGTTGTCCATTTGGGTTGGATATCCCTTTAAAGGGATCCGGTAACTTTGTCTCAGATTCTGAAACAAAATCATGGATTTAGCTCAGGCTGCAATGATAATTATAAACCTTAAGGTCAGTCAAGAACCCCATGCCTTTTACAAGCTGATCGCCCATCTGATTATCAGGATATTTATGATTGGAATTACAAATTTTGAAAACCGTTTGCCAAATGGTTTTCATAACACTACAGTCTATTGGGAAAAACGAGTATGGTAAAACCGGTCACTCAAAGATTTTTACTTTTTTGAGGCACTTCTTGATCATTCTGAAGCGCAATTTTTTTAGGGTTTCAATATTACACCATATCACGGACACTGATAACACGTAGGGCCGTGCATCTCAGATTTAACATTGTTAAACGATGCCTTTAAGATGCTGACTAACCATGACCACAGGTTTTCTGCTGGTGATGTATCATCATCATCTTTCTGGAGACTCGCCTGAAGGATACCTTCTTTAGCCCACTTTTGAATGCACTGAAGATGAAGACTTGTAAAACACGAATCACACGTCCAAACCTGCCAACGATACACATGGCAATTAAAAAAAAAAAATCATACATTTCTCCTACTTCTGGTGCGAATGTTACCCCAAAGTCATTTTGAAGGTTTTCGAGTAACTTTTTGCAAAGCCTTTATTGAGGTGCATCAATCTATTTCCTTTAGACAAGGGTAATCAAAGTTGGATTTTTCATTATCTTATGCAGCAATCATTTTATTACAAGTCTATGAAGGCAAGTTCACTGAGTGCAATATTCATCGTTCTATCCTATATGTATTTTTTGATCTCCAAACATTTATTAGCTATTTGAATCCACAACAATCCTACAAATGTTAATCATTCATTCGTGATTCTCATAGTTTCCAAATAATATTGAGTGTGTTTTCGCAGGGAAGGTCGTCTGAATCTTATTATGATTATTGAATTGAATTGAATTGGTTTGGTTTATTGAGAAATCACATCAAACAAGCAGCTCACAGGCTGGAAATGTTCAATTTTCAAACAAGTTAAAAATATAGAGAGATATAAACATATACAAAACTAAAATACATATTGTAAGTCATTGTAAGATGAAATCGAAATTGCAAAACTAAGTTATACGTTTAATGTAATAAAATAATTTCATGTTGAAAGACCAAGACGGTGGGAAGGAGAAAATGGAGAAGAAAAAAGGAATTTGTTTGAGCGAAAGAGTTGAGAAAGTATTTAACAATTGCTATACAAACGTTTCTATTACAAAAATTGAAATTAAGCATTAAAAAAAACCTATTGGATGAGATGAAATTAAACCGTAAAAGTCAAAATGACAGTCTCTATTTCGTTTTCCCCTTTAATATACATGTAATGACAGCAAAGAAGCCACTGACAGTCTACTCAAAGACCCTGCACATCTTAGTGTCACAGGAAAATATAGAGATATTATGAAGAAAGAGATCTATTACCAAATATCAACTCTTCACTTTGAATTGTGTATGATGGCTTAGTCAGTGACTGTTTGCCTGGTTTATGACTTACCGGATCAACACGTCTAATTTTGCTGAGACACACAGAGCAGTCATTAGCTCCAGACTGACAAGCTTCCTCGAGATTCTGTCTGCTCTCTGTTAGTACACCATCCCCTTGACTTCCTATAGTACCGGTAATCAAATGTTATTCCAGGGGGGTGTTTCACAAAGATTTTATGTCAAACTTAAATCTAAGTTGGACTTAAATATTATGGAGAGCCATTTGTAGCCTTATAATGAAATACATTCAAGTATTCTCGACTTTTCATAAATTCCACATCAAGAACATGAAATCTACAAGATAATAGAAATATGAATGATTTGAATCAACATTTTATGCCTTTTAAAATAATTTTTACCAAATATTTTCAATGATGCTAACGGCTTTCCATAATTTTTAAGTCCAACTTGCAGATAAGTTCAACTTGGGATCTTTGTGAAACACCCCCCTGGAGGTTAATATGGACTTAGTATGGACACTCTCATTTCAGAGGTGCTTATTAATATATCCCAGTAACACAAGATCAAAACCTACAAAAGACATAACAAGAAGTTACATTATCCCTTCAGAGTCACTTTAGTAGTGTAACTGGGGTATTAAGGGGAAAAAAGTACCCCACCTTAATTTAATTTTTATTTCCACATTTTGTGAACAAATATGATTGCAGATAAGATGAAAACAACGAATTGAGAAAAATTACATTTTGTGCATTCAGACCCAGTAGGGTTTTACATTACAACACTTCACAGAGTCAACGCTGTTCAGGCCTCGCTAAAGACTATTTACAAAATGGTAAATAAAATATGTATATCTTTTACACACAGGTTTATTCGTGATTAATAAAGCCCCACTGCACTAGTTTGGCCAGGAGGGATTAGACCTCCCTGCATGGTCACTGACAGTGGTTATCTCATCAAATATGTTCTCAATTAACATCAGAAAAAGGGGATCATGGGGGACCAATGGTCACCGATTAGGCATTGTTTTCTATATAGAGGGTGCAAGTAGCTATAAGTAGTGCAGTGGGGCTTTAAAACAAAATAATAGATAAATGAAATATCTTCTTAGACATATGCACTTACCTAATTTGCCACCATAAGCCTGCAGTATGTTGTTAACAATTCCATCATCAATCTCTTCATCTGACGATGAATCATCTTCAAACTGCTCAGTTGGAGAAAGTGCTGGTTGTGGAGACTGGATTGATGGTTTGGGATGGGATGATGGTTGTTGAGCTTTTGCTGGTGGTGGTATGAACTGTGCAGGTTGTGGAATTGTTTCTTTCTTCTTTGGCTGTCTCTCATTTACCTTGTTTCCACCTGTGAGGCAAAACAAGTATCTTGAACGTTATATCATCAGACCTCCCAACATTTGATTTGAAAATTCCTATTATTTTGAGCGGCTCAGCAAAATTTGTGGCACGTAGCGCCATGTCTGGCTTTATATTTAGAAATATGCATCATACAGGTATGGAACTTCCCAACACACATCTTGATGTTGGGCACATTTACATGTGATTAAGGGATTGTTTCAAGAAGTTTCAAATTGGATTTTAAAACAATCCAGGAGAACCTGAATAAAAGAGAAAAAAAACAATGAAACGAGTTAGACATGCAATTCAGGTTTTAAAAACACTACATAGATTCTAATAGAATTGAATTAATTAATCAATTCATGATCTCAAAATCAAAGACCAGTATAAACAGTCTGAGGTGGTAAAACTCGTACAATTCATCCAATAAATGAAAACGCCATACACGTGATTGCAATGGCCCCGCTTACCGGCTTCACTCCAGTTGCCGCTGGAAGGAAGGCAGCTGCAAGTGTAACTGCACTTGCTAGATGATACATCATGCATCATAACATTATTCAGTTATGGCGAAATCACCTCACTCACATAACAACAAAAAATGTATCTCAGTATCAAAAATACAAATCATAAATTACTTATAAGTGTTGTTATTGTTGTAAAAAAGTGAGGATATCTAGATTTCCTGATTTCCATATTACCACAAGAAGTTACAACTGTCTCAAGTGAGTAACTACATGTATACCTGTAAGCACTGGATTTCCCCATGCCTTGACCGCTTGTGATTCTCTGCTGGTCTTCTGTTGACCAAATATATCAACATCATTGGTCTCCCTGGCAACACCCCTTCCTCTGCCTCTGCCTCGACCATGGTTTGGTTTAGCTGAAAATGCCATAACCTGTCAGACAGCAAAGATCAGACATAGCGAGGATTAAACAAGAAAGCAGATGATTAATGATTGAAGTTATTTAACCTTTAAAAAAAAAACTTTAGCAATAGATAATCGCTCTTCTTCAAGAAACCACTTTCCCTTCTCTTTGGCCAGCCGTTCATATATGGGCAATTTTAATAAATCAAGGTTCATATTCAGCATTAAATGTTATATCACTATCTTGTTTTTTATCATTTTGTATTTGTATTTTTTTAATGTGTTTATGAAGAGTATTTAATAAACTTTGAATTTGAATAGATCAATTGTCAGCTTTGTTTACCAGAAATGATATGGATAAAAAATAATACATTGCTGTTTTCAATTAAAAAGGGTAATTTAATTGGTTTGCTTACAATAATGATGGTTTGAATGGAAGAAGAAAATGTGACTTAAATTTCAAAATTTCTAGGAAACGTCCACAATATATCTTTTAAGCCCATCCATAAGCCTACACGTACATGGCTAATTCGGTTTCAACCCCCAGCCCCCTCCCCAAAGATGAATTGAAATAGATAGCCAATGAAATATGACCAATAAGGCAATGATGAGGTCACCTATCGAGCATAAGCCTTGTGGTAGATCAATGCTAATTAAGGGATTCATGCTTTATAAAGAATGAGCATCCAAGAGAATAACGTACCGAACTCATTTATATTTTTTTCAAAATGATATTGAAACTAATCATACACTTCGCGGCCCATAGAGAAGCAACAAACTGTCTTGTGGTGGTGCTTTACAACATTTAAAAAGATATGAGAGGTTCGGAGGAGTGACAACTCGCTTGTCGCGGAAGTTGTCGCTCATCTTGGTAAAGATGGCTTTGTGAAACACTTAGCTGACAAGTTGCGTGACATTGTCGAGATGTAGTTGATCTTGTACTGTAGACGTTTTGAGAAACGGCCCCCGGGTGAATACAGGGGCCCGTTCCTAGAAACCGTCATAAGTCTAACTTCTTGACTATCCTATTGAAACGTGTGTTATAGAATTAACACGCGTTTCAATGGGATAGTCAAGAAGTTAGACTTATGACGGTTTCTAGGAACGGGCCCCTGGTGAATACGTGTATTGCGACGGGCAAGAACCGGCGCAGCGCAGTGCAGTGGTACCTCAACGTTACGGGGAAGGGCCTGGCTGGCTTACCACTCGACGTGGCCAGTTTTACACGTACCGGTAGCTAGGTCGAACTCCAAGCTAAGATCGGATAAGGTTCTTGCTCAGTTGCCTCGATTCCTTGTTTTGGCTTAACTTTAGAATACCCCACCAAAACGTAGTATGTCCGTTGGTCGCCAACGCGCCAACGTACCAATTTAGTGTAGTCCCTTCCTTTCGTATTCGTGACCAGTTTCTGAATTTGCCATCGCATCAACTCGAGAATGGAAATATGGTTATTTGTTATGTTTTAACTCCTTCCTATTACCTCTTACACATCAAAGTATTTTATTTATAGTTTGTTAAAGATGTTCTCACCTTAGTTGTAATGTTTTACCCTTGATATTGCTTGAAAATTGTCGAAAAGTAGCCTAAAAGTAAAGTAAAGGGGAAGAAAAAAATCGGGAACTTATGGTGTCCTTTACATGGCAAACAAAGAAAGGAAATAAGGTGCGTTGGCGCGTTGGCACGTTGGTGTACAAACGAAAATAATTTAGGAAATAGGTAGCCTAAAAGTAAAGGGAGGAAACAAATCAGGAACTTGTGGTGTCCTTCAAATGGCAAACAAAGAAAGGAAATAAGGCGCGTTGGCGCGTTGGCACGTTGGCCCGTCCCTCATTGCCAAACGAAAATAATATAGGAAAATAATATAGGAAATAAGGAGCGTTGGCACGTTGGTCCGTCCGTCATCTGGCCATTGACCGAATAAGGAATATAACATTCACATTTGTCTTTCTAGGCACGATGGAGATTTACAATTTTATTTCTTTAAAAGTAGTACTTGGGGGAGCTGTTTCAAATTACTGCGATATGAAATTAATGATTGAAATATCACGTTATTAACTTCATGTTTCAGTGTTAGTACATTGGCATGATTGCGATTTATGATCCATTGTCAGTACGTTGGCACGCCGCTGGTGATTGAACTTTCATTAATTATAAGAAAAAAAAGAGGATTTGTTGTACCATTCTCGACTCTTATTTCTTGTCTGAATTCAGTTTCCCCCCGCCCGCGCAAAGCGCGGAAGCTTTTACCTTTCATCAATTATTGGAGAAAGAAGACGATTTGTTGTACCATATTCTTGACTCCTTATTCTTGTCTGAATTCAGTTCCCGCCACTCCCCCCCCCCCCCCCCCCCCCGCTCTCGCGCGAAGCGCGCAAGCTTTAAATGACCTGTCATTAAATTATTAGAGAAAGAAGACGATTCGTTGTACCATTCTCGACTCTTAATCCTTGTCTGAAGTCATGCAGGTTCCCCCCTCCCGCGTGAAGCGTGGAAGCTTTGGTGTTTCATTGATCGGTTCCCCCCCCCCCTCCCCCCGCGCAAAGCATGGAAGGTTTTAGCTTTCATTAATTATTAGAGAAAGAAGACGATTTGTTGTATCATTCAGACTCTTATTTTATGTCCTAATTCAGTTTCCTTCCCCTCCCCTCCCCTCCTGCTCCTCGTTGGATATCGTAGGATCGTTGGCAGGCAAAACGATCTCGGCAAAGTTAGTTGTTCAACACATGCATGTTGGTGAGAGCCAACAACCAACGATGTGCTACGCACAGGGGTTGGTGACGTCACACAGTGCGGACATCGTTGGCAGACAACCCAATCCCGGCAAAGTCATCAAAGGAGAGAGGAATGAAGTACAGAACAATTAATAGAAAGAGTCTATAGTCCGAAGACAGATGAGAATTAAAGAGAATTATTATAATTAATATTATCATTATTGATATTAAAAAGAAGAATAAGAGAAATGGGAGAAGATAAAGATTGGAGAACAAGTAGGGCCTAGTGGTCGTGGGTAAAACAAATTGAAAACAAAAGAAAGGGGAATAGATCGAGGAATAATACTACAACAATGATAATAATAAGGGTGCGCATGCGCACATGGTAACGTTAGGTGAATGTAAATCGGCAAAGCAGTGAATTGGCTCAATATAGCATTAAGATTTTTTAAAGCCTGATTTATGTCTTAGTTTCAGAGAAAAAAACGTTGGGAGAATTTACTGTTAATCACTGTTAGAGAGTGTTGCACAATGACGCCTTCAAAGAAAACCATAAATATCTTTGTGGTTTAATTGAGAAGATGAAGATCAAAGGAGAAGAGAAAGAAGAAGAAGTGGTCGTGGGTAAAACAAATTGAAAACAAGAAAAGGGGAATAGAGGAATAATATACTATAACCATAATATATCGATAGAAATCCATCTACCACAAAAATCTGTACATTTTGATGTACACCCCCTCCTAAATTTTGTTTTCTTCCCTTTTTTTCTCCCTCTCTTTTTTTTCCATTTTACCAATATTTTTGTCTCCATATTTGTATTATTATGTATCCATTGAGGGTAGTCATACTATCAAGCTTTGCTTACTTTGTCAACCCTCCTGTTTGATGTTTTCGATTAGTTACGGCCAACCTTACTTTGTTTAATCTTTTGTCATGTGTAAATGTTCAATGATTTGTTTGTTATATATATGTAAAACTGAAAAAGAAAAAGAAAATCAAGCAATAAAAAATAAACCTGATTGATGTTTCTGATTAGTTAAAGCCAACCTTACTCTGTTTTACATATACTCTTTTGTCATGTATGAAATGTTTTGTTTGTTATATATTTGTAAAACTGCAAAAGAAGAAGAAAATCAAACGGAAATGGGACCCGGTGTCCTAGGGTTAGGGTATGGGTGAGAGTTAGGGTAACGCAGAACCCGGTATCCTAGGGTTAGGGTTAGAGTTAGTACGCAAACTCCAGTGTTCTAGGGTGACGCGGGATCCGGTGTCCTAGGGTTAGGGTTAGGGTGAGAGTTAGGGTAACAAAAACCCCGGTGTCCTAGGGTCACGCGGGACCTGATGTCCTAGGGTTAGGGTTAGGGTGAGAGTAAGGGTAACGCAAACTCCGGTGTCCTAGGGTGACGCGGGATCCGGTGTCCTAGGGTGACGCGGGATCCGGTGTCCTAGGGTGACGCGGGACCCGGTGTCCTAGGGTGACGCGGGACCCGGTGTCCTAGGGTGACGCGGGACCCGGTGTCCTAGGGTGACGCGGGACCCGGTGTCCTAGGGTTAGGGTTAGGATGAGAGTTAGGGTAACGCAAATTTACTCCGGTGCCCTAGGGTGACGCGGGACCCGTTGTCCTAGGGTGACGCGGGACCCGGTGTCCTAGGGTTAGGGTTAGGGTGAGAGTTAGGGTAACGCTATAACTCCGGTGTATTAGGGTGATGCGGGACCCGGTGTCCTAGGGTGATGCGGGACCCGGTGTCCTAGGGTGACGCGGGACCCGGTGTCCTAGGGTGATGCGGGACCCGGTGTCCTAGGGTTAGGGTTAGGGTGAGAGTTAGGGTAACGCTAACTCCGGTGTATTAGGGTGACGCGGGACCCGGTGTCCTAGGGTGATGCGAGACCCGGTGTCCTAGGGTTAGGGTTAGGGTGAGAGTTAGGGTAACGCAAACTTTGGTGTCCTAGGGTGACGCGGGACCCGGTGTCCTAGGCTGACGTGGGACCCGGTGTCCTAGGCTAACGTGGGACCCGGTGTCCTAGGCTAACGTGGGACCCGGTGTCCTAGGGTTAGGGTTAGGGTGAGAGTTAGGGTAAAGCTAACTCCGGTGTATTAGGGTGACGCGGGACCCGGTGTCCTAGGGTGATGCGGGACCCGGTGTCCTAGGGTTAGGGTTAGGGTGAGAGTTAGGGTAACGCAAACTTTGGTGTCCTAGGGTGACGCGGGACCCGGTGTCCTAGGCTGACGCGGGACCCGGTGTCCTAGGGTTACGGTTAGGTTGAGAGTTAGGGTAATGCAAACTCCGGTGCCTTGGGTGACGGGACCCAAAGAATAACTTGTGGAAAGATAGAAATGGAAGATTAAACAAAATAATAATATGAAAATAAAATATAAAACAAGGAGGAAATAAAAAATACCATAAGGAAAGACAGGTGCTAATAAGCAAAATGGAAATGGAAAAGAAAGAGAAATAAAGAATAACATAAGGAAATTAGAAAAAGAAGATAAAAGAAGTTCTAAACAAACAAATACATAAGGGGCGATGGATATGGAAAACCCGCGCGAAGCGCGGAAGCTTTGACGTTTCAGAAATTATTAAGAAAAAAAAGACGATTCATTGTACTATTCTCGACTCTTAATCCTTGTCTGAAATCATTAACCCCCCCCCCTCTCGCGCGAAGCGGGCAAGCTTTGACGTTTCATTAAATTCTTAGAGAAAGAAGACGATTCGTTGCACCATTCTCGATTCTTAATCCTTGTCTGAAATCAGTTTTCCACTCTCGCGCGAAGCGCGCAAGCTTTGAACTTTAGTAGTAGTAGTAGTAGTACTACTATACTACTAGGTACTACTACAGTTCCTGGAAATGCCTTGTTTCACTATCATTATAAGTATAACTTATCACACTGTATTAGCAGTCAAGCTTGCAGTTGAAGCATAATCAACAGCGTTAATATTTTGTAAACCAAAATAAATAACAGAGAAAATGGCAAACATATTATGTAAATAACCCACTTACCAAACGAGGAGAGCAGCCATTGGATAATTCGTTCATATGATTGTATATGAAATAGGATGAATATCGCCTCACCTTTATAGTTAACAAAACGTTTTACATTTGGTCGAGTATAAAACAGTTTCGATTAGTCATTTAGTCCTTAGGATATTTTACTATTAGACGAATATTTAACTGGTACAAGCGAAACTTTCATTTAAAATTATAACGTTTATAAAAGTATATAAACATAATTATGTGTGATGGTTGTATGTGTGTTTATCAGAGGCGGCGCTCCCGGGAGGGGGGCACAGTGCCTCCCCCCCACTTTATCAAGTTCTCCAAAAGTGCCCCTTTTAAAACAGGAAAAGTGCCCTATGAACTTTGTAAGAAGTGCCCCTATTAATTTTTAAAAGTGCCCCTTCCCCTTTCCACCTCTGATAAGTACACCCTCTTCTTTACACGTACCCCTTTTCGTTCGACAAGTTCCCATTTTATTTTGCAATAAGTGTTCATTTTCCATTCTCATAAGTGCCCTTTATAATTTGTAATAATTGAAGTGCCCTTTTCAGATACGAGAAGCGTCCCTTTTCACCTCTGATAATTGCCCTATTCAAATCTGATAAGCGCACCTTATATCTTCATATGTGCGCCCTTTCCTTTCTAATAAGCGCCCCCATTTAAAAAAGAGCCCCTTCCCTTTCTCATAAATGCCTTTTTTTCATCTATGAAAACAGTCTCCTTTTCATCTATGAAAACAGTCTCTTTTCATTCTCATAGCCCATTTGAGCCCATTTCCAAGACGATGGCGATTCAAATTCAAGTCTCTCAACTCATGTTGGCTCGTTGGCACGTAATTGGCACGTTGGCAATATAAATTCAAGTCTCTCAACTCATGTTGGCTCGTTGGCACGTTGGCACGTTGGCGATTTAACTTCAAGTCTCTCGGCTTGTTGGCACGTTGGCGATATAAATTCAAGTCTCTCAACTCATTAAGCTTGTTGGCACGTTGGCACGTTGGCGATTTAATTTCAAGTCTCTCAACTCATGCTCGTTGGCACGTTGGCACGTTGGCGATTTAACTTCAAGTCTCTCGGCTTGTTGGCACGTTGGCGATATAAATTCAAGTCTCTCAACTCATTTGGCTCGTTGGCACGTTGGCACGTTGGCACGTTGGCACGTTGGCGATATAAATTAATGTCTCTCAACTCATGTTGGCTCGTTGGCACGTTGGCGATTTAACTTCAAGTCTCTCAACTCATGTTGGCACGTTGGCACGTTGGCGATATAAATTCAAGACTCTCAACTCATGTTGGCTCGTTGGCACGTTGGCGATATAAATTCATGTCTCTCACCAACTCATGTTGGCTCGTTGGCACGTTGACGATTTAACTTCAAGTCTCTCAATTCATGTTGGCTCGTTGGCACGTTGGCGATATAAATTCAAGACTCTCAACTTATGTTGGCTCGTTGGCACGTTGGCACGTTGGCGATATAAATTCAAGACTCTCAACTCATGTTGGCTCGTTGGCACGTTGGCGATATACGGTAAATTCAAGCCTCTCAACTCATGTTGGCTCGTTGGCACGTTGGCGATATAAATTCAAGTCTCTCAACTCATGTTGGCTCGTTGGCACGTTGGCACGTTGGCGATATAAATTCAAGACTCTCAACTCATGTTGGCTCGTTGGCACGTTGGCGGCACGATTGCGATTTCCATTCAAGACTAAATCTCGGCACCTTGTAACTTTAGTACTTTAACAAGTTGAAGCGTTGGGTTGGTAGACCAAAAAAAAAAATTAAATCCGCATGGTGGGGTATTCTAAAGTTGTTCCCTTGTTTTAGACTACAATTTATTTTTAAAACATGCAAATACATCATAGGGTTTTAAATACAAAATCACTCACCAGTTTACTTCGCCTTCGGTATTCTGATCAAAATCATGTCTTTCACGTTCTCGATTTCTTGCACGAAAGAAAGATCGTCCACTGATAATTTCGGTATACGGTTTATCAAGCTAGAGGCCTACAGTTTTTTTTTTTTTTTTTTTTTTTTTTTTTGGGGGGGGGGGGGGGGCTCCGTCTCCCAAGCCTCCACCTCCCCCTACCCCATCAGTTCGCCAGTGGTGTCCAGTGGCAGGTCTGGAGCTTGGTCTCGTTTGGTGGTGGTGGGGGGGGGGGGGGGAGAGGGGCGCACTGACGCATTCTTTTCCTCCTTTTCATTTCTTCCGTTCCTCTTTATTTTCCTTCCCTTTCCCTAGCTCCCTTCCTTCTCTCTCTCTCTCTCTCATTTTGCTGAGGGGGGAGGGGGAGGCAAGGGCCTTTCGCCCCCCCGATCCGCACCTTGTTGGCGGGAAAAATCGCATATGATCTGCCCTATTTTTCTTCGTCCTCTTTTTTTTTTCTTTCCCTTTCTCTCGTCTTTCCCTTTCCCTTCCCTTCCTTCTCTCTCTTTGAAGTTTGCTGGGGGGGGGGGGGCAATAGCGTTTTGCCCCTCCCCCCCCCCCGATCCACACGTTGTTGGCTGGATTAATTGCAACTGATCTCCCCTTCATTTCACCCCGTGTTCTTTTCTTCTTCTTCTTCTTTGTTCCTTTTTAGCTCTCCTCTCCCTTTCCCTTCCTTCTCTCGTTAGGTGGGGGTGGGGGGGGGGAGGGGCACACTGACGCATTCTTTTCACCCTTTTCATTTTTATCCATTCCTCTTTATTTTCTTTCCCTCCCTTCCTTTTCTCTCTCTCATTTTGCTGACGGGGGGGGGGGAGGCAAGAGCCTTTCGCCCCCCCCCCCGATCCGCACCTTGTTGGCGGAAAAAAAATCATATGATCTGCCCCATTTTTCTTCTTCCTCTTTTTTCCTTCTTATACAGCATTCTCTCGTCTTTCTCTTTCCCTTCCCATCCTTCTCTCTCTTTGAAGTTTGCTGGGGGGGGGGGTGCAATAGCTTTTCGCCCCCCCCCCCCCCCCCGTTCCTCACGTTGTTGGCTAGATTAATTGCAACTGATCTCCCCTTCTTTTCACCTTGTGTTCTTTTCTTCTTCTTCTTTTTTGTTCCCTTTTGGCTTTCCTCTCTTTCCCTTTCCATTCCTTCTCTCCTTTTTTGGCGGAAGGGGGGGGGGGGGAGGGGGAGGCAAAGGCATCCCCCGATTAACAATAAATTGTTGGCGGGAAAATCGCAACTTATACCCCCCTTCTTTACTTTTCTTCTTCCTCTTTGTTTTTCCCTTCCCTTTATCTCCTCTTTTCGTTTTTTCTTTCCCTTTCCTCCCTTCTCTCTTTTGGAGGGGGGGAAGGCAGCAGCCTTGGAGGCAAGGTCCTTTCGCCCCCCCCCCCCTCCCCCGATCTCCTTCTTTTTGCCTTTTTTTCTTCTTTCTCTTCTTTCTTTCCTTTCTCTCCTCTTTTCCTTTGCTTTCTTCCCCCTCTCTCTCTCTCTCTCTCTCTTTTGGCGAGAAGGGGGGGGGGGGGGAGGGTCAAGCAGGCGAGGATCCAGGATTTCTTGGTGGGGGGGGGGGGGCCCAAATTTGAAATTATGCGAGCCAAATATTGGTACGTAATGGTAACCAGCATTGACGTAATGGGGGGGGGGGGTGTGCAGGGAGGGGCGATTTCCCCCTCCCTCCTCCGCAAAATTATAAGAGAAGGAAGACGATTCGTTGTACCGTTCTTGAAAATAATCCTCGTCTGAATTCAGTTTCCCCCCTCCCGCGCAAAGCGGGGAAGCTTTTACGTTTCATAGAATCATTAGAGAAAGAAGGCGATTCGTTGTACCGTTCTCGACTCTTTGTCTGAATCCTTGTCTGAATTTCAACAAAAAAAAAAATTCTGCTCCTTTTTCTTCCGACGTCCTTTTCCTTTTCTCTCCTCTCTTTTTTTGGCCGGCGTTTTTTTTTTTTTGGGGGGGGGGCCGGGGGGGCTTAGGGGTTTTAGGCATTTAATTACGGTAAGATGAGCATTTTTTTATGTCTTATTTTGTTGTGACACTGGCAGTTAACTATTCTTTCTTTCTTGCTTTCTTTCTTCCTATTTCTCTTTAATATACTTGTACAAAAATTGGCGGGCCCTGACATGTAGGCATCTCAAGAATCATATTTCTTGCCTGGCTGTAAATTTAGGAATTTGTCATTTTACAACAAGCGCATACAAAACAATAGTTGACTAAAAAATGAGGAAAAATCTCGGAAAATTATGTCATTTCAGCATTATGTGTAAACCACCGTTATGGAATTAGAAATAAACCACGAATTTTATTTCCCCCGAGCCCCCTCCCCGATCAGTACGCCAGTGCCCTAGTCTGCAAGCACAAACCCTGGTCAGTCGTAAAATTGAGTCAGCACTATAAGACTACCATATGCCATGTACTGTAGCTGCTCCTGACACAACCAGTAGGTAGCTGGGCTAGACTTTTCTCAAGGCACTATGATTATTTGATAAAGTGTCAAATTAGGGTCTGTGCCTGCAGACTACCAGTGCCCCGCCCCTCCCCCTAATCTACACTTTGTTGGCGGAAAAATCGCAACTGATCTCCCCTACCTTTCTTTTTTCTCTTTTTTTTCTTTCCCTTTCTCTCCTCTTTCCCTTTCCCTTCCCTTCCTTTTCTCTCTCTTTTAGGTTTGCTGGGGGGGGGGGGGGGGGAGGAAGCAAGGTCCTTTCGGCCCCCACCCTTCTCCACACGTTGTTGACAGGGATTAACCGCAATGTTTCCCCTTCTTCTTCCTCTTTTTTTTTAGGTCCCTTTTAGCTCTCCCTTTTGCTTTTCGTTCCTTCTCTCTTTTTTTAAGCGGGGACGGGGGGGGGGGGGGGGAGGAGGCAAGTGCCTTTTGCCCAACCCCCACACCGATCCACAACTTGTTGGCGGGAAAATTGCAACTGATACCCCCTTCTTTTTTTTTCTTCTTCCTCAATTTTCCTTCCCTTTATCTCATTTTCTTATTTTCCTTTTTTTCTTTCCATTTCCTTCCTTCTCTCTCTTTTTTTTTTTTTGGGGGGGGGGGGGGGGAGAGCACATTTTTGTTTTGGCCCCGGAAATTGGAAAAATTACGTTGTCAGATATTTCGTTCAGTGGCTGGGGGGGGGGATAGACACTTGCCCCTTTTTTTCCTTCTTTCCCCCCCCCCTTTTTTTCCTTCTTTTTTTTTCCCCCATTTTTTTTGCCCCCGGGCCCCCCTGGATCCGCCACTGCCTACATGTATGCTACCCCTACTACTTCTGCTTCTACCTAAATGTACGCTACCTCTACTACTTTGTTAATCTTTCCAGACTTTTGCTTTGTGCTTCGATCTTCTACTACTCCTGCAACTTTTATACATGTATTTCATATCACAACCTTCTTATCCAAAATGATTCTACTACCTCTACTACTTCTACTACACAACTTACTCTAGTACTGCCACGTCCCCTGCTACCTCCAACACAAATTACTCATGTTGTTCTTTGCTTCTACCTCTACTGCGTCTGATCATTCTGGTATACACCAAATGCCCCCAGCTACCAATACCACCTCTTATACCCCTCGTACTGCTATTACACCCACTACCTCTACCACATCGAAAAGCATTACTACCTCTATAACTTCTACAACCACTGCAACCCCATTTACTACTAAAATTATCACCACACACTGATACTAAAAGTATCACCTGTAGGCTACTACCCTTGCTACTCCTAATATTTCTTCTACCTCCTCCTACCTCTAATTACTCTCCTACTTACTACCCCTTCTACTATATCTGCTAATGCTACTACCTTTCATCTCTCAACTACCCCTACTACTTCTCCTATCTCTATCACCCCTGCTACTTCTGCTACATTTCATCTCTCTACTTCCCCTCTACTACTTCTCCCATCTATATTACCCTTCTACTCTATGCCCTCTTGCTTCTATACTACCACCCCTCCTACCCCCTATCTACTATCCCTACCGCCTCATTGGCACTGTCTCGTTGTTTTTGATTACACATCATTTTCGAGTGTCGAGGATGCTAGCAACAAAGAAAACATTTCAAACAGATGCCCATTAAAACCCTTTCTTCTCTAAGACCCTTCTGGTATTTAGAGTATATCTGCATACATTTTTTTTTTTTAAATACTCGTAGATAATTTGAATGGATTACCAAAACATAGCATTTAAATTTTACAGTATTGTATGTATTGGAGACGGTACTTAATGTATCGTTAAACGAGAATTTATATTTAGTGTGTCTTTTCTTGTTTTTGTTTTTGTATGTGTGTGGCCTGATAGATTTAGAAATGTTTGATTAGATTTAAAAGGATTTTGGAAACGAAATAATACAACAGGCACATATTAATGATAGTTTACTATACACATGAACAAATATATTTGCAGGAAACAAAAGATGTTGCGTATACTTAATTTATTCATTTATTTATTCATTTATTATTATTATTATTACCATATTCTATTCTTCTTTTTTCTTCTACGTATGTATTTATTTATTATTTATTTTATTATAAACTACTATTTGTATTTGTGCATTTTATCAAACTGACAGTATACGCCCTTCGACCTGAGTGGGCTTATCCAAGCGAGTAAGTCATTCAGAGCACATGTGACATATATTTAGGTGATATCATCAGATATTATTTAAAATATTACTAGCGTAACCATGTCGGTAAAAATGAGTTTTTGTAGGTGCCTGAAATCATTGTTCTGAACAAAAGAGAAAAGAAAAACGAGACAAAATAAAACCGCAAATGTAATCTTTCTCAGACATTAGATACAAGACCATGTTTGTAAGGTCTTGGGAGTAAAAATAACTTTCCCCAACATTTCTGTTTAGGCCCTGCATATCTTTAATGTTTAGTAGGTTACATTTTGATGACAATTTACACTAATTACTAGTATAGGGTCAGATTTTGGGTCGCTAGCTCGCATATGTAATTAAAAATGGCAGGTGACATTCGGGCATGAAACGTCAACTCCCTTTGCAAAAGTGTGGCCTTACGCCTATAATATATTATGTACCCTGAGTACGTTTTAAAGTAGGTATATGAACAATTCAATCATACGAAAAGGCTTTGAAAAGTGTTGAATTGTTCCTTTAATAGAACCATTCTATAAACAACTTGTTGATATTAATCCCCTGTTTGAATTACGACTTGTATTTCGTTTTGACCATAAACCCTTGAAGAGATTACCATCAACTGACGCTTGACGACAATCACTACGCACAGTTATGTTACCATGACAGCTCATTGAGTGGGGAAAACGGATGCATCTAGAGATAAGAAAATAAATTGTAGTGTAGAATGAACAGGCATCTTGAAATAAAACCTGGTTTACGTTTGTTTTACTTGGTGGCATTGGTCAGATGAGAGAAAATGGTGCTAAGGTAGTGACTTCAATGCCAGATGTACAATTAAAGTTCGATTAAAAACAAGCCATTAAAAAAATTAGGGACTTGAATTGATCTGATCGATTCCTTAATTCTCCCACTATTATATTGTTACAATTTAATTACATTTTAAGTGAATGAAAATTGTTACTAAGCAATGAATTGACTCCATTTACCATTCCAGACATTTTAAGTGTTTAAAGACTTTTAAAAGTCTGTCTTATGTCTTATTTTCATCGAAAAAACGATTGGGAAAACTAAAAAATGGTTGGGAGAATTTACTGAATTAAAGAAAACGATAAATATCTTTGTGGTTTGAGATTTTTTTTTCAGGTTTTATTTTTTGCATGTTATAGAGGGTTAGTACAGTAGAAGAAATATAATAATAACATTTCATACAAAAATTACGCAGTTTTTTCATCAACCTTCAACAATGTTACCGAGTCACTTTACATTACGGGGGAGCGTCGTACTAGAGGTGAAACGGAAAATATAAGGAAAAGTAAGAGAAGCGTGAACCATTTTCACCATGGACCAGGTTTCACGGTTACGGCATATTGACCGAATACAATTTCTTTATTTTTTTAAAATTAAAACTTTTATTGCTTCTTCCATTTCAACAAGTTTTTACAAATTAATAACTTCCATATAGTATATAAGGCCAAATAATAAAAATGTAGTGTTTCTCGACCCCGCCCCCTTAAAAAAATATTATTTACCTCTTCTTTTTTTTAAGCCAAAAAGCCATACACAAAAAAAGCCTCTGATATACATTTTGTTTAAATATCTTCTAAAGTGATGCAAATCATTTGTTTTGTCAGTATACTCACATATTCATATTCATATTTATTTCATTTCCAACAGAAAGGTAAACAAAAATATATTACATTTTTGTTCATACATAATTCATTTTTTCAGGAAACTATACAAATAAACTTTGCACAAGCATAATAAAATTATTACAAGAAATTCTTAATTTCTGAGGAAATGGCATAATATCTGTGAATAAATAGGCTTGGCCAGCTATAATTAGCATGGAAGTCATTTTGGAAAGAAATTACGAAAAGTTGCAAAATAGTAAATAGTATGCCCTACCTCCTCCTTTTTTTTAAAGTCCGGACGAGAAACACGTTTTTGTTTTTGTTGGCCTAAGTCAGAATCATAAATGTGAACAAAATTTGATGAAAGCAAATGAAAATAAATACAGCCTTTTAGTGGTGAAGTGTGACGTCATCAAAAATCTAATTTTAGAATTTCTCAATTTTTCTTCATTTTCCGAAAGAGCATCAAAAATAATGTCCAAATTTTGAAAGCCAATATAATATGTTAAGTATTGTCTGAGATATGACCATCTAAATAAATATACTCCCCATAGGAGCTCAGTGTTATATGCTCTGGCTCCTAACCACTAGGAGCCAGAGTATATAACACTGAGTTCCCATAGGACATATATTTATTCAGATGGTCGTATCTCAGCCAATACTTAACATATTCAATTTTTTTTCGACATTTGGACATTATTTTTAATGCTCTTTCGGAAAATGAAGAAAAAATTGAGAAATTCTAAAAATAGATTTTTATGACGTCACAGCTTCTGTACTTTTTAAAGATGAACATGTCGTTTTCATTTACATAAAGCATATATGCCTAAAACTGACTAAACCGACATTTTATATTTTTGTTTAATGTAATTAATAAAGTATTTACCATAAAATATAACTGTTTGCAAAAATGATTCCTGGTAGTACGCCAAAACATATATATAGTTTAGAATTAAAGTGGTAAAATAATTACCTTTAACTCGTAAACTTTACCGAATACAATTTTTGCAGTTGGCCGAAAAGGTGCTCTGACATTGCTCCGTGACCATTGCTCCACATTTCGTCACAGACATAATGGTTAGGGCTATCCTTGGGTTTTAGATTAGGTTTAGGGTCAGGGTTAGGTGTAGTGTTTGGTCCAAGGTCGAAGTTAGGAATTTGGAGCTCACTGTCGGTGCATTATCTGCTGAACATTTATTGATGGTCACCGACGTTCAGTGGCGTACGCAGGAATTTTTCAAGGGGGGGGGGGTAACATATTTAAATCGGGCCGAAAATTTCGCAACGACTCACCAGCCGCTGAATAAGCGGGGGGGGGGGGTAAGAGGTTTTTTTTTTTTTTTTTTTTTTTTTTTTTAGAAAAAAAAAATCGAAGGGGGAGGGGGGGTTCCTAAAAAAACACACATAAAAAAGTCCCCCCCCCTCCTGCGTACGCGCCTGCTGACGTTTATATTCAAACAAAAACTACCACAACAGAAGCAAAGATTAAATATTCTGGACTAAAATCAGGTTAGTCTGCTCATTTTTATATGTTGTTTGCATAAACGTGAACATCCTGCATTTCATTTAGATAAAGGTCGAATTTCCTCATGTTTGACTATTTTATGGCGTAGGTTTATATATTATATGCAGTTAAACTTGATAGCAGTTATAATCTTAGGAAGTAAAAAAAAAATCAGTTCGAATATAACGGGCTACCTACCTTGTAGATCTTTATCATTTTTCTTTTGCTTCCTCCTCTCTCACTCTCACTCCTCTATCTCTCCCTCACTCATTTTCTCTTTCTACTCCACTCTTTTTTTCTCCTTTCCTCATCTCATTCTTTCCCACACTTTCTCCTCCGCCCCCTCTCTTCCATTCACTATAATTCACTGTTTTCTATTAGCTCAGCTCATGTTTCAATTTATATTCCCATTTAACTTAATGTTTTGACTTATGATAAATCTAGATACATGAAGAAAAGAACAGTATATTGTTGCCGTTCGTGCTGCTGCAAGACATAAACCCCACAGAAACTCTGATCTAATAATTCAAACAATGTGAAAAGTATACCATTGTGTGTAAGGTAAACATGAACACAAACTTGTGCAATTTATTAGAAGCATCATATCTAAGGTTGAAGAGTTATACTTCTGCTTTACAGCATATCTGCCGGATAGAGTTTGACACTCGTTATACTCTCGCAAGAAATAATTGGATCAGATTGTTAATGAAAGCATGGAGAAGGTAAATAATTTGTGTGTTATAAATACACACAACTCGCCATGACATAATATATACGTGAATGTGTCGCTGTGCATGCATACAATATTACTGGCACTTAAGTATCAATAAAGGTAACTTGATGATAATCAGGCCTAAAAAAAAAAACACTTGTTGTATTGCCCTTTGGGTGCCAAAACATGGGTCGGTCGGTCGGAAAAGTTTTTTTTTTTTTTTTAAACTTTTTTTTCCGCCCTCTTTGGGCCGATATTTTTCAGTTTTTAATGTTTGAACAAAATACATATTTTTTTGTATTTATTAATAAAAAAAAAATCTAAAGAACGGTTTAAAAAAAAATCCTTTTTTAAAATGCTGACCGTAAATTTTCAGATTTTTGGGTCGGTCGCAAAGGGCAATACTACAAGTTTTTATTTTAGGCTTCATATCATTAATCATACCGATAAAAATAACAAAAATAATGACAACACGATTGGAATATGCTTCAAATTGGTTTCTTTTAAAGGAATTGAGTCACTGTACTATGAATGGATTGAAGATTCTGGCATGGAAATGAGAAGAATTTTGAAAATTTGTTTGATCTTGAATTTCATGGCAACTATCAAAATACGGCACAAATATATAATACTGGTGGCAAGATCAGTGAACATAAAACATTAAAACAACAAACTTAAAATATTTGGAATATGAAGATAGCATAAAAAAAGTAAGCAGTCCTTTGTAGCAAAATTATAGAACATGCCATCAACTGTCCTAAAGTCTATTGTAATGCTTACAAACCACTGAAGAACAGATCGTAACACAGGCAAGATCTCTGTAGATACATGTATATATGCAATAATATTAAACTATACAAGAGATATTAAATCAACATTTATGAACTGTAAGGAACATGGAATAAAGTTAATCCTAACCCTGTATGTCTTAAAGACAATGCTTAGAGAAGGTGAAAAAGATAGATCTATGTGATTCCTCAATTCAAACAATAAAATAATAAATGTGTTTTTTAATTCTTCATTCATTCTATCTAGCTCAATTGGATGTCATTAAACTAATTTCAGTTGTAAACTCTGAAGTCACACGGAATTTTACTAACAAATGCATTTGTACGCCCCATAATTTGTGTGCCTATTAAAATTTATTAACCTCCACAAACCTCCAAAAAAAGTAGAAAATACAAAAAAAAATCTTTCTTTCTCCCTCTCCAAAATGAAAAAAAATACTTCTCATACAGACACTTAACATGACATAACGTTGGTAATTGCAAACTTCAACTTCACATTATACAGTGCAATGAAGTGTTGACACATGGGAATTACAAAAATAAATCGACTCATAAAGCATTTTACCTTGCATACGTCTTGAATTTCTTTTTTGTAGAAATATACATCTCTCTCAGATAAAAGTATTAACACCTCCAATTTCTTATTTACGTTACTTTTTAGAATTTGGTATTGAGCTTGAGCAGATTTACGTACAAAAATAGTGATTTGCCGTCTAAATATGTAATGAACTTTCCAACCAAGCATGTATTACCTACATACTGGCAATTGTTATCATCATTTAAAAATACATATGTTGCACTTACGGTACATGACCAGTAAGAGGTTTAGTAGACCTAGTTTTCAATAGATTACCCCACTGGTGAACATGCACATACATTACAATTCTTTGAGTGCGTAGCAGACGAGACATAATCACTTCTTAAACCAATAACACTGTTGAGAGCCAGATAGATGCTAATTCATGTACTTTCAAATAGAATCAATGCCCCTATGGTATTAGACAGTCAATTCTCAAATGACAAGGACCCATACATCAACATTTTGTAAAACATGTAACAGTTCTCAGATTGCCGCGCATTATGATCAATTACCCCACTCTGTAATTACAGATTTGTTAAAGACACAAGTCACAGACTTCAGTAAACTCTCAAGTTACCTTAAGAGTTTGCTTTATCAACATACATGTAGGAGATTATTAACATTAATGCATCCAACGCTATCTGTCATTTGTAAAAACTCTTTGGCTGCCAGACAATTTATCCACGTTTAGTCTTGTAAACTCACGACATGAATAACAAAGTTTTAATATTTTATGTACAACATGCAGTTTTGCGTCTTGTAAACTCACGACATGAATATAACAAAGTTTTAATATTTTATGTACAACATGCGGTTCTGCGTAGCTTACACAATAAGAGTTTGACATCAAGTTCAACTCAAGTTTGAAGAAGTTAGTTTAACTCAGTAATTTGATCTTCAAGCCCAGTTTATCTATCTATCTGCATTACAGTAGGTGGGTTGATCTCTTTGCATAGAGGCTGATTTCTCTTAATCTTAGAAAATCGTATGTAAAAATAAATGTACCCAACTTTGATAGCTTCTAATTAAAAAATCATAAATTATGTCACCTTGAATCCTATAGCTTGGTAAAGGGTAACTAATGCCCTGTCTAATGATACCATATTTATAAATGTGCTGCCACGGATGACTGAGCAGCAGGCTTTTCAAAATGTATTGTCAAGATCCTCTTGTACCAAGTTTGGGCTGGAGCTCAATGAATGTGGGTAAAAAGCCATTATGTTTGTGTTATCTCATTCTAAAAGTAATTGTCTACTTATTTACATTGATTATTAGACAGTTGAAAAGCAAATGTGTAAATATCAACTTAAACTCAGGGAAATGCTTATAACAAGCAAAATTCATGATTTTGTTTTCTCTTCGTTATAATGATTACAATCTTCACTTCATTCGCATCTCTCGTTTAAGGTAACCTTTCTCATTGGATAAAGTTTATTGAGGATCTTTTCTTTTTTTCTTTTCATGAAAGTCTACTGTCAATCATCAAATGTGTTCTTTCTTGCATTTGGGTTTATTAACCATCGAGTTTTCTTTCAGTATTCAAGATAAACACCTTATGCTCCTTATGCCAGTGAAACAGTGGAGCAGACAAGTGAGCAGAGAGATATCATGAGACAAGAAGATAGGAGGATGTTCAAGATAACTAATGGTTATCTTATGGATTGAAACAAGATTTTGTGAAAGCCTAGATACATTGCATCATTCTAAACAATGAAACACTAAAGCACAAGGGAAAATTTAACATTTAAAAGGAATTTAGACCAAGGAAGCACATGCATAAGGTCTGACCCACATTCATTCCATCAGCTTAAACTTGGTACGAGGCACTTTTTAAAGACCCTGGTGCTCAGTCACCCGGGACAGAAATATAATGAATAGGTTATCATTTGATAGAAAATAAGTTACTCTTTGTCATAACATAGATTTCAAAGTTATATTGGTTATGACCTTTTAATTAGGAGCTAACGAAATTGGGTACCTACACTTTTTTTATAAAGCACTATATAATACTGGCATCTTTGCTTTGACTGCATCATTAGTGTTTATACATAAGGCATACCTCTTTCAAGGTTTTTGTTGTAGCTAAATACAAATAGACCATCAATGTCATTTCATTAATCAAAGCATAATACATGCAAGCCAGCTATACAGTGATTGCAAGATGAATAACAAAGTGAATAACACATGCACCAGTATAGATTTTGGTTTCATCCACTCAAATTATTCATGGTCGACATGTTTCATATCATACACAGAAAATGAGAAACATTTATTTTCTAAGAACATGTACAACAGACCACATAAAGACAACATCTGCATGAGAATACTATTTAAATCTGAATAACATTTATAACAGTAGATATGATCTACATGGATGAAGTGAGTTTTTGTATGATTGTCTTTGACAAAAGGACCAGAATTCACTCTTTTAAAGAATGTCATTGGCTGACGAATGAATAAAATGTAAGGAATGCTTTTTTGGCAGTTAATATACAAAACATGCCCAGCCTCAGGTCAATACATTGATGTACATGTATGCCCAATGACAAAGGAATCATGTGCATTGGTAAAACTGACACGGACATCCACAAGTAGGTGCATAAGAAATATAAAGCAGTTAAAAACCTTAGCAGAATACATCTAAATGTTAATAGCCCAATGACAAACCAATAATATGCAGTGGACCGACACAGACATCCACCAGTTGGTCCGTAAGAACTGTAGAGCATCTTGCTGCAAAGATGAGTGTGAAACAAACCAGCATCAATCATGAGGAGAGAGAGCTGGGACCCGGCCAGACAGGTCAATGGATCAAACAGTCTTGATCTCTGCTTTGGGGTAGGTCTCAGCAGGGTATGCAGGGGGTTCGTAAGGAGGGGGTGCCCCCATCATGGAACCTGGATAAGGGACAGGAGCTGGTATGGGGGCAAGAGCAGCGGCGCTGGCATCACCAGGAGGGGGTGGTCCAGGGTACTGAGGAATAAAGTTTGCATTCTCCAAGTTATTGATGTCATCTAGTTTCTCTGGTGGGTTGTCAGCGTTCGGGAGCTGAGGGAAAGAGTGGAAAATAATACAGAGGGTCAAAACAATATTTGAAACAAGTATGACATGTACATTGCTCTGATTGGCAGTGGTATACATGTAGTACTAGCCCCTTCTGTGCCATGAAGTGCTTGATTAATTTTCGTAAATGAATTTTGAAGTATTACATTTTGACTCATATTACTCTTTTGGGGGTTAAAATTAGTATAAAATAAATAATCATAGGCGAACAAACTTTACAATGGGAGGACCTGCCTTCATTTCAACATGCAATACGCAGCCATTTTTAGTCTTGGCACATTGCAAACCTCTCAGATTCTTGGGCAGAATTTCACAGAAGGTGTTTAACAGAGTAGCTGACAAATATATGCATATTAGTGAATATGAGAAATCAATCAATGCTAGTTTAATATAATGTATCATGAAAAACAATCACTTCCCTGTACATGTACTAGGACGGACGAAAGGAAGGAGAAGGAAAGGAAAACTCAGGAAGAGGTGAATAGATAGTATCAAGAAAGATGGTAGAGGGCTACAGACAGAACGAGACAAAGAGCGGAAACAAGGAGACCCGATCCCCCATAGAGGAAACTAGCAGGATGATGATGACACTAGCTACACAATGTACCAGTTTCCACTTTTCAATTTATACAGTGAAATATGCATGCAGTTCATAAATATCATGAAAATATGTTCACAGGTATTTCTGCCTTGCCATCATAACCTCTTGCCAGAACAGACTTAATATATTATCAAAGCGTTCATGTTTATGTGTGCATGTCATGCGAGTGTGAGTCACCCTATCATCCTAATACATGTACATGTACCTGCAGACTCACAAGGGTGTCATGGTCCCACAATACCTTTGCATTTATTATCCATTGCCTGGAGCAGGCTATCTTGTTAGAAGTGCCTTATGGGCTTAAGGTTAGGACAGCATTTTGAAACAGTGTTCTGGCTCGTTCTCATTGATGCAGGAAACCATGTGATTTACAGTGTATATCATTTTTGTTTACATGCACATGAATGACAAGTGTGGATGAATTTGTCATTATTAGAAAACTTCATTCACATGTCACATGAATATTTTGTTTTACAATGAATAGGCATAAATAATTATTACAAATATGGAAAAAATCATTTGAAAGATAAAAAACAACAATATAAATATTTGTACAAGTATGTACATGTATATGCAAATTAGGTTAAATTTTTAGAAAAAGACAAATGGTAGTTCTTATAAAATCTTTTGTGTTGGATGAAAGAAAGTACATGTAGCTGCACACAACAAAGATCCTTCACTTACTCACGTATCTGTGGGTTATAAAAATACAAAATTGTAAAGGCTATCATGTTTGCATCATTATAAACATGAAATTATTTCATTTGACGTACGGGAGCGAAACATGGGCAATGAAATCATCCAGTGTACAGCAAATGGAGAAAGCTGAGATGAGGATGGTGAGGTGGATGCGCAGGGTATCACTTCACGAGAGATAGAAGAACAAAGTCCTCCTTCAATCAATGGGATTGATGGGGGTGGCACAGGTTATGTGGATAAATAGCCTTAGATGGTTTAGACATGTGGCAAGAAGAGAGGCAACACACTGGCTCCAGAGGGCTCTTTCCGGTCACCGGAAGAAGACCCCTCGGGAGACCAGGAAAACTTGGAGGGAAACCATTGAAGAAGATGCCAAAACATCAGGTATCAGTCATATGGATCCCACAGACAGGAAAGCTTGGAAAGCAGCCATTAAGGAAATGAAATGTCCAACCCCACAAAGTGGGACAAATGGACTTTAAACGCTGATGACGATGATGACGACGTGAACAAGTCTGAAGTACAAGTAATTCTAATGCCATGGTCACATGGTGATAGGGAAGATCCTTCTGTTATTGGATGACGATTGACTAACCAATAAACAAAACAAACTAATTAAACAAACAACAACAACAACAATACAACATAACACATTTTTATTAACATCTGGCATCTTGAAACATGTACTTCTTGTACGATGATGTAATGCAGGTAGCCTTTAGATTTAGAATTCAAGCATTCAGATTCTAATAAAAAGAAGCACAATTCTGTGGAATTAATTGTTGGATATAATCCTTAAGACTTACCCTGCCTCCTTGGGCCCTGTATATAGCCCTCATTCCATACCGTCCCTCTTTCAGCTCCTGGTAGAGTGATGTCACACACAGCACACAGTACAGCTGCAATAAAAGCAAATAATAATAATAATAATAATAATACTCAGTTTTTATATAGGGTTATTACAATCAATAAGCGCTCCCAAACTTAGAGATTATTACCCCAGCTTTAGCTGTCCTGCCATTAGGGCACTCTAGCATTTCAAAGAATTAATTCCTGCCAGGTGCCCACTTACATCACCTGGGTTGAGTGTGGCAAATGTAGATCAATGTCTTGCCAAAGGACATTAGTTCCACGGCGAGTCTCGAACCGCGGACCTTGTGTCGACAGTCCGGGGGCAACTTAACCACTCAACCACGGCACCTCTACACAAAGGCTTTAAGTGTACCTATCACCACAAAAAAAAAAGCTAGAATGTATCAACCTCAAAAGACTTCATCTGGCACTCTATGGGCTAATGGATAAGAAGTAGGAAAAAATTAAAGAATAATATAAAACTGCGCACATGGAACCAAACTTATTAATTCAGACGTATTCAAGGTGGCAAATTCTAATTACAGAAGTAATGTTAGAAGCCCATACTGTAGAACATAGAATAACGACATGGAACTCTGATTACATGTACATACAGAACAACTTATTTGTCGTGATTGGTACACTTAAAAAGAGAGTTATAGGCAGGTGGTATTAGAATTAAATAGAGTGGCAGATGAAAGTGCTGATGGAAAAGATTAAGACAATTCCATTGTCAAAATTGAAACTAAAAATCATCAAACTTCTGAAATCTTTCTGCAAAAGTCAGCATGCAGAAGTACACACTTCACATTCCTATAGATTCAAAAGTGTTTGGGTATTAATACCCTATAGTCTAAGCACAGTGTTGCCTTGTTCTAAAAGACTTTCACAATTGTATACTAACTACAATTTCTTTAAAGAAAGATGGCACTTTCTTTTGTTCAATAATTGGTTCTCTAAAGTTTTGCAAGAAAATATATGGGCATTGGATGTCAGATTGGGTGGTGAAGGTAGAAAATACATGTATAGAAACAAGTAAAGACTTTGTAAAGGATACCTGAGTCAGAGTGGAATCCAATGTAAACCTCACTTAATTCTTGTTCAGATATGACGAGGTGAACTGTAAACCGTGGCAAAAAAAGCTGGTGCTGTTTTTATGCATAACTGAATGGTAACTGACTATACAATAGAATTACGGTAGTATTTCACAGTAGTACGTATATGTATCCAGTTCTGATGTATGGATGTGAAGCTTAGACCCTGACATAATAAGAAAGTGACTGGAAAGTTGTGAAGTTTGGTTCCTGAGAAGGATGCCAAGAATTTCATGGACAGAAAGAGTATCTAATAATAAGGTATTTGCCATGGAAGGAACAAGACAAAGCTTCTGAATAATATAAGAGGTCGCCAGCTGAGCTTCTTGGGTCATGTTATTTGGAAGAATGGTCTGGAAAATCTTGCACTGACTGGAAGACTCGAGGGGAGGAGGAGTAGGGGTAGAAGGAGGATTCTGTGGATGAGTAGCTTAAAGAGTGGGATTTCTGAAAGTGGAATTGATGTCGGGGAGAAGAGATTACTTCATAGAATATGGGACAGAGAATTGTGGCATTCCATGGTTGCCAACATCTCAGGACATGGCACTTAAAGAAGAAGAAGAAGTACATGTATATATGATACTTACATTTAATCCTGTAAAGAGTGACACAATGAGAAGCTCCATTAATCCTGAATTTCCTTCCAATGAGGTTACAACCTGACAAAAACAACAACAACAAAATAATTACCTTTAACCTGAATCGATAAACAAATACTGTTTAGCAAAATGATGTCTTTAAAGGGCAATCCACCCATTAGGACAAGTTCATTTATAGCAACCGGAAAATAACAGAAATGGAAAGAGTAGAATTTGAAAGAAAGCAGATAAATAATAAGAAAGTTATGATTGAAATGAGAGCTAGATCATTCAATCTCTGACGATCCCAAATTGGCAATTTGGTCAGAAGATTGTGACGTCTACATGTACATGATCAACTCGCCATAACACCCTTTCCTTTGGGTCACTACTGAGAATATATCGTAGGTTCTCAACAACAACAACATTCCTTGTAAAACATTAATAACTAGATGGAATTCGACTGCGCGCAGTCGAAAATGATGCCTCCGTCATAGAGCAATTTTACAAACCGAAACGGAAGAAATTTTTCAAATTCAAGTGAGTGAAAATTCTCCAGTGGTTCTTGAGATATCGCGATAACGATCTCAATGTATGGAATTTCATAAGTTGACCTCTGTGACCCTTGACCTTTGACCTACGTGCTCCAAAATCTAATCAGATTGTCTTCCTATGGTGATACACACTATCATTAAGTTTGAAGTTTAAATCTCCAGTGGTTCTTGAGATATCATGATAACAATCTCAATGTATGGAATTTCATAAGTTGACCTCTGTGACCCTTGACCTTTGACCTACGTGCTCCAAAATCTAATCAGATTGTTTTCCTATAGTGTTCGATACACACTATCACTAAGTTTGAAGTTTAAATCTCCAGTGGTTCTTGAGATATCATGATAACAATCTCAATGTATGGAATTTCATAAGTTGACCTCTGTGACCCTTGACCTTTGACATACGTGCTCCAAAATCTAATCAGATCGTCTTCCTATGGTGATACATACTATCCTTAAGTTTGAAGTTTAAATCTCAAATGGTTCTTGAGATATCGCGCTAACAAACTCAATACAAGGAATTTCATAAGTTGACCTCTGTGACCTGTGACCTTTGACCTACGTACTCCAAAATCTAATCAGATCGTCTTCCTATGGTGATAAATACTATTCCCGAGTCTTAAGTTTAAATCTTAAATGGTTCTTGAGATATTGTGATAACGGTCAAACGGGACGGACGGACGGACGGACGTACGGACGGACGTACGGACGGACAACCCGAAAACATGATGCCTCCGGCACCACCTTCGGTGGCGGAGGCATAAAAATTGACATTTTAGTTCACTTTGTGTGTTGGAACAAATGGAAGACTTACATGTATCTACCACTACATCACAGTGACATTGCTGATTCAGCCAATTTGAAATCCCCATTTGTATAATAATAATAGTAATACTCAGTTTTTATATAGCGCTTATTACGATTACTAAGCGCTTCCAAACTTGGAGATTATTACCTCGGCTTTAGCTGTACTGCCATTAGGGCGCTCTAGCATTTCAAAGAATTAATTCCTGCCAGGTACCCATTTACATCACCTGGGTTGAGTGTGGCAAATGTAGATCAATGTCTTGCCAAAGAACATTAGCGCCGTGGCGGGTCTTGAACCGTGGACCTTGTGATCGACAGTCCGCCGACTTAACCACTTAACCACGGCACCGAGTATAATACTTGGTGGGACCCCAAACCATGGCCTCCGTTGCTATTCGTCCGTGCAAACTATTAATCCATGGTATTATTAAAGCAGATTAATTATTAAACCTGTGAGGTAACACTATCCCTGAAATTGGTGTTAGAATTTTTAGAAATTAGCCCAAAGATCAGCATTTCAATGTCTAAAATTTGAATTGGAAAAACCAACATGGAGAAAAAAAAAGAGTGAAAGTCAGTTTTATGATAAAATATTTTCACCCGCTCTTGCAGATTTTCGTTTTGTTTTAGAATGATGCTATAAAAATGCTTTTGACATTGAGTTTGCAAATCATGAAATTATGTACATGCAGCTCGTTTTCTGTATAATAATTTTCTATAATAAGGTTATAAACTATTTTCAAACAAAGTAGGATTTTTCTTGCTTCAATTTATTTTTTCTCCTCACTTTTATTATGTTTGTCCTACAAAGTGACATATTTAATAAGTCAAACTGGCAGAATGTTTTGAATTCTATCAACTGAGTAGGCTGACTGCATGGACAAGAGCCAAGGATACTGCCAATAAACTGTCATACTGTCTCGTTCAATGATGTGATTATCAATTAATTCAGACAGGCCTTAAAACCTTTCTGGCTTGCTTTAAGAATTTGATATTAACAATTTCCCTGCTCCATCTCCCTGTTAACCTTCAACAGATAGAACACAGAAATGGAATTTAGACTTCAGCTTTTATTTCCTTTTGGGGGTATAATCGACTTAGTTTTTATACTTTTTATTTGGTAGGCCTGTGTAGGAGGGTCATCCCTGTGAACATTGAGAACTGGTTGCTATTGAAACGACAGGGGAAACCTCAGTCTAGGGGTAATATGTACATGTACATGTACAGTATCTGGACATCCTTATCATGATGTGCTTTTCTCCTCCCTGGCTAAGGTGACAATGAATCACATGTCATAACATATCATAACAACATTAATCAGGAACATTAGTACAGGCTGCATAGAGTAAGATGTTTACGTACCACCACCACCAGTAGTAGGATGATAACACACATCAGGATGACCAGCACAGTCATACAGACAATGTACGGCAGGAGTAGGAATCGCTTGTTCTGTCATAGAAAGAGAAAAAGAACTTATCTAAGTAATTCAGTCATACTGTTCAATAAGAAAGTGTCTTTTCATAAATATGATTTGCTTGACAAATATATTATACAGCCCAAGACAAAAGAAAATTACACAGGTACAAGTGTACAAACAAAATAGTACAGATATTAAAAAAGATATGTTTTCAGAGGTTTCTTAATTGCTGGCAACTTTGCGACTTCTTATCCGTAAGTACATAAATTTAGGAAAGGTAGTGACACAAATCATTATTACTATGAGGTTTATTAATATAGCCTTCATAGCCTTTTGGCTTTCTGGAATTACTTGCATGGTTGATATCAAAATTAAAGCTGGTACATGTAGTAAAACTAACGCCCTGCCACATATTAAATAGTCAACATAATATATGAAAGTTAAAAACAGCAAGCCTCTGTAAATCAGAGAGTATGACTTCATCTATTCCTGTGACCATATATTTATAAGGAAGTGCAGATAGGATCAGGTACATTCCGGACCGGTACTTGCTTTGAGTTGTGAATGCACAGTACTGAATCATATTTAATTCACATGAATTTAATATAATTTATTATATGTGTGAGATGTCAAAGTCATTTCAACATACATGAAATTGCACAGAAAATGAAGCTTTTCTTATAAGTTTCAAACGAAAGGGGAGGGGGGGGGGGGAATGCTGAACTTAACAATATAAATTTGATTCATGTTTCACAATTATAGCAACTCATTCTTTGAGTATTTTACTTACAAACATTGTAGGCCTACACTGTACATGTACATAGGCTTTTGCCTACATGTACATATTGACTGTATTTTTGTATGCCACATATAAATGTTCTACTACATGTCCTCTATTGAAACTACTTCTAGAAAAAACAAATTCTAGATTATTCTACCGACTGCTAGAATTGTGATGCTTATCTAAAATTTGGTTGAGTTTGTTTAGGATGAAAACCATAAAATGCGTCATCCATGACGAAAGCGGCCTCAGCCAAAAGTGAGTCACATTTCCTTAATCTCGTAGCACTCCCGGCCATAATGCCAATCATCTTTAGCACACACTTTAACCTTTATAGCATAAGAAATCTTCAGTGACTCTGCAGAGTCTGCATATACAGTTAACAAATAATACCCCTTGTAAATTTGATTTTTGTTTTTGTTTTTGTTTTTCGTGACTCAAAACTGAAAGTTGGACTGGCTGAACTATATCCTTTATTGAATACTATTAGATCTAAGTTTAATATACAACTGTATCACACTGACAAACATAAATCATGACAAATCAATTTTGCACATACTGAAAAAAAAAAAAAAAACTTGGTAGGGGTATGAATAATTTATTTGTTAACTGTATGATGTCATACTAGTCTCCAGGCTGACCACTACTAGTCTGCAGGCACAGACCCTAATCTGACACTTAATCAAAAAATCATTGTGCCTTGAGAGAAGTCTAGCCCAGCTACCTACTGGTTGTGTCAATAGCTACAGTACATGGCCTATGGTAGTCTTATAGTGCAGACTCACTTTTACGACTGACCAGGGTTTGTACTTGCAGACTAGACCACTACAGGGGTGTGTATGTCTGCTAGAGGCTGTCAGGTTTACATCAACAATAGGCAACTACATGTACAGTAGTGCTTCATGTGACATCTGTTCTAACTGTTTCACACACAACAGTGTATAATATGATGCAATAAGCAAAAATATGCAATGTGGCAATTTTGAAAAAGATATTTTTTTTTTCCTCTCAAAAAACTTTCTTTTGTAAGTCAGCCCATAACAGGTATTTATATATATTTAAACTAGAAATTCATTTGATATGGCTTGCACACGGCCACACGCACTAGAGTATCAAAACTTGTATAAAGACAGGGTACATGTCTGTAGCTGCACGTACACTCAGTATTAATGTACTAACAATTAAGATACTTTCATCACTTTAGTGTTTTCATGTCTGTTCATATCCTGTTTATGATCGTTTCCCAGAACTCAGATTAAATATGAGACATCCATAAAAAAAAAAGGGCAAAGTACATGTAGGTTCTGCTAGTATGAAACATGAAAACCTCATATTCTTTTTAACCTTGTATGTCTTCATCATCTGTGGCAACATTGGCATACATGCCAACATTTGAAAATCAGAAATCTGTACAAATTATGCTATTTTCAAAAAAAAGAGGAACAATCCTAACTCTCCTATTCAATACTACAGACAAATTTGTACAGGAAGAGGAACACCTGCATTAAAATGATAATTATCTTCTCCCAAAAAGAGGAATGTTCCTCTTTAATCTGAACAGTTGGCATGTATGCATTGGTTTCTAAACTTGTATATTCCTCATATATGTATACTGTACATGTATGCTAAACACATAAACCTGTAGGGATTTTAAAAAAGGAATGATACAGGTTTAATACTATTGTATTTCAAGAAAAAAGGACCTTCAGGTAACTAACTAGCTTATTCTAGCTATTCTGAGTGATTTAAAACAAAATGCCTACATGTACATGTACATGGACACATATTGTACAGGATTCTGTACAGGATTTTAGCAGTATTTTCCAGAATCCAAGATCAATTCTGTCTGCATTATCATAATTTTCAGATTTTCTTTCCATTAACAAAGTTGAGCAAACAGAATGTACTCTAATCAATAATATTTCTTTCATCTGAGCTCTTACATTTTTTTTGTTAAATGATAAGATTTCTAGTTGCTCCTAAACAATTTGTCTGACAAAACTGATTGTTGAATTTATACATTACATTCTTCTATTACATTTCTTAAAACATTGTTAGCATTACGTGGACAATTTTTAGATACCAGTACTTACATTCTTGACTCCATATAGTAAAATAATGGATAAGAGGAAGAGAAGTGAGAAAAATCCTAGATCAACACATGTCGCAATGAACAGGGCACTCTCTTCTTTTGGCATTCCATCTGGAACTGAAATGAAAACACAAAGAAACAAAAATGAATGACAATGTCAATGAAACTACTAACCATAAATTAAATTTACAACAACAAAAAACACCCTTTAGAACACACATATCAAAAATCAAATATAGTCTGAAAAAGTATGAATTCTTAGTCTCAATATGAATACACTTTTATACACTATAGAAAGGCTAGGATATGCACATAACTAATTTGAAGAATAATATCTATATTTCTAATTTTCTACTGAATTTCATTACTTCATATTCATTCCATCTGTTGGAAAATTGGTAATGAGCTTGGTTTCCAAAAGACCATATGGTACAACAATAACAATTCCTGGCGAAACGAGCACACATCAACAAATACACAGCGTCCCTCAGAACAGGAATCAGACTGCCTGAAGATGCCAGTAGGAACAGGTGAAAAATATTGTGAAGTAAATTCAACATTACAGCTGTACTTCCTCAAATCTTCATGAAGGTAGAATTAACCGTTAAATACTGTTTAAAATAGTTAGCCTTTACTGAACAATATTGACCATCAAAAAAAAAAAGACAAACAAACAAGCAATCATCCTGTTATTAATGAAGGATTATTAACAGGATTGCTTCAGTCTGCCATGAAATTTGACACAATGATATTTTACTTACAATGATGTGTTTCATAGATGTGAATCTTAAAGGATGACAATCCAAGGGCCAAAGCACTTTGAAGCTGGATAAATAATAATCGAGAAGAAATTAATCAGCAATTTGTTAATGTATGAATCCAGAAGAAATGTTCGACTTAATATCAGTAAACTTGACAATAGAGCAACAAATTTATTTTGTTTATCCATTCTTTAGCACTACTCTAGCTTCAATTATACATGTAGATTAGAATTATACTTTTAATTTTATTCTTCTTCTCATTTGTATTCATTTAATATGCAGAAAAAAAACGTGTGAATGTAAGAAATGATGGATTCAATATGAAATTCCTTGAATTTTTTGAAACCCAAAATGTGTCTGCATGAACATAGGCCTACATGTACATGTAGTTCACTATTTTTTAATCAGATAATACATGTATAATCCTAATCAAACATAAAACCCACTACCAGTATTGTAGTTGCATGCCGAGGGGGATTCTCATGTTTACCTACACTGTATGTGCCATGGCCATGAATGTTGTAATGTAAACTTGAGCCTTGACTTTGAGGAGGGGGGGGGGGGGGTGGAGGGCACCAGGCTACACTCAGTAATTCTTTCAAAGGTTAAACATTATAGGCCATGTATTAAAATTCAGACGTTACGAAAATTGAGGAGTTTGATAACCGTATGTTTGATATATACACTGTAGATCTACATGTACATGTATACCACTTTACTTTGTGGTTTTGAGATGAGAAAACCAGGAACAAGAAATGTCTGTACCTTAATTATTGCAAGAACTTTTATAATTGTTGATGGTCCTGCATATCTAAAAAGGTACGTAGGTCAACCAAAATTATGGGTCATAAAGTAAAGGTGCTCAAAGTTACCTATGATGTATGACATCTCACTGCATCAAAATGTATCATTGATAAAAGATGTTAAAATGTTTTAAAACTCCTCTATACAGACAGATTGTCGTTTTATTACAAGTACCTTATAAATTAAAATTCACAGTGAAATTCACATCAATCAGACACAACATCAATCAAAATTTTAAGTTTTAATAAGGACCCTGTAATATAGTAATACTAATAGCCAAATGAAATTCACATGGGCATCACATCAATAATCAACAACCTGAAAAATTAAGTGTATTTTTTACCAAAATTCATCCATCATAATGAAGTTTCTCAACAGTTGAACTTCAGAATAAACTATGTAGACTAGTAAACTACATCTAGGTAAATAAAGGAAAGTAGCCTATCACACTATTAAAGTACTAAGATGACATTTTCACCTTTGAAAACACAGTGTCCAGCTTATCCCCCCCCCCCCCCCCTCCTCAAGTTTATAACAACATTCATGGCCATGGCACACATGGGTTAATATGAGAATCTTACCAAAGAATAAATAGCTGCAGCAATAGAGCCATTGCGAATAGTGCTACAGCAACAACATCGTGCAAGTATAGCCATTTCAGTCACAGCTCACAACCCTTGAGAGGGGTGACAGGATCAGGTTATGCCAAAGTTAGCAGGCGATTATGAACAGACACAGGACAGGTAGACAGCAATCACAAAGGGGGTCCAGCGGCTCCAGCCTAAGTTCAAGTTCAGGAAGAGATTGCGCAAGTCTAGAACAGTAAGAAGTAGAAGTAGAAGAGACACTCAGCCGACTTTCCTCTCGTGAACGTATCTATCTGCTTTCGGTTGCAGTGCAGTGAAGACAAATTAAATCCAAAATGAATTCCAATGGGCGTGAAGATCTTTTAAATTAATTTATTATGAAATACTTCTCGTAAGGTTTACGATCGCGTATCACCTTTACCATAATATGCTGCTACTTACGTTTAACGTGTAAATTTGTTTACGTTATACTGTTAAATTTAGTCAAAAGAGGGCGCCCTACCATAACATAGTCACGGAGGCTCAACCTCTCTTCTCTGAATAGTTCTAAGGGAAGCAGAAAAAGTGAGAGGAACATGCCAACATGTGATCTGTAAAAGAAAGCGAAATCCGATAAAAAAAATATAAACAAATGAAGATGATATCAATCCAGTGGCGGATCCAGGAGGGGCCCGGGCCTCCTAACCTGGAGAAAAAAACGTGTAAAAACATGTTAATTTTACCTTTTTGGGGGAGATGGGCCCCCACCCTTGGCGCTCAAGGCGGCAAGGGGGGGGGGGGGGGGGGATGCGATTTTTCAAATTTTCGAGGGCCAAAAAAAAAATTAGTGCTCACTACCCCCACCCCCACATCTTAAAGAATAAATTTGCAATGAATGTATGATTGCAAATTTTATCATTTAAAGGCCCACTGCACTACTTGTAGCTACTTGCGCCCTCTATATTACAAACCATGCCTAATCGGTGACCATTGGTCCCCCATGATCCTCTTTTTCTTATGTTAACTGAGAGCTGAGTTGATGAGATAACCACCTGTCCAGTGACCTTGCAGGGCAGTCTAATCCCTCATGTAAACTATGGCAGATACGCTTTAAGGAAAATAGATTTGTTTTTATTTTGTTTTTTACTACAAAGCGAATGGGAGGGGAGCTCGCAAGATAAGGCACAGAGTTGCTCATTTGTATTTGATTGATCGCAACTTTAAGGGGCACGTTCCCCCCAGTGTAGTTATCGGAACATGCCATCTGCGTAAGAGCCGTATTCTATTGGAGTCAATAGGCAGCTATAGCGCCGTCCGCCCGCGCGTACGTATTTTGAGCACCTTTTTGAATACGGGGAACATGCCCTTTAAAAATTATTTTTTTATTAAAAAAATTATTGATAATTTTGCTCATTTTTTTTCTTCTCATTTTTCTGCTTTTAGTATAACCAACTGAATATTTGGATGGACTTGCACAATTTTTCTTTCCTCTTTTTTAACATCAACAATGGCTTGATCTCCTCCTCCTTCTCCCCCCCCCCCCCATCCTCCTTCTCTCCCCCATCCTCCTCCTCCTCCTTTTCCTCCCTTAATCCCTTAATCACGACCATTAGGAGAAGCAGAAACAGCATATACATTCATAGTCACCATCAGGCGCGTACGCAGGAAGGGGGGGGGGGGGTTGGGGGGTTAAACCCCCCCCTTGAGTTTTTTTTATTTATATGTTTTGTGTATGGTTTTTTGTGAGAACCCCCCCCCCCTTTTTGATTTTTTTTTTTTTTTTTATAAAAAAAAAAATTATACAAATGGCTGACCTAAAAGAAGGTGACCTTACCCCCCCCCCAACAGAACAAAATGTCAAATTTTCAAATTTCGAGAAAAAAAGTGTCCTCTTACCCCTCCCCCCCCCCCCCCCCCCCCACTGAGCGACTTTATGGCCGGCGCGATTTTCAAATTTTTCGGGCCCGATTTTAAACCCCCTCCCCCCTTGAAAAAATCCTGCGTACGCCACTGGTCACCATGATCATCTTCATAAGGTCTAAGGAGAAGGATATCATCATCATCATTACCATCATCATCATCATCTTCACCATCATCATCACCATTATCATCATCATCATCATCATCCCCATCATCATCACCATTATCATCATCATCATCATCATCATCACCATCATCATCACCATCATCTGCATCAATATCGATATCACCTATCATGGCTTCACAATCATCATCATCAATCATCACCATTATCATCATCATCACAATCATCATCATCATCATCATCACCATCATCATCATCATCATCATCACCATCATCATCATCATCATCATCATCATCACCATCATCATCATCATCATCATAATCATCACCATTATCATCATCATCACAATCATCATCATCATCATCACCATCATCATCATCATCATCATCATCACCATCATCATCATCATCATCATCACCACCATCATCATCACCATCATCTGCATCAATATCGATATCACCTATCATGGCTTCATCATCATCATCATCAATCATCACAGCCTATCATTTATCTCACAATGACATTTGTCATTATTCAGGACTATGCGTATACTATAAAAACCCGATTTGGATCGTTTGTCTTGTTTTTATTCACAGTTCACAAAATAAAATAGTTTTATTAGAATATTTACATATTCACAATGAATAGGTTTCTAGGGTATTTACACAGCTGTTTTTAAATCTACATATTCACAATCCTTCGAAATAAAATCCCGAGTAGATTGATATAGGCCTAGTATAATAATTTGTTGTAATAATATAAGCTCTTATATGACATCATATTTACATAACAATACTTTCATATAATGCGGCAGCACAAATCAGCAGTTGAGATGGAATTCGTAATATCAATAATAAGGCAGTATCCAAACAACTTTTAATGTACATCATCTAAATACATTTATGATACAGCACTGAACAATGGTAGATGCGCAAATACAAAGCAAATGGCAGTTTTACAGAAAGGTAGATGTAGAGATAATGATTTTCATTTGTAATGTTTCTACTTAGTACGTAATCATGATCATACCGAAGAAGTGTAGGGCCCCGCAATTTACAACGAGGAAGTTATCATTGCGTTTAAAAATACCCAATGTATGTACTCAAAAACCTCCTATGCTCACAACAGGTATTACATACATATTGTATATATATTTATTTAAACAAAACCCTCATGATTTTACAATCAGTCAGACTCACGAAGTAATCTCCAAAAGGCAGTTAAATCTGAACAATAATGTTATAGGGTACAGGATGGTCATCCTGGTTAGACATCCTGAAAGCGAAAATATCTACGTTTGAGGCACCCATCTATAATGTGAATGGCTGGAATGATTTCGATCCTATGCACATCCAGTTTTTTCATTCCAAAGATCAACCCGAAACATGATATACTATCATCTACAAGAGTATAATTCCATAATTTAAGTGACGTGGAAGCGCTGTGAATGTGATGGTTATATACACCGTCCTCAAAACTACCAGTTTTATACACACCTCTGCCAAACACTGATCATAATATAATCTTCAATACTAATACACTACACTAAATATGATAATTTTATATCTAAAATGTTTGGTAGGCATAAAGTAATTACTACAACGTAACACTTACAACACGAGATAAAAAGAGAACGAAAATATCATTTTATATGATATTCTTGGAAAATACGAACCAGCATATTTCCAAAGTAGACATATTGCATTGATTTCACAACCATCTGTTCATATACTGATACATACACAAAATATATATCAAAACAAATTGTGATCACAAAATGGTCGGAAGAAAAAGAGATTATCACGAGAGAAAACAAATTATTTCATTTTTCAGGGCAAGTATATAGATTTCCATTACTATAATGGGCAAAATTTTCCCCGAAATCGGTATGCACATGCAGGTTTATCATCTTTGTCGTCATCATCGTCACAATCATCGTCATCATCATTGTTGTAGCCATCGTCTTTGCCATCGTTGCTATTTCAGTCATCATTAATTTCACAACTTCGCTGAATTATAAAGATGAATATAAAATTACGTATTACGTAATTTTGCTCGAGTGGACTTCAAACAGTGGTGTGTATCTTCAGGATCTGTGGAGTTGATAACAATGAAGAAGGAAACATCTGGTCAATTATCTGGACGATAATAATCTAGAGCCCGTGTCTCATAAGAGGCGTAAGAGGATCCTGGCGGTGAGGAAGACATTTAGCTGTCTCCCTTTTTTCATAAAATTTAGTGCTATCAATATAATTTATATGCTTCCTATAAAGATTGTGAACTTTCACGAATTTCAAACTGTTCAAGCCCATGTTTTGCCAATCTGTAATCTCCCAATCGTATTTTCTAGAGATAGTAATACAGTTATAAGGTAAATATGAGTGGGCATTCTTTTCTCAGGCACGAAGGAAATATGATTTCGGATCTAAGAGTAATACTTATTAAATTTATTGTAATTCACTTTTCATTCAGTTTTCTGCCCGGGGTGGGGGGGGGGGGGTACTCACATATCAAGTAATACGGGGTGTGCCGCTCTAATGGGTCCTTTTTTCACACAAAAAAAAATCCCTAAACATGGGTCTCATTTTCGGGCGTTTCTATATTCAAGCACCCGAAAATTGTGAAAAATGGGCTTTATTTCGAGAAAAATCCACCAAATGACCCTTAAAATTGGGAAAAGGTTTCGAGGCTTGAGCGGCACACTCCCGTCCAAACCAAATCTGAGTACCCTATCCCTCTGGACCCTAAGGAAGAACAATTTTGTGATATTAACAAAGCAAAAAAGTGGGCAACATTATTCACTTTATTCCCTATTTTATCTGTTTTTCTTTGTATTTTTTTCGTATCGTGATTTGGAAATTAAACACCATACAATACCGTACCATAAGATACAATGATTGCATGTAAACATGTCGCTACATGATGCCTTGAAAGTGTTGTGGTTATATTTTTAGAGGGGAAAAAAAGATGAATTAATATTTTATAGGAATATAAAACTGAAGTGAGAGGCATGTATGTAGCTGAAAGATAAAAGGTGGCAAAGGAAATTCATACCGTGATATGTTGAGATTCCCTCCTGAGTCTGTTAAAGTTTGCAATCTTGATTTCATCCAGGCTGTCGATGTCCGAATCGGTATCTTCGGGTTCAGAAGACAGCTGCTGAAACCTTGCAATCACGCAGAAGAAACTTGCGATCTGATAACGGATAAAATGTGAAATATAATCATTAAGCCCATTTCTGAAATACATATCCTCTGCATATATTATTATGCAAGTTCAGATACTAAAAAAGTGATTTTATATGATTTATTTATTTAAATCACATCATTATACAGAGTAGCCTGTTCAGCTGGCAAACAATTACACACAAATGATTTTCATCTAAGACATTGAAAACAATAACAGGAAATGTACGAAACACGCATCAGAAAATAGTCTTCCACATTGCTCTCTTTACAAAAAGTTTGATAGTCGAATGATAAGTATGAATAACCCTCATTGGGTGATTAATCTAAATTGAAGAGTGTTTACAAGCTTTACATGCTTTATAGTTGGCATAGGATACATCTATATAATATATGGAAACTTAATTTGGAAAAGCTATCATAATTTAGAAGAAAGAAAATCCAGTTTCTATGCCCGATTTATTTGGCAGATTTCTAAATAACTTCTCATTAGTTATTAGAGTCAAACAAACAGACAAACATTATACAAAATTACGTTAATACCACTTCTTTCGTTTTCCATAATTATGTTTAATTCATCGTTATGAGCCGTTAATAACAGGGACTGCCTCGACAGAACCTTATGGTTTTATTTGCAGTTTCCTCAATTCATTTCTATTGATTAACTTTGTATAATTCGGTATATTTTGTAGACATATTTCCATTTTGTGTGTGTTCTCTGTTTTCTATATTGTACTTAATCTGTACTGTATACTTTTATAAAAATGTGTTTTTTATGGATTTGAATTGAAATTTCAAAAACGAGAAACTTGAACTTGAAACTTGAAAGGAATGCCTGCATAATTATTGGGAGGAAACACTAATCAGAAGCCATAATCTGATAATTGGATGGATTTCGGACACTAACTTTGTGTATTGATTTACAGGAATGATACGCTCAGAACAATGCTCATAATACCATGTACATTACTGAATATAGGAGAATTATTAGTGTAGTTAAGGACGCTGCAGCGTAGCAATGTAACATAGAATATAAAATTTAGTTTTGTATAAAGGATTTATCTATGGCTGAAATTGAATTGAACACCAAAGTTAACTTACGTTTAGAAAGCCGAGCGGTACATTGAAAAGTACGTGAACCAAAACAGTTAGATTCGCAAAGTTGGTCTGAAAAGAAGAGAGAATATGGGGAGGGGGATAATTACAACAATATATCAGACATTTTTCTCCTGCATAATCCGAAGGAAAAGTTTCAAAGCGTTATCAACAAAATCTGGTTAACTATTAACTCGAAGGAAACAGTATGCGGTTAGACGGTCTGAATGAACCTTATCTTGTTGTTTCATTTTGTAACAAACATGAAAGTCATTCAGACATTTGATTGATCATCGTCCATACAAAATCAATAACTTTGTGAGAGATAAAACTCTTAAACAATATTCTTTCATACGAATAAAATTCCTTGATTTGTAAAGTATTCAAAAATTCACCTTTACGAAATGCCAGAGTAAGAAGCCTGTGAAGGGCACTTGAAGGACAATCGTGATGAGAATGACGATGAGGAATGGTATCAAACAAAAACGATTACCCTGTAAATTAAAGAATGATACAAAGGAAATCTCATTAGTTAAACTTAATAAAGCAAAGTCGATGAACTGCCACATACGATGGATGAATAACATTATCACGTTGTTCAATTTCTATTATTAAAAACATGTTTAATGCCTTTAGAAATCTTTAATAACAGTACCATTCGTGTTGTGCTCTTACAGAAACCTTTCGTTTATGGACAACCAGAGGATAAACCGAGAGAAATTCGAAGTAGAGAAAATTAATGGAATAAAAAAAAAGCGAAGGATGCACAATAATAGCTTTAATAGACGAAAGGGGAAAGAATGAAGTTGTAAATGCCCGAAAAGATAGTAACTAAAGAGTGAGTAAAGAAACATAACAATATAAATTCAAATATACGACAGTAATCGCAAAATTCTAATAGCTTATGCAATGATATGCCTATCTTTAAAAAAAGAAAAGGAAAGAATTGAAGGTTATACCTTGACGGTTCCGATAAGGAGAACCATAGCGGAGGCGACCAGGCAGATAGTCAGGATGACAGCCACCAGGTAAGACACGTATATAGCTCCAAGATGCAATTCATGATCACCTTCCACATCTGAACAAATAGAAGAAGATAACCTGAAGTATATCTTCCAAATAATCAACGAATACGTTATTGTTGTGTGTGTGTGTTTTTTTTTTGTTTTTTTTGGGGGGGGGGATGGAGAGGGGGGGGGGGGGGTTGTAATCTCGTTTGATATTATGTAACCCATTGCAGTTCATATTGTACAGGTTTACCTAAATTAGATTTTCTCCTCAAATTGGGAGCAGTTATTTTTATCTTTCATTTTTTACATAAGGCTATTTCAAGACAAATACAAATGTACAGGTATAATTATAAAGGAATAATTTCATGCGTCCTTTCCAATGATTTTGAAGAATAATGTTGAGTAAAATGTCTTCAGATTTCTGTCTCGTAAAATGCCGAAACGACACAGTCTATTGTTTTACTCCCGTTACAAGGGATCATTACGAGATACTAAACTTTAAAAAAAAATCTTTCATTATTTGAAGACCTTGACTTACCTTGGAATAATGTTTGTAATGGCTGAATCCTGTATGTAACCCATCCAAATGCGATGATAGATGTCAACTACAAAGAAAGAAAATAAAGAAGGGAAACAGTTAGTACAATTATAGACTATTCATTTATTTAAGCGAAATATTTTTTTTTAAATGATCTCAGAACAAAAGCATTATAATGGACAGAAGTAAATGGTTGTTGGCAAACAATATACCAATTATTACTATGTGCAGTGGACAATAAGGAAAAAACTATAAATTGACAAAGGCCAAATAGGTAAAAACATCAACCTATATATTCATATAATACTTGGCTCATTAATAATCAATGACTCGGAAATTCTGGTCGCTAGAACGTATTATTTAGTTTATTGAGTAAGAATACATTAAAATCATTACATTGAATTTGTTACGTACAAAAGAGCAGTCATCAAAAATTAGACGCGATTGCGTGCTAACATAAATAACTCAGTGTGGCTATTTGAACCACATACATTAATTTGTCTCGCTCTATAGTCCACTGATATTAATACAGAGCTTATTCATTTTCATGTGGTCTCATATTTCACATAAATCTGAACATCGGATTAAGAGCTTACTGGCGTGGGCTATGAGAGAAATTTATACCCATCCCTATCTCATAGCCTTGGATATGGCAAGCTATATCACGTTTTATCTGCCACAGATCTCGGGTTTAACGGACCCATTAAATGCAACCGGTATCCGGTATCCGGAAACCATCACAATCCTCGCACCGGGACAACAGGCAGTTTGACAGCGGGCAGAGGGTATTATGGGAGTTTAGAATGGTTTAGGATGTTAGGACCGTTTACATAACTATATATTTGAAATTATTTGAGAGAATGTAATCATTATTGTGCGTTTTCAGGTAATCTTCTCGGTCTACAAAGTGACAATTTATTATACAATGATAAAAAATATCTATGTCCCAATCTCATGTTGAGGCATATACATCCTGTCCCATTTACATTAAACAAATATTTCATTTGATAAGATGGAATTAGCTTAGTGAAGTTACCTGTCCAAACAAATTAATCGATGACAAACAATCAGCTTTCTAATTCAGAGAATGAGCACTGAAATACAAACGACAACTTCCGTCAACATTTTTTTTTTTTTTTTTTTTTTAAAGGGGGGGGGGCACTCATCCCTAAGCAGACCCCGGGCCCCATCGTTTCGCACTCTATACCAGGCTCACACCAGTGTCCGCCTGTCCGCCATGAACGGAAGTATGATAATATCCAAAGAGTCTTCACCTAGGTTTCGAAACAATCCACCCATGTCTAAATCATCACGCAACAATAGAACAATATGAATCATTGCTGCTTTCAGCAAAACATCATGAGACTTGGGTATTTTTAGACACCCTCCGGGTCGCAAAGAAAATAATAAAATGGAATGAGACTGTTTGGATCACTAGTGATGACTTTAACATGATCATGACATTTAAACACGACCTACATCTAGACAGGTTATTGTTTGTTGATGTCTATTGAATACTTTCCATTTCTTGTTTTTATTTGACGTTTGTGTTCCCAACCAACATTCGATTTCACTTTCAATGGCGTAGCCAACTTGGGATTGGGACGGTGCATGCCCCTTCCCTGTTTGGGGGCTTGGAAAATGGATCAATTTGCAGTGGATCTATGGCACAAGAGGCTGCTCAGATACTTCCCCGTTTCCGATCAGGGGAACGTGCCCCATCTTTCTTTTGTTTTCTCTTTTTATGGATACGCCAATGATTTTGTCCTGTTAAGTGAACGTATTTCTATCAATACTTTCTTTATCCCAAGATCAAACAATGTATTACACCTAACGAAATCGTCGTATATTATAAATACATGTTGAATAATTTTTAAAATCCTACACTCACGTTTGTTTGAGGTGAAAATTAAAACATTTTAGAAATGAATGGATGTACCAGTCCACATAAATCATATACACGGCATATGCAGCATTGAAGGATCATCTATACTATAAACCATGTAGGCCACATCATTTTTTTTTAAAGTTAACGTTCAAAAGACAATAACTTAATTGTTACAAATTGAAAGTCCATCTTGTGAGAAGATTATTTCTACATAGACAACTTTGTTTACTTTCATTGGAACATCACTTGATATGAATCGATTCTGAATACTGATAAATGAAGATTATGATTAAAAGAAAATCACATACCAAGAGCACCGATCCATTTTCAGGATGGGGTGGGAGTGTTGAATCATAAAAAAATGCGATCTATTGATGCCTCTATTATCGTCATTCTTGGAGTGAAATTAAAGGCACTGAATAAAACAATTTAAAAGTGTTGATCTATCTTCAGAATGTGGTGGGGAGGCGGAGCAAAAACATTACTTAGAATGTAATGACACCATTGCATCGTTTCTGAAATTGTGTGGGCAGCTATCGACGCCCATATGTCACTTTATATTCAAACAAGATTCTTAAACTTCTTGACATATAAAATGAGATTAATACTAATCGTGTTTATGTTCTCAAAAACTAGTTTCTCAAAACACTTACCATAGAGTAAATAGCCGATGCGACAGTTCCCTTCTCAATCGTCTCGAAGCAACAACAACTCTTCATGATTATCGCCATCTTGAAATTGTTTAAATTTTTCAAAAATCGTCTTCAAACAAATTAAAATGCGAAGATATGAAGATGTAACGAAACGGAACAGAGTCACTCTTCAAGTGTCTTCAAAAAGGAAGAAATGATTGGCAAACAGTTTTGTGAATACAGTGTTCTTCTGCCAGCTCGGACGAGCTTCAGCCAAATAATACGAATTACTCCTCTCTACAATGCCAGCACAATGCATGTAACTGACTCTACAAGTGTTAATGTAGCATTGATCTACCATTTGAATACAAGCGATATACATTTGGCACCAGTAAAATCCTTGATCCTATGAATTGATTTGGTCGTATTTCAGTTATGAACTTTGGTGAAAGCTCTCATGGTATATATACATGACACATGGGTTGATTTCTGAGGTCTGTGTTGTTAAGCGGAAAGACGTACTTACAGCTGATTGGTGATATCACTTCATACTGTTTGTGACGTAGAGGGGTTATCTTTCGATTATGAAGGATTGTTTTTTCTTTTGCAAAAGCATTGGCGGTGTTTGTGGTACGTAAACTGGTCAAATACCTGTTATGACTATCATGAAGGTAACACTCTCTAGATATTGTGTTTCTAACGCTGTCAAGTTTCCTACACTTTGATATCAGAAGCTGATCAAAGTATAGGAAACTTTGACGTCTTCAAATTTGAAATATTACCATAGATAGATGCGCACCCTTCAAGATATATCCAAAGTTCATCCCGGGTATCTCAAACGGTCAAATCAGTCGATGTTACAACATACCATTGTCTTTTGTCTGTATTAAAAGCTGTATGGTTAAAGGAATATTATGGTTAATTAGAGAAATCCCCGAGAAATCCACACTGGTTTTTCAACAATTAGGTTTGGATGCATTACGAGCTGTTAGGGGAGGGATAAAGGGGGTAGCAAAGTAAACAAAAAATAGGGCTACAACACATTGTCTGCTTCAATTTCGATACAATCAAATTCCGATTTTGTTCTCTTGAACATCGGGAAACACTTCAAATGTTGCATCATAAGGATAAGGACTGTATCATGTCATCAGTATCTGTGATTACATTTCAATCACTTTTACCACGTTTGTAAGTTCGGGGGTGTATACTGTATAAGGCTATACTCATCTACTCATAAACAGGTCATCAAGCAGTGACGGCAAATAAATAAGTAAACAAAATATAAATACCTGTCAGCCTCTCCTCCTCCTCCTCTTCCTGTTTCTCCTCCTCCTCCTCCTCCTCCTCCTCCTCAATCTTACTATCATCATCATCATCATCTTCCTCCTTATCATCATCATCCGCTGTCACCATCGTCATCGTTTTGTTTTCGTAAAAGACAAATGGATTCTTAGGAAATCACGAAAAGACAAACTACATTTTTTTCTTCTGAAGATGAATATGTTAAGCTGTTGGTTTATTTTCTGCTCGAGAATTTCAAGTGGGGATAAAAATTGAATTGATTTTCAAGGGATCTTTCAAAATCAATAAAATGTGTGTTATCATCATTCTGTATCATTGACATTTTGAAGACGGGATAAGCGCAAATTTAATCGAGGATAAGTTTTTTATTTTATTTTTATTTGTGTTTTGATTCACTTAGTAATGATCAAAGGAATCACTAACCATGTTTATAAATCACTAGTTTTCACTTTTTGTAATTATACTATCCGAATCTTTTCAGTATAAAAGGCGACTATGCAAACAAAAGAAAACTGCACTATTATAGGGTCACGATTGAATAACAAATAAATACAAGACAACTGAAAAATGATTTTCAACGTGGAAATTGAGAACCAGATATCGAGCAAACAATCCTAAAATACAGTATAAGCTTATTACACTTTACCTGACCTGCGATGGTGAAATCATGACTAAAAAACAGAGAGAAAACTTCAATTGATTTAACAGCATTTTCTCTCTAATCTCGCTAAAATATGCACTCTACAAACTCGTAGATTCCGGTTTTTTTCTTTGAACCTATAACTGATTAGGACTGATGAGTGGTGGGTGTTTGTCTTAATTCCTTCCTTACCTCCGACTACCTGTCTGTGTGCCAGCTACAACACATATTAACGCTTATATTTTCTGTTAATTTATTATGTTTATTACTGAAAGCCGTGCTAAAGCCATGCAGGGTAATAATTGGGAGCGCCAGGAGTGTCACGTATGACAGACATAAGGGCTATACAAGAACCCACTATTATTATTATTATTATTGTACAATCGTAATATAATTATTAAAAATGGCTCAGTAAATGTCTTAATACAGTTTTATCACACTTTGTTGACTTGTTCTATATTGGTTTCAATCGCAGAAAATTACAAATTAGGCATTCCAAGTTTGTTCATAAATTAACTTCACTGTCATGCATATTGAAAGAAAACACTTGTAAAAAAGTTCTTTAGAAGGGCACACATAAACACTTTTACATTTATACTTAACAAGAAAAAAACACTCATAATGTACATAATTTACATAAATACTACATGTAGTATAAAGAGATGAAGCAAAGTTATAGTATACAAATGTCCGTAGATGGACAGAATAATCTTAATTTGTTCTGATCTCATGTTAATGTATCATTCTTGTTACCTTAAAAATCGGTTTTTCATTTCATTTATTGGTTAAACCATTTTTTAAAAACAACATTCAGAAAAACAATTCGAAGGACATATACAAAACATGTTGGACATACAAAGTAAAAATGGTTAGGGATATAACTCATGGTGATAATTCTCTTTAATCGCCACAGGTTTTTATAGATTCAAACTGAGCTTAGGAACGATTATGCTCCCTAATACATACATATTGAAATTATCAATGGGTGTACTTTTTCACATTTTTTCTCAATGATTACCAAAGTGGTTCTAACTGGTTCTAATCGGTACCCATGGACCGGTAGATGGTAGATGGACAGAATAATCTTAATTTGTTCTGATCTCATGTTAATGTATCATTCTTGTTACCTTAAAAATCGGTTTTTCATTTCATTTATTGGTTAAACCATTTTTTAAAAACAACATTCAGAAAAACAATTCGAAGGACATATACAAAACATGTTGGACATACAAAGTAAAAATGGTTAGGGATATAACTCATGGTGATAATTCTCTTTAATCGCCACAGGTTTTTATAGATTCAAACTGAGCTTAGGAACGATTATGCTCCCTAATACATACATATTGAAATTATCAATGGGTGTACTTTTTCACATTTTTTCTCAATGATTACCAAAGTGGTTCTAACTGGTTCTAATCGGTACCCATGACTACATCATCACACTATATTGAGACAGGCTATTGTGATACTCTGCATGGTGGGAGGAAATGAATACGTGATTGAACATGTCATTGTACCGGATAGGGTCTAGCTTGTTATGACAATGGTTTTAAGGTCTTTGTCTAAAGGCCATGTACATTGATGGTGAATGTCACAATCGTTTTCAAGAGTAATATTGGTCATCCTTTTAATTACTATCACACAGTTATACACACGCCATATTTCATTTAGATTCATTCACTGCGCAAACAAAATTAATAAGAAGAAAAACAGAAGCAAAGTCTAGTTGCTCAGAATACATTGTTGACACCGAAGATGGCTAAAATAGAAAATCCCGATTATAGTCAAGATGCTAAACAAGATAACTAAATAGGGGGGGGGGGGGGGAGGTGTCCGGACACTCATTTACCTTCAAATTTGGGATTTAACGAAATGTATGCATCAACAAGTACCAACCATCACACATATTTAAACTTGATAATACCGTCTAACATAAGTCTTATAAGATTTATGAAATATTGTATGTAAACTTCTTCAGATTATCTTTTTTAATCAACTGTCCGGATAAACTTAAACTTCTTTAAATTACTGTTTTAGATTAACTGTCCAGCTACAAAGGTGCTTCTAATTTTACACTAAGCTAGGGTAATGTGTTCTTTGCTTTTGTAAAATATTACATTGTATGACAAAATATTACACGACCCATAGGCATGTGATGATGATGATGTAAGTTTTAAAAATATAACAAGCACAATAGGGCCTATATATTATCCGGGTCGTCTTCCCTTTGGACGAGAACCTTTGGGCATGTTTGGACGAAAACAAAATTTCGCTTATATGTTGAAATAACTCTTTTTTAAATCAGGGGGGAAATACTTGACGGAAACTTTTGTTTTGATAATCAGTAGACAGGTATATAAATATATATATAGGGATTTTCCTATCTTCGTACTTTCCAAGTATTTTGGATCTTGCGGATTTAAGTAAATAGAAGTGAAAAATACCCATTGGTAAAAAGAAAAGCAGCTTTAACAGATGTCAATCCAAAATCTATTTGGAAATCTAGGAAAATCGATATAACGTGCAATGTGGCTACAACATGTGGGGCTTTCAACATTAAACATGCTCCGCCCCTTTCCTGTACAAAGTGCCTTGTGGATACACAATCGTTATATAATGGCATACATTATGAGAAACGATTCAGGACAATTCTACCTTCGGTTGATGAGAATGGTTAATTGGTTATAAAAGTAAAAGTTGGCAAAATGGATGAAGAAACTGAAAAATAAGCAGAAAGACACCCCCCCCCCCTCAAAAAAAAGGGGAAAAAAGAAGAAGATATTTGATTGCCTTGACACACTAAGGGATCCGGTAACTTTGTTTCAGATTCTGAAACAAAATCCTGGATTTAGCTCATGCTGCAATGATAATTACAAACCTTTAGGTCAGTCAGGAACCCCATGACTTTTACAAGCCGATCGCCTGTCTGATTATCAAGATATTTATGATTGGAAATCGAATCCAAATTTTGCGTTTTCCTAACGGTTTTCATAACACTACAGTCTATTGGGGAAAACGAGTATGGTAAAACCGGTCACTCAAAGATTTGTACTTTTTTGAGGCACATGTTGATCATATTGAAGCGCAGGCACTGATAACACGTAGGGCCGTGCATCTCAGATTTAAAGCTTATCTGTATTACTTTATATGAGGGATTAGACACCCCTGCAAGGTCACTGGACAGGTGGCTATCTCATCAACTCAGCTCTCAATTAACATAAGAAAAAGAGGATCATGGGGGACCAATGGTCACCGATTAGGCATTGTTTTCTATATAGAGGGAGCAAGTAGCTACAAGTAGGACAGTGTGGCTTTAACATTGTTAAACGATGCCTTTCTGTATAAAATACCATTTCGGCCTTTCATTTAGAGTAACTTGTATACATAATCAGAGATCTACTGAAAAAATGTGTTAATTTTTTAAAGTTACATCAGGAACCTGAAAGCTTAAGCTGTTGTCCATTATATGATATATCATTGTCGGCCAATAAGGAA